GGGGGGGGGGGGGGGGGGGGAGGGGAGAAACCAAATGGGGGGGATGGGAGTGAGACAGAGAACAGGAGATGGGGAAGGATAGAGGGCAGGGAAAATGGAGAGGGGCAGAGGGAAGGAGTAATGGGAGTGACAGAGGGAAGTGGCAATGGGAGGGAGAGGGAAAAGGGGATTTGGGTAAGGGCAGAGGAAGTGGCAATTGGAAGTGAGAGGGAAGGGGTAACATCGAGTGTATGGGAAAGGGAATAAGGGAGTGACAGAGAGAAGGGGCAATGTGGAGGGACAGAGTGAAGTGGGATTGGGGCAGGACAGAGGGAAGGGAAATGGGGAGGGACAGAGGGTAGGGGAAATGGGGAGGGACAGAGAAAGGGGAAGGGGAAAGTGGGAGGAGAGGGGAGGGGAAATGGGAGAGATAGTGGGAAGGGGAAATGGGGAGGGACAGAGGGAAGGGGAAATGGGGAGGGACAGAGGGAAGGGGAAATGGGGAGGGACAGAGGGAAGGGGAAATGGGGAGGGACAGAGGGAAGGGGAAATGGGGAGGGACAGAGGGAAGGGGAAATGGGGAGGGACAAAGGGAAGGGGTAACATGCAGTGTTGGGAACAGGGAATGGGGAGCGACAGAGAGAAGGGATATGGGGAGGGGCAGAGGGAAGGGGAATTGGGAGGGACAGAGGAAAGTGGCAATGGGAGGGACAGGGGGAAAGGGAAATGGGAGGGACAGATGGCAGGGGAAACGTGAGAGACAAAAGGGAAGGGGAAATGGTGGTGTGAGAGAGAAGAGGAGATGGGGAAGCACAAAGGGCAGGGGAAATGGGCGGGGGGGGAGAGGAAAGGGATAATGGGAGGGTTATATAGAAAAGGGGATTTGGTAAAGGACAGTGGAAGTGGCAATCGGGAGTGACGGAGGGAAAGCATGAAGTGTATTGAAAGGGAATCAGGGAGTGACAGAGGGAAGGGGTAATGTGGAGGGACGGAGGGGAGGAGAAAGGGGAGGGGCAGAGGGAAAGGGTGGATGGAGTGTTGGAAATGGGAAATGGGGAGGGACGGAGGGAAGGGGAAATGGGGAGTGACAGAGGGAAGGGGTAACATGCAGTGTTGGGAACGGGGAATGGGGAGCGATAGAGAGAAGGGATATGGGGAGGGGCAGAGGGAAGGGGAATTGAGAGGGACAGAGGAAAGTGGCAATGGGAGGGACAGGGGGAATGTGAAATGGGAGGGACAGATGGCAGGGGAAGTGGGAGAGACAAAACGGAAGGGGAAATTGTGGTGTGAGAAAGAAGAGGAGATGGGAAAGCACAAAGGGGAAGGGGATAAGGGGAGTGACAGGACAAGGGGAAATGCTGAGGGACTGGGGGAAGGGAAACAAGGAGTGACAGGGGAAAGGGGAAATGGGGAGTGACAGGGACAAGGGGAATTGGGCTGGCATTGGAAGGGAACATGGGGAAGGTCAGAGAAGAGGGGAAATGGGGAGGGACAGGGGTAAGGGGATAAGGGGAGTGACAAGACAAGGGGAAATAATGGGGGGCCGGGGGAAGGGGAAACACGGAGTGGCGGGGAAATGGGGATATGGGGAGTGACAGGGACAAGGGGACTTGGGCTGGTATTGGAAGGGAAAATGGGGAAGGTCAGAGAAAAGGGGAAATGGGGAGGGACTGGGGGAAGGGGAAATGGGGAAGGGACAGAGGGAAGGGGAAATGGGGAAGGGACAGAGGGAATGGGAAATGGGGAAGGGACAGAGGGAAGGGGAAATGGGGAGTGACAGGGGCAAGGGGAATTGAATTTGCAGAGGAAGGGGAAATGGGGAGGTCAGAGAAAAGGGGAAATGGGGAGGCTGGGCCAGGCCGGGCTGCTCATGTCCCATCGCACGAGTGGCCTGGGGCAGACACATTGGGCATACGGGGAATGGCTGGGAAAAAGGGCAAGCGAGGGTGTGTGGGACGGCGACCTTGCATGAGCCCCGATGCCGATCAACCCCTCTTTCAAGCCTCGAAAGGGTGTGACGAGGATGGGTGACGTGGGAAGGTTGTGAAGAGGAGCGTGATGGGTGTGACGGTATGAGCAAGGTAGGTGGGGGCGCACAGGTGAACACCAGGCACACACCAGGTACACACCTGAGCGGGGACACTCACACCAGCACACACTTGCGGCGTTGGGCAAATCAAGCCCGTCGGGGGTCTTGAACCGTAAGCCAGGGGGCGCGAATGCAGGACTGGAAATGGGGAAACGGGGGGGGACATAGGGAAGGGGTATTGCAGAGGGATTGGAGAAAAGAGGAATTAGGGAGGGATAGAGGGATGGGAGTGCAGTGCCCTGCTCTCCAAACAAATTAGAGCAGACGAGGCGCTGTGACTTGCACTCCGATTGAAAAAGAGCAGGCGCGGCATTGTGCCTTGCGCACCACGTGAAAACGAGCAGGGGCAGCGCTGCGCCTTGCTCCTCGTCTGAAAACGAGCAGGCGCGTCGCTGTGCCTTGTATCATGTGTGAAAACGAGCATAAATGGGAATGTGCCTTGCATTTTGTGTGAAAACGAGCATGCGCGGGACTGCGCCTTGCATTTCGTGTGGAAACGAGCATGCGCCGCGGGACTGTGCCTTGCGTTCCGTGGGAAAACGAGCATGCGCGGGACTGTGCCTTGCATTCCGTGTGGAAACGAGCATGCGCGGGGCTATGCCTTGCATTCCGCGTAACAACGAGCAGGCGCGTTGCTGTGACTTGAATTCCGTGTGAAAACGAGCAGGCACGGCGCTGGGCCTTGCATTCCGTGTGAAAACGAGCAGGCACGGCGCTGGGCCTTGCATTCCGTGTGAAAACGAGCAGGCACGGCGCTGGGCCTTGCATTCCGTGTGAAAACGAGCAGGCACGGCGCTGGGCCTTGCATTCCGTGTGAAAACGAGCAGGCACGGCGCTGGGCCTTGCATTCCGTGTGAAAACGAGCAGGCACGGCGCTGGGCCTTGCATTCCGTGTGAAAACGAGCAGGCACGGCGCTGGGCCTTGCATTCCGTGTGAAAACGAGCAGGCACGGCGCTGGGCCTTGCATTCCGTGTGAAAACGAGCAGGCACGGCGCTGGGCCTTGCATTCCGTGTGAAAACGAGCAGGCACGGCGCTGGGCCTTGCATTCCGTGTGAAAACGAGCAGGCACGGCGCTGGGCCTTGCATTCCGTGTGACGCCAAGCAGGCGTGGCGCTCTTCCCTACTTGTTTCCGTGTGGAAACAAGCTGACGCGGCGCTGTGCATCAGGCATTCCGTGCCTAAACGAGAAGCGCGGCGCTATGCCTTGCATTCCGCGCGGATCTAGTAGGCAAGGTTCGAGGCGTTGCAATCCGTTCGAAATCTGAATAATAGGTGCAGCGTTGAGCCTATGCAATGTCGAACACAAGCGCGCTTCGGCGCTTCGCGCCGCCTTGTGTTCGACTGTGACGGGGGGTCGCGACGTTGCTTCTAATCTGTTAGAAAACGAGTAGGGGCGCCTTGCAGTTTGTTCTACTGCATTGCGCAGCATATCACGAGGCCGCATGCGTCACGGTCGCATGCGTGATGTAATGGCTTGCTCCCATACGCCTCACGCCGGTTCCGAATCGCACCTGATGAGTATACATTCGAGATATTCGTCCTCGTTGAACGTAGTGTCACGTGTTCACATGATATGCGAAACGCATTGAGTCCGTCACACCTGAAACGATGGGGTCCCTGTTTGCTACATCTATCTATGCTACCCGCTACCTTGTCCCTGATATCTCCTTCGATGTTGGTAAGAATAATCACTGCATTCGCTCTGTTCTGGCTGATACTGACGGCGCCAGCACTGAGAAGGCACACGATTGACAGCTATGACCGAAACAGAAAAACAACGCTACGCGCGCGGCCCCTTTCACGCGTTACTAAGCCGTGGTGGGTTACTCTCCCTTTGCTCTGGAGTCTCTAGTGCCGTATGACGTGAAAATAGTATGGCAAGCCAGAGTGCAACCCAGGTCCACTTTGAAGCTCAAATTGGGCCCAGTGGACCCAGTCTTGCGCACTTCTGTTTTTGCACCTGGTTTTGTGGCTCTGTTCCCAGCGCGTCAGTTCATTTCGTGTACTCCTCTCCCAGCAGAGCATGACATTCGATTTCGATCCCCTGTCGCACAGGATAACCCACGCGGTGCCTTCGTTTGCTTGCGAGCAGACCCACCAATGCCATTGTTCGCATTCGACCCAGGACATTGTTGTCCAATCGCCTGTTTTTGTTTCAGCCTGTACCTTGGAATGACACGGGTCAAATGAACAGTGAGCCCCATCTTGTCGAGCCCAGAGCACCCTCTCTAAACAGTGCCAGAGTTTCAAACTGGGCCAAGGGTGACTATTTTGCCTGCTCGCTTTAACACCACTAATGGGGGCGTGCAGTTGCGCGCTGGCAAGGAGTTCACAGTGCTGTACTCAGGGACAAGAGTAACCCATCCTTGTGTGCAGCAGATCATGTTCAAGAATCAAGATAGGTACTATCTCGATGTCAACAAGTGGCCATTTGAGTGCTACTCTTACGGGGTGTAAGGCAGCGTGCTTCAAGTGCATCGGCAAACACAGACAGGACTGAGCAGCTGCCTGCTGGCCAGTTCAAACAAAGTGATTGAAGTTGTGTGTGCAGCAAATCATGTTCAAGAATCTGATACACACGCACCATCACCTCGATGTCGATAAGTGGCTGAATGAGTGTAATGGGACGTAATTATCAGGAGTGTGTCGAGTTGTACTGGGCAATTGGTGGTGTACTGGATAATTATTGTAACATCTGCAGAAATCACTATGCAGAAATCAATTGGTGCTGTAATTATGATCATTCAAAAGGGTATTACGATGCGGTGAGCGTGGATCGAACACGCGACCTTCAGATCTTCAGTCTGACGCTCTCCCAACTGAGCTATCCCCGCTGTGACAGCATCTTTGGCTTATTTTTCATTGTGTTTATTGTTTTCATTTGGGCAAGCGAATCCTTGTTGGAGGGCTGGTTGGCTGCCATCTGGCATATGCGGTCCAGGGCTTCCGACGCAACGTTGGGGGAACCTGACGAGGCCCTGTTGTGGGGCATCGATGGCCTCGAGCATTCAGGGGTAGAAAATTGGAGTTCAGTGGAATCGCGGATTCAGAGGTCTGGATGTCTGAAGATTCAGGCTTCCAGTTTCAGACTTTCACAGCTTCCCAGTGTCAGTCTACACAGCCTTACCAATTTCAGGCGCCTTTCCAAAACCAAGCAGTCCTCAACTTCCAGTTAGGTGCCTGAAATTGTTGGTGCCATGGCCTCGCTCGTTGCCTCGGGGCCCTCGCGGGCTGTCACTGCCGGCTTCAATGCGCCGTCTAATTTAATCGAAAGTTCGAAACGTAACTGCTGGAATGCCGTTTCATCAAAGGTTAATTTCCCGTCGAGCAGTCAAAGCAGTACGGCACCATACCGGGTTGTGCGTGTAACGAGGGCTTCGACGTCATCCGAGCCGTCCGTTGCTCCCGCATCAGGAGCTTCTGCTGCGTCATCAACGGCCGAACTGATTCCAATCGCGTTGAAGCCAGCACTGGACAAGGTTCGTTCTTTTCAAAAGCCGGTCAGCTCAACTTCTCTCACTCGACATCGTGTCACACTCGAACCACGACTCACGAAGCATTTTCCAACTCCATTCTAACCTTTCCCCTGATTCCACCCTTCTCTACGATTCGTGTTGACCCACAGCGGGACTCAGAGGCGTTGAAGGTGGCGCTAGAGTGCTTGAAGGACGCCGGCACCGTCACGGCCTGGGGTAGCTACCTTAACGTCGCGAGACGAACGGTGAGTGGAAGGGAGCGGTGGGGTGAAGTTAATCGTGGGTGGGATCAAAGCAATGTGTCATGGCATGCGGTGTGAAGCAAATGCGGGATACGTCAAACCGAGTTGCGCAATGCTCGCAACTTTCACTCTGGACTGACTAGCTGCGGGAACGAGCTCGCCTGCTGAATGAGATGTGGAATTTGTGGATGCATGCGTTTCGTGCGTCCCGCCGTTTCGTGCGTCCCGCCGTTTCGTGCGTCCCACCGTTGCGTGCGTCCCGTCGTTTCGTGCATCCCGCCGTTGCGTGCAGGCGAGCGTGCGGGAACTCACTCAAGTGGGCATCAAGAACGCCGAGAAGCTCGCTGTGCCGTCTGTCCGCAACGATGTAAGTGGTGTCGCGCGCACACCTGTTTTTTCCACTCATTCCCCTCTGACTATTTCCCATTCTCTCCGCGTTTCCGTCTTCACTATTCCTTCTCCTCTGCTCGCCCTCGCCTCACCCATCCCTGTATCTCCACCATTCTTCCGCACCCATCCTCGCTCCCCCGCCTCAAAAGGTCCCTCCACTCCACGTCACCTTCGCCCTTACTTCCTCCCCAACTCCCGCCTCTCTCCGTCCTCCTCTCCTCTGCCGCCCGTAACCCCGTCCTCGCCTTCGTCAACCCTGTCCTCGCCATCCCCAACCCCGTCCTCGCCATCCCCAACCCCGTCCTCGCCATCCCCAATCCCGTCCTTGCCATCCCCAACCCGTTCCTCGCCATCCCCTCCTTCGAACGCGCATACCCAATCCCTTTTCCCCGATCCCCTTTTCCCAATCCCCTCGTCCCAACGGCCTCCGCCCTTGCCCGACCTTCCCCCACCAGGCGCTCTTCCTCGCTACTGTGGTCGGCACCACCTCCATCCTCGCCCTCGCCGGCAGCCAACTACCAGGGGTGAGCAGGGGTGGTCGGGGGTGAGCACTGACTGTCAGGGGTGACCAGGTTGAGGCGGGGTGAGCAGGGTATAAGCTTTCCTGCAGTTGGACTCTGCGCATCCCCCCTGTGTTACCCCTACGGTTTGCACTGTGCTGCACCTGCCGTCCACCCACCTCCTGCCGTCCACCCACCTCCTGCCGTCCACCCGCCACCATCTCATCGTCACCGCTTACCTCCCCTCCCACGCGCCCTGGCAGGACTGGGGAATCTTTGTGCCGTATCTGGTGGGCGGCCTCTCCATCGTTGTCCTCTAAAAGGTCTAAATACTTGTCTGTCTGAGAAGTCTCAAAAACCCATCTGCCTGCGCCCCTCTCCCCGTGCCCTGGCAGGACTGGGGTTTCTTTGTGCCGTATCTGGTGGGCGGCCTCTCCATTGTCGTCCTCGCTGTCGGCAGCGTGGCTCCAGGGTATGCCCTCCTCACACAAGCGCCTCTAACCCTGCGCGCTCTAACCCTGCGCGCTCTAACCCTGTGCGCGCCCACACTCTCTCTTTTACAAGCACTCAAGCACAACCAGTGTTTCAGACTCTAACCCTATACACACTCGCTCGCGGACACAAGCGCAGTAACAAACCGTGTTGTGGGTTGAGCCATATCATTCCAAGTAGTATGAACCAAGGCAGAGCACTTGGAAGAGATAATGAAATGTGGGCGTGTGACTCAGTGCGCACATGAAGGCGAAAAACAGATGGTACAACTCGCGTCTGAGTCCACGCATTTTGATACCAATGTGCACGCTGTAATGCCATCAAATTTGATTCTCCTCCCTCTCCTCATCCTCGTTACAGGCTACTCCAGGGCGGCATAGGAGCCATGGCGCCTGCATTCTCGGACTACAAGGACCGAGTGCTCCGGCACGAGGCAGGCCACTTCCTCTGTCAGTCCCTCTCCCTCGCACTGCGCTCCCCTCATTCCCATTCACAATCGATCAACCAAGCAATGAGAATGGGAATGTTGCTTGGTTGATGTTCCTTTGCTCCCTAGCCTCGCGTCATTCTGCAGTGCACCCTCTCCACTGCACCCACTCCACTGCACCCACGACCGTGCCATCCTCTTTCAACTTCGCCTCGTCCTCCTATCGTTTTCCATATCGTTCCCCCTCCCCCTTCACCTCCCCTCATCTTCCTGCAGTGGCGTACCTTCTGGGCTTGCCACCTGTCGCGTACTCATTGGACATCGGCAAGGAGCACACGAATCTGCTGGATGATAAGCTGCAGAAGAAGATCTACAGCGGCAAGCTGGAGAGCGATGACGTGGACAGGTGAGCCGCTTCCTATGAGAAACGGATGTGTAGTCTTGAGTAGAATAGTCGGCACACAAGGGTACCTTCATTGGGATCTACTGTAGCAAGCTGGAGAGCGATGACGTTGGCAGGTGAGATATATTCTGCTGGAAAGAGATTGAAAACGCGAGAGAGTTACAGTGGAAAGCCTCTAGGCATCTATTTTTGGTACACAACAGATTGATCGAGCCCTTTTGTGTTCACCACACACTTGATCTGCTCCGCATGCATAAGCAGCAGCTGGCACGGCAGCAGAGGAGGTGAAATGGGGGAACCTCAAAACCTCTGTGGGGAAGGGTGGAACGGTGATTGTGCCAGGAGCTGGCATTAGGAGCTGAAACACGAGAGATAACAGCTGGGGGGGACGCTGGGCCTTAATTTCCCCCTCCCACCTTCCGCTGGCCCACTATACACCCTCTTCTGACCACTATACACCCTCTTCTGGCCCACTATACACCCTCCTTCACCTGCAGGCTCGCGGTGGTGGCGATGGCAGGCATGGCAGCGGAGGGGCTGCAGTACGAGCAGGTGATGGGGCGGACGGCAGACTTTGTTATTACTCTCCCCCCGCCCCCTCTGACCCACTGTACACCCTGTGTCACCCCCCCTCCTCCTCTGCAGGCTCGCAGTGGTGGCGATGGCGGGCATGGCAGCGGAGGGGTTGCAGTACGAGCAGGTGATGGGGCAGACGGCTGACCTCAACTCGCTGCAGCGCCTCATCAACCGCAGCGGGCTCGGCGCCTTGACGCCTGAGAGACAGCAGAACCTCACACGCTGGGCGGTGAGTCAGGCATTGGTGATGCATTGTTTCTGCTGCCATGTTCATTCACCCATCTGGCTCAGTTGCGAGGGCTTGGTGCTGTGAACGAAGAGATAGTACAGAAACGTGCTTCTTTGCGCTAAACCTGATAAGAGACGATAGCTGCAACCTTGTGTGGCTTCATTAAGTACCTACTAGTGCGGAGCATCTTGCTATGTGTGTTGTGAAGTCGTCAGTTTATTTGTATGCGTCCTGCCCATGCATCTCCAGGTGCTTTATGCGGCTTCACTAATCAAGAATAATGCCAAGTCCTTCGATGCCCTCATGGAAGCCATGGCAAGGGAAGCCCCTGTAGAAGAGTGCATAGCAGCAATTGAGAATGCTGCGGCAAAATAGTGTGCAGTATTAGTGTTGCAAGATTGACATTACTCTCCCTGTAACTGGAACAGGGGAAGATATTGCATCAAACAGCATGTAAGCGTGCTGATCTTCAGTTGCTCATATCCTTGTGAACCTTGCTTGGGTTCCATCCCCTTGACGTGTGCATAAATCTGATCAAAAGAATTTCACTAGTTTTGAAATATACAGCAATATGTAGAATAGCTTGCCAAGGCACACTTCAGTGCCTGGTCCCGCCTACTAAAATTGCATGGCATCAGCAGCTGGCTCGCCAGCAAAACCATGCGCCACCCAAGGACGACCTGTACAGGAATCACAGCGCTGACCGTGGTGCTGCTGCTGTGACAATGTCCAAATGGGATATATCCGTCGGCTACAGAGGCATATAGATGCTGCATTGCCTGACCCGTTCATATCTGGGAGCAGATCAGAAGCGAAGGCAGCAGGAGGCTGAGAAGGTTTGAGAGAAGGCCAGGATGAAGAAATGGACGAAGATGAGAAGGATGGTGATGGGGATAGCGAAGAAGCGGAGAAAGGGGAAAAGGAGGAGGAGGCGGAGGAGGATGATAGTGATTGTGATGGTGACGCGGACGGCGATGGTGGCGAGAAGGAAGAAGCCGTTGACGCCACGTCCACACTCCACCGACCGAATCTTACAAACGGCTGCGGTTCAGCAAGATGGCAGGGAGAGGAGGAAAACCGCGACGGCAACGAGCAGGGTCGCTTTTGCGGAGAACGAGGGACGTTCACCACCACTGATCCCGCCTCCGTGTGAACAGCCGTCGTGCTCTCCGCGATGGCATCCGCGGGCAGTTTGAACCGCCGGCCAGTCGTCTGGACGGAACCCGTCACTGTGAACTGCTGCTGGTGCTGGTTCTGAAGCAGACGCTGACGGAAAACGTCTCCGTCCGACGGAGCGGAATGGAACTTGCAGACGATGGTGAGCAGCGCAGACCCGTTATTCGCCGAAGCGCGTAATCTGTCATTCTGCTGCTGGTAATATCTGTTACGATCACTCTGAGCATCGCCAGATTCCTGGCTTGCGCTTCGATCCAGCAAAACCTGCACGTTCTGCAGAGGAAAACCGCGTTGCTCGACGGAAAAAACGTAGGCGTCGGCAGTATCGGACACGATCCACATCGGACAAGATAAACCAGAACCGTCGTTCTCGAGAATCTCCCAATCAATGTTGACGAAAACTGGATCGCTGGGGGAAAAGAACGGTGGTGATTGGTCGAAGCTTGGGTGATAGGCAGAACCAGAGCCTGAATGAACATCGTACGGTTCAGAGCGGTGGGGCTTCCGGAGCTTCATGGTGCGAACGCAACCCATATTGACTAGCTGAGAGCCTAAAGTTGCGAGCAGGAAAGAGCAGGAAGATATGTGAGTTATGCAGCGACGGATTCAGCGATGGGACGCTGGAGAAAGCAGCTAGGCAGCGCTTGATGCCGCTATGATAGAGTAGGCGCAAATGCCGCTGGGCTCATGGAGGAACAGGAAACTGCTACTTGCTCTCAAGTTGACGGAAGAGTATCAAGGCACGGACATGTGATATTTATGGCTGCTGGAAAAAAATCTTCATCAAACACGAAAATAGGCACTACCGAGCTACTTTAATCCAGTAATGCGTTAGGGAACAGCAATTAGTAACCACTCGGTGCGCAGCTGGTGGTTCAAGGAATCAACTAGAAGGCAGTCAAACTGCAATAACACATCGAACGAGGAGGACGTGGCATGGCAACTTGGGACGGGTCTGGAAGCCATGGCGGATGCACTCCAGTCACCGCTGGACTGGTGCTTCCTACCCAGCCAGCTCGTTTCCAGTCAGATTACGGGGAGGTGACGGAGCAGCCATGGCTATTTGCTCGGTTATTGGCATGACAGCAAGCAACGGATGCTTAGCTTCTTGAAGGTTCTATTGTTGGGTGTCGCACATGGCCGATCGCAAGTCCGTCCACCAATGAAGGCCATGTAACCAGAATATCGTTACAATAGACGAGGTCTCGCGACGGGATTAGCAGCGAAGTCCTTCGTTGACTCTTCGCAGGGACAAGTTCGCGAAGCTCCCCAGGCGGATGCCCTGTCGGTTCGTCGAGGCCTGGATTCATCGCGGAGAATCGCGACCGTTCGGCAGACTGAGATATTTTCCTGGCAAAATATCTGCGCTCGAGAATGACTCCCGCTTGCTGGGATACTCGAATCTTCCAATTGTCGCACTTAGGTGGTGGTCGATATTCAGCAGGAGCTCCACGTGTTGGGTCTGGTTGTGCCACGCACTTACTCGATACCGAGGGTTTCGCAACACCTGAATGGTACATACAGTGTATGCAAAATGGATTATCCCCGAACAATGTAAGATGTTCACGCAATTTTAGGCTTGTGTCAGAACTCAAAAAGCGCGGGAAAACGCTGTAAGAAATGGGATTCGAACCCATGCCCTTTCGGACCAGTACCTGAAACTGGCGCCTTAGACCAGACTTTATTTACAATATTCCTAGGTACATGGGTTCATAGTATTTAAAGTATGTACAAGAAAGTTCTAGCTAGGAACAGTATGCCCATTCTGACGCGGCTGCAGTGCCGTGTTGTACAGTATTATTTCAAATTATTTCCTTTGTCCTAAGATCACACTCATAGCGAATGTGATAATAAGGATGCACATCCACAGCTTCCATAGAGGTGCGGGTGCCACCTCCCGCCGATTCCGCGGGCCTTGGGCAGCGGCTTCCGCATTCTCGTCGACTCCCCGCCGTCTGCTGCTCCTTTCCGCCGCGTTATTCGGACTTCTAGCGCTCCTCCGCTTCTCCCCGCACTCCGCGCTTGACATACGGTTGCGGTATCGCGCTAGTAACGAGCAGGGCTCCTCCCTTTCCTATATTTCGCGGGATTACAGAGACATCGCGGAACACGCGCCATGGGCGGAAGCGGAGACATCCGCGGAAGGGCTGCGTATAGCCGCGGGTAATGCGGTGAATGCCGCCTACGCTCCACGCGATCGGAGGGAAGGCGACAACCGCGAAGGGCGGCGGAAACTTCGGCGAGAACTGTTATATGTGGAGTGGCGCGCGCGCGTTGATGCGCTTTCCGCGGAGCGGGCGGAGAATGGGCCATGGTGGGCGCGGGGGGAGTGGAGTTGGGCGGAAAAGGGGGAAGCGGAAGAGAGAGGGGAGGAGTGGAGAATGGAGGAGGAGCAGTGGGTGCGGGAAGAGAGAGAGGGAAAACTACAGGATATGCCTGGATCTAGTGAGGGAGGGAGTGAGGGAGGGGATGAGGGAGGGAATGAGGGAGTAAGTGAGAATGAGGGAAGTGATGACGCATTACTGCTCGCACCAGGAGCTTCAATGTCTGAGTCAGAAGATCAGAATGATGAGTCAGCAGATGACAGGGATGAGTCAGCAGATGACAGGGATGAGTCATCAGATAACCGTGTTGTAGGGAGTTCGGGCACTGATGGGAGACTGGCTGTGGGAAAGGGGGAGGAGGGAGAAGGGGTGGGAGAAGGGGAGGATGAGGAGGATGAGGAGGATGAGGAGGATGAGGAGGATGAGGAGGAGGAGGAGGAGGAGGAGGAGGAGGAGGAGGAGGAGGAGGAGGAGGAGGAGGAGGAGGAGGAGGAGGAGGAGGAGGAGGAGGAGGAGGAGGAGGATGAGGAGGAGGATGAGGAGGAGGAGGAGGATGAGAGAGGGTGGGGGGGCAGGAGGGGAGAGTGGGGAAGGAGGGGAGGAGGAGGAGGGAGAAGGGAGCTCAGATGATGGTCATGGGTACAATGCGAGTCGCGTGGGCATTCTCAAGGTGCAATTGCCACGTCAGCAACATCCAAACCGTCATCCGTGGCAGCATCATTCCCTCTCGTCCATCCTGGCCGTCCATCCGCCAGCCCTACCAACAACGCTCCTGCCACTGCCAGCACAGAACGTCAACCCGGTCAACCCGGTCAACCCGGCCAACCCAGTCAACCCAGTCAACCCGGTCAACCCGGTCAACCCGGTCAACCCGGTCAACCCGGTCAACCTGGTCAACCCGGTCAACCCAGTCAACCCAGCCGGCAGGCACCGTCGCCTGATGCTGCTGCAGGCGACTCGGTTGAAGGAGCAGCAGAAGCAGCAGCAGCAGCGGTTGCATCGGATGTGCCTCTAAAGGGGTCACGGGGAGGGTCGCATGGGCTACAGGGAGGGTCGCATGGGCTGCCGAACTGGGCGGTTGATGGTGCAGCAGCGGGAGAAGTGGGAGGAACAGGCGGAGTGGGAGGAGGCTCGGGAGAGGGACGTGGATGATGCCCGTGTGGCGCTGGCACCTCTGCTGGCGGCGATGCGCGGTGAGAGGGTGAAGGGGGAGGAGACGGATAGCGGGGATGAGGAGAAGGCCAGGGGGGAGGGGAGAGAGAGCGGAAATGAGAGGGAAAATGGGGTGGGGGAGAGGGGGAAGGAGAGGGGGGAGGAGAGGGGGGAGGAGAGGGGGGAGGAGAGGGGGGGAGGAGAGGGGGAGGAGGCGGATGTGGAGCAAGAGCGTATTTATACGGGACCTGTTTATAACGAGCAGTTTGGTGCTGCCCTGTTGCGAGTGTGGATGTTTATGCTGGCGGTGGTACAGTGCTGGGCGATGGGCTTGTGCATGCTAACGATGCAGTCAGTATTGAGGATGGGGATGGTGATGGTGATGGTGATGGTGATGGTGATGGTGATGGGGATGGTCGAGGGGAGACGAGAGGAGGGAAGGAAGGGGTGAGAAGGAGTGTAGAAGGGGGTGCGAAGGTGAACGGGGGAGGAAGGGGTGAGGAGGCGGTGGGAGGAGAGGCGGTGGGAGGAGAGGCGGTGGGAGGAGAGGCGGTTATATCCGATGCTGGCAGGGTTAGAGGGCAGCGCATGAAGGTGAATCCCAGGTGGGCGCGGTCACATATGGGTGCGCTGGGGGGGATATTGGGGAGGAAAAAGAGGTTCGTTCACAGGGAGTGGAGAGGGGCGGGGCTGGGTGGGAGGAGGGAGGATACAGGGGAAGGGAGGAGGGAGATGAAGGGGGAGAGGGATAGAGTCAGTGCAAGGGGCAACATGAGAAGGCTGCTGAGGGGTTTGGAAGAGGAGGGAAGTGGGGAGGCGGGTGGTGAGGGGAGAGGGGATGGGAGGACGGAAGGGCAGAGGGTGTGAGTGAGGGAGTGAGTGAGGGTGTGAGTGAGGGAGTGAGTGAGGTGTGAGTGAGGGAGTGAGTGAGGGTGTGAGTGAGGGAGTGAGTGAGGGTGTGAGTGAGGGAGTGAGTAAGGGTGTGAGTGAGGGAGTGAGTGAGGGTGTGAGTGAGGGGGAGTGAGTAAGGGTGTGAGTGAGGGAGCGGGCGAGACGGTGAACACAGGAGTGAGCGAAGGAACAGAGGGAGTTAGAGGAGGAGAGGGAATAAGCAAGAAAGCAGAGGAGGTGAGTGAGGAGGAGTTGAGGCGGCGAGTGGGTCTGCTGGTGTGGCCCATGCCCGCACTGATAGCAGCCGTGGGACGTCAGGAGGCGGCTGTAAGCCCCCTGCTGCGACTCTCCCTGGTGCTGGGGGGAAGGAGGGGACTCACAGGAGAGGAGAAGGACAAGGAGGGGGGCTGTGCGTGGGGCAACGAGGAGGGCAGTGGGTGGGCAGTCAGGGGGACGGTGAGGGGCAAACTGAAGATGCCTCTGCACGATTGCGGAAGGAAGGGCGGGCAACTGAGCGGGCATCATTGGAGCAGCAGGGCAGGCAGCAATGCGTTCATGTCAGCATGCATCAGCCCGTGCCGTGCTGTGTTCTGCCTTCCACCGCTTCCTCTCCTCCTCCCTCGCCCCCCACCGCTCCTGCCCGCCCTCCAGACTGCACTAGGGGGAGTGGGCGGGGGAGGGGGAAGGGGAAGGGGAGGGGCAGGGGATGCAGGATGGGAGGTGGAGGGGAAGATGGAAAGGGAGGGCAAGGGCAATCATTGCTCGCCAGGTGTCGCATGCTGGTTGGACGGCTGGGCCATGGGCCTGTCTCGTGGTGGCTGAGGCAGGTGGTGCTGGCCACGTGGCAGCTGTTTATTGGCTGGGAGGAGAGCAACAGCGGCAGTAGCGGCAGCAGGAGCGGCAGCGGCGGCGGCAGTGGCGGCGGCACCACTGCCACCAGCAGCAGCGGCAGTGGGGGGGAGGTGCGGCAGGGAGGCAGAGGAGCGAGACAGCAGGGGCAGTGCTCCTAGTGGACTCGCTACTCATAGCGGTGGCCCGGCCAGAAGAAGAGGTACTACTCGAGGTGGAGAGCGGTGATGATGGGGGCGGAGTGGTGCAGGGTGGCAGAGGAAGAGAAGCGAGGGCAGTGCTGCTGGCAAACTCTTTCTCATTGTTGTGGCCCGGCCAGAGGAAGGGGTACTCAGGGGTTGAGAGGTGTGGAGATCACTGAAGAAGAATGGGTGTTGTTGGATGCGTTTTGCTTACCACCTTAACAGCTTCCCCATCCGCCCCAACCTCCCTCAACCCCACCCACATCCTCAGCACCACTCCCCCCCTTTCCTCCCACACCCTTCTCCCATCTCCTCCCCTCCCGCCACCCCTGGCAGCTGGAGGCGGGAGGGGGCGAGAGCTATGTGCTCACAGTGGGGGCTGCCAAATCAGGGTTTGGCCACTGTGAGCTATGCTCTGTTCCAACCCATTCGCCGACAGCATTGAGATCCCCACTCCTCCCCCGCCCCGCCCTGCACCCGAACCTCCCCCGATACTCCGCCAACCCTCCTCCCATCCCCGCCAGCTGCAGTTGGGGGCAGACGAGAGCTATGTGCTCTCCGTGGGGGGTGCTTCACCGTACGACGAGAGTGGTCGACAGCCCCACCCACCCAACAACACCACCCCCCCCCTCCCCCACCCTTCCCCTCTTCTCCCTCACAGCTGCAGGTGGGGACGGACGAGAGCTACGTGCTCTCCGTGGGGGGTGCTTCACCGTACGACGAGAGTGGTCGACAGCCCCACCCACCCAACAACACCACCCCCCCCTCCCCCACCCTCCCCTCTTCTCCCTCACAGCTGCAGGTGGGGACGGACGAGAGCTACGTGCTCTCCGTGGGGGGTGCTGCATCCGACCATTTGTGGTCAGCAGCGATTAGAATCCACGTGAGCAGTGCTGCTGGTTGTGCAGGGGAGCTGGGCGCAGAGCAGGGGGGTGGGTTGCGGTGCAGCGGGGTGGGTTGCGGTGCAGGGGGTTGGGTTGCGCATGTTGCCCCTCGCATCCATCCAACCGCTGTGCTGCTGCCGTTCAACCCTTCCTTCTCTGCTATCTCCCTTCCCCCGCTGCCCCTCCCTATCTCGTCTCACACCTTTTCTCTTCACCAACCGACTCCCCTCTCCACACCTTCTTTCCGCACTTCTATCCCCTCCTCCTCCCCTCGTCCGCCCCTCCTCCCGCTTGCTCCGACAGGCCAACACAACAGTGGGCGCCCTGAGAGCTCTGGAGGTGCGTGCTTCACTTTTTGCCCCTCCTTGCCACCCACCTAGTGCCGCCCACATTGTGCCGCCCACATTGTGCCGCCCACATTGTGCCGCCCACATTGTGCCGCCCACATTGTGCCGCCCACATTGTGCCGCCCACATTGTGCCGCCCACATTGTGCCGCCCACATTGTGCCGCCCACATTGTGCCGCCCACATTGTGCCGCCCACATTGTGCCGCCCACATTGTGCCGCCCACATTGTGCCGCCCACATTGTGCCGCCCACATTCACCACCCCGCTGCCCCACCACCCCTCCCCCATGCCAGACGTTGAGTCAGCTGGTCCGCAGGGTTGACGCATCTCAGTTTTGGTCCCTCTCATCCCTCCCAACCCCTCCCCCCCTTGTGCCAGACGTTGAGTCAGCTAGTGCGGTGGGACGCTGCTTCCCGCCTGGCTCTGCTGCAAGGCGTGCCTCTCACCATCCACGACCGCCCGCGCTTCCCCACCGAGGAGTGCTGCTGGGTGAGAGAGCGGTGCTGCTGGGGGGGAGAGCGGTCCTGCTGGGTGGGAGAGCGGTGCTGCTGGGTGGGAGAGCGGTCCTGCTGGGGGGAGAGCGGTGCTGCTGGGGTGGGAGAGCGGTTCTTCTGGGTGGGAAAACGGAGGTGCTGGGTGAGAGAGCGGTGGTGGTGGGTGTGAAGTCACCTGTTGAAGATCTGGCACTTGAGGCAAGTCAGTCTGGACTTCATGCCTCCCTCTCTCACCTCACCGCCCTCTCTCACCCCCCTCTCACCCTCTCTCCCCCCTCTCACCCCCCTCTCACCCCCCTCTCACCCCCCTCTCACCCCCCTCTCTTACCCCTATTTCCCTCTGTTCCCACCATCCTCTGTTCTCTCTGCCTTGTCACAGACACGGCAAGGCACTTCCACCCCGTCCCCTTTATAGAGCGACTCTTGGACTCCATGTCGTACGCCAAACTCAACGTGCTGTAAGTCTATACACTCGCCCATTTACCACACAATACCCCTGTGTATGCAATGATACACATCCATACAGATGCACCAACATGCACACACACATGCATGCATTAGGCTCACCTTGCAAAAACTCCCCACTCTCGTCCATTCCCCCTCCATCCTCCTACCCCCTCCAACCTCCTACCCCCTCCGACCTCCTACCCCCTCCGACCTCCTACCCCCTCCGATTAGCCATTGGCACCACGAGCGCCTTGGTCCACGCTCGCGCTCAACTGCATTGCTCGCACGCTCAGCTGCGTTGCTCGCACGCTCAGCTGCGTTGCTCGCACGCTCAGCTGCGTTGCTCGCACGCTCAGCTGCGTTGCTCGCACGCTCAGCTGCCCTGGTCCACGCGCGTGCCCTGGTCCACGCGCGCGCCTTGGTCCACACGCACACGCGTTCTTCCCTCCCCTTTCCCATCTCCCCTCCCCCCCCCCCCCCCCTCCCCCCTCCCCCCAGCCACTGTCACCCGGTTGACGCAGATGCCTTCTCACGCCCCTTCTTCCCCATCCCCCCATTCTCCTTCCTCCCAGTCACTGGCATTTAGTGGACTCAGAGGCCTTCCCCATCGAGACGCCCTCCTTCCCGCGGCTCTGGAAAGCTGCCCGCTCCCCCCACGAGCGCTACTCCCTCGCAGACATGCGGCACGTGGTGGGGTGAGCACTGGCACGTGGTGGGGTGAGCACTGGCACGTGACATGTTGTTGAAGTTAGGTGTCTCAGAACAGAGTCTTGAAGGCTGCTTTCTCCCCCCGTGAGCATTCTTTGCTTGCAGACATGCGGCATGTGGTGCAGTGAGTTGAGAGATGTGGTGGGGTGTGTGGGGTGATGTGGTGGGACATGTGGTGGGACATGTGGTGGGACATGTGGTGGGGTAAGTTGGGGGGCATGGGCCATGTTGTTCAGGCGCCTAAAATACTGGCATTAGAAATGGTTTTAAAGCTCACCTACTTCGCCGTCTTTTCCATTTGCTGTCGCTTCGGTTCTTTGATGGCCTTTTTCAAGACTGCACTTCAACAGCCCATCTGTGTTGGTGTTTATTCTGTTTTTTCCATAATCCAATTTCACCCACCGGTTTCTGTCTCCAACCCTCTCCATCCCTATCCACCGCTCTCCACCCCTCTACACTCCTCTTCAGCTATGCAGCAGCACGTGGCATTGTTGTCATTCCAGAAATCGACCTGCCATCACACTCCAAAGCATGGTGAGCTACCATCGCTCCAATCCAAGCCACGGAGAGCAGGGCTGCTTGCACGAGTGTCTTACAAAGCATCCTTTCTTTGCACGGCTGCTCTCAACATATGCCTGCCGCTGTCTCCTTCCCGTGTTGCTATCGATTTCCCACGACTCATGCAGTCACCTTGACTCATAGTCGAAGGGCTGCAGTAGTAAAAGGCGCTTAAGCAAAGGGACAACAGTGGAAAAGCGAGTGTGAAAAACGCAGATCTGAAAAACCCTTAGCTTCCGATTTCCCACGTCTCATGCAGTCAACACCCCGTACGTTCGCCCCATGTGTTTCCATGCCGCATCTTGTTATACTTACTACAGGGGAGTGGGCTATCCGCCTCTCCTCCCGGCTTTCAACTGCTCCGAGCCTCTCGATGTCTCCAATGAGTTCACCTTCCGAGTCATACGGGGGGTGCTCACAGGTGATGTTGGTGGTGAATGCGGTGCTGGCAGGTGATGTGTGGTGCTGAGGGGTAAGGTGTTGGGTGTGGGCTACCCGGCCCTCCTCCCGGCCTTCAACTGCTCTGAGCCTTCTCGATGTCTCAAATGAGTTCGCCTTCAAAGTCATACGGGGGATTCTGACAGGTGATGTGTGTTCGGTGCTGACAGGTGATGTGCGGTGCTGACAGGTCATGTGCGGTGCTTGCTTGTGATGTTCTGACTGACTGCTGGTTGGTGGGTGATGCAACCCACACTACCTTGCTTCTCCATTGCTTCAGCTATTGCCCCATGCCCCATGCCCCATGCCCCATGCCCCATGCCCCATGATCCCTCATGCCCTATGCCCCATGATTCCTCGTGCCTCATGTTTTACCTGTCTTTGTGTGTGCGATCGGCGTGCAGACCTGCGGTCCGTCTTTCCAGGGAAGACAATCCACATTGGTGGAGACGAAGTGAATGCAGGTGAGTGAGAGGAGGTGAATGCGGGCGAGAGGAGGTGATGGGTGTGGGAGGACCGAGGGGCGTGAGAGGAATTGAAGGGTGTGACCTGCAGACCTCTGGGCAGTCTTCACAGGGCAGACAATCCACATTGGAGGGGACGAGGTGAATGCAGGTGAGAGGAAGTGTGTTCAATGAGTGTGATTGTGTTGAGTGTGATTGTGTTGAGTGTGATTGTGTTGAGTGTGATTGTGTTGAGTGTGATTGTGTTGAGTGTGAGGGAAGCAATCGTGATTGGTATGTCTTTTTGGTAGTTGTCATGCAGGCCATATAGGTGTAGTCATTGTGCCTCGAGTGCGGTGTGTGATACGCGTGTGAGAATTGTGTGTGGTAATCGTGCTGTAGTTGAGTGATAAGCACATGATAACGCTGTGATACGTATATGGTACGACATGCACTGCACCTGCTGCAATTGCTCGCTGCAACTGCCCATACCCCCTCCCCCCGTGCGCTCTTCCTCTCCCCCCGTGCGCTCTTCCTCTCCCCCCGTGCGCTCTTCCTCTTCCATTGTCATCAAGCAGAGTGCTGGATCTCTGTTCCTCACATTTACAAGTGGTAAGTGCCCTTCCCCCTACCCCTGCCCCATATCCTGGCCCCATATCCTGGCCCCATTGTCCTGCGTTTCCCACAGCAAAACTGGTTCGCTCCAATCCAGCAAACTCGACTCTCCTCTTCGCCCCCCCTCTCGGTTCACCATTCCCATCCCATGTCGCCGTTTTCTTATTGCCCGGGAGCACAGGAGGAAGGAGCACAGGAGGACAGTGAAGGCGGCCATTGCCTACTTTGTGAACCGCGTGCAGGCCATTGCACGACAGCTTGGGTGGACCACAACCGTTGTCTGGTGGGTGCTGGGCTGCTGAGGGGTGGTGATGGGTGGTGATGGGTGGTGATGGGTGGTGAAGGCGGCCATTGCCCACTTTGTGAAACGCGTGCAGGCCATTGCAAGCCAGCTGGGATGGACCACAAGTGTTGATCTGCTGGGTGTAGGGCTGCGGGGTGTTTAACATAGTGGGATCGGTGATGGTCTGATGATGAGTGGTGTTTTCCCATCTGTGACCAGTGCTGCTTTTCCGCTGCTCTCTACCGCACACCACTCCCTTCAACCTTTCCACCTTCCGTTTTTCTTGTTTTTGCTCTGCCCACTGGCTCGGCCCCTCTTCTCGCCCGCCATACTTTGAGTCGACCCAATATTCAATTCCTCGTTCGTCTCTCTCCACGTGCCTGCATTCCTGCAATCCCCTGCTCTTCTTTCTCTGCATGGTGGCATGGTGGCATGGTGGCATGGTGGCAGGGAGGAGTCATTTTTCAATGTCAGGAGGCACCTCAACCCCGCAACCACCATCGTGCAAAGCTGGTCCGCTCCATTGTGGTTCTTCTCCTTCCCCTCAAAAGCCTCCTTCTGTTGCCGTGGTTCTTCTCCTTCCCCTCAAAAGCCTCCTTCTGTTGCCGTGGTTCTTCTCTCTTCCCCTCACCTCTCCCTCCCTTGGGGAGGAACCTCAGTCTGCCTGCTAATCGAGCACCTGTCCATCATGCCAGCGTGGGGTTTCCCATCCCTCACTCGACCGCTCGTTTTGGTACCTCTCTTCTGCCCCATCCCTGCACGCTTCTCAACCTTTCTTCTCCATCGCCCTTTCTTGTTCCCTCCTCCCTCACCTCGGACTCTCCCCCACCTCGGACTCTCCCTCACCCACCCTTCTCAGGCTGAAAACCGACCAGCTACCCAACATGGCAGCATGGGGTTTCCGCATCATCCACACAAACGCCGGGGGCGGGTGGTACCTGGACTCGTTACAGTCGCGCTGGGAGCATGCTTATAGAGAGGATCCTGTCGACCTTGTGCTGCAGGTGGAGCGAGAGAGGATGGAGAGCGAGGGGGACGGTGGGGACGGTGGGGATGGTGGGGACGGTGGGGATGGTGGGGACGGTGGGGATGGTGGGGATGGTGGGGATGGTGGGGATGGTGGGGATGGTGGGGACGGTGGGGATGGTGGGGATGGTGGGAGTGGCGGTGGGTGGAGTTGGGAGGAGGGTTGGTCTTCAGGCAGAGAGGAGGGGGATGAGCATGGGGGGAGTGGGGAGGAGGGTTGGAACGTGGAGGAAAGGGAGGGGGCTGGGGATGTGGAAGATGGAGGGGTTGGGAACAGTGGGGTTGGAACGGGTAGCTTGTGGCCTGATAAGTGGGGAGGGGGAGTGGGAGGGGAAGGGGGTGGGGGAGTGGGAGGGGGAGGGGGAGTGGGAGGGGGAAGGGGAGAGACCCGCAGTGCGGTTTTGCTGGAGCGGTCGCGAGAGAGGGGGAGAGTGGAGGACTTGGGGGGTGTGGTTGTGAGAGGGGGAGGGGATATGAGAGGGGGCGGATATGGGGATGTGAATGATGGAGTTGATTTGGACAGTGGGGGGGACATGCAGACACTGGGAGGAGGAGGAGGAGGAGGAGGAGGAGGAGGAGGAGGAGGAGGAGGAGGAGGAGGAGGAGGAGGAGGAGGAGGAGGAGGAGGTTGAAAGCAGGGAGGAGAGAGAAGAGGGGGGAGGGGAAGAGACACTGGGTCGAGAAGCAGGGAAGGAGCGTCGAGGGAAGCGAGGGGAGGAACGAGGGGGAGGAATTGAGGGGGAGGGAAGAGACACTTCAGCAGGGAGTGGAGTGAGAAGAAAGGTCCTGGAGTGGCGAGGGGGAGAAAGGGAGGCAGGTGAGGAGGGAGAGAGGAGAGTGGAAGGAGGGAGGGGAGGTGAAGAAGAGAGGAGGGGGGAAGAAGGCGAGTTGAGAAGGGAAGAGGAGAAGAGGAGAAGGGACGTGGACGAGAGGATTAAGGAAGAGGAGAAGAGGAGGCAGTGGGGGGAGGTGGAGCAGTTGGCAGAGAGAGTGGTGGTGGGGGGGGATGTGTGCGCGTGGAGTGAGCGAATCGACCCCTCACAGCTCATGGCTACTGTCTGGCCGCGTGCTGCTGCCATGGCAGGTGAGGTGGTGCCATGGCAGGTGAGGTGGTGCCATGGCAGGTGAGGTGGTGCCATGGCAGGTGAGGTGCTGCCATGGCAGGTGAGGTGGTGCCATGGCAGGTGAGGTGGTGCCATGGCAGGTGAGGTGGTGCCATGGCAGGTGAGGTGGTGCCATGGCAGGTGAGGTGGTGCCATGGCAGGTGAGGTGGTGCCATGGCAGGTGAGGTGGTGCCATGGCAGGTGAGGTGGTGCCATGGCAGGTGAGGTGGTGCCATGGCAGGTGAGGTGGTGCCATGGCAGGTGAGCTGCTGCCATGGCAGGTGAGCTGCTGCCATGGCAGGTGAGCTGCTGCCGTGGCAGGTGAGCTGCTGCCGTGGCAGGTGAGTGCTGCCATGGCAGGTGAGGTGCTGCCATGGCAGGTGAGTGCTGCCATGGCAGGTGAGGTGCTGCCATGGCAAGTGAGTGCTGCCATGGCAGGTGAGTGCTGCCATGGCAGGTGAGTGCTGCCATGGCAGGTGAGCTGCTTCTGAGAGTTCTCACTTGTGAGTCACTTGTGAGATTCTTATCATAAGTGCCTCCGGTGTAACCCCATGGCAGCTTCGTGCTGCTGCCATAGCAGGTGAGTGCTGCCATAGCAGGTGAGTGCTGCCACGGCAGGTGAGTGCTGCCATAGCAGGTGAGTGCTGCCATGGCAGGGGAGTGCTGCCATGGCAGGTGAGTGCCGCCATGGCAGGTGAGTGCCGCCATGGCAGGTGAGTGCCGCCATGGCAGGTGAGGTGGGTGGGGCCACGTCATCTGTCTGCCTGTGCTGTGTTGTGTGGGCTTCATGCTTTCTGGATCCCCCCCTTCACGCACACTACCCTCGCAACTCATGGCTACAGTTTAGCTGCATGCTGCTGCCATGGCAGGTGAGGTTGGGCTGCTTCACCTGTCTGCTTGTGCTGTATGGGGCCTCTTATTTTTCAATCTTCCCTTTCACACACTGCCCCCCAATTGTTCCTCGACCTCCTTCCCCCCACCACCCCCTCATTTATCTCCACCCAAACCTTCCCCCATCTCTCCCCTTCCTTCCCTCTCCCATGTACATCTCAGAGCGCCTTTGGAGTCCCAAGGCGTATGTGGATAGTATGAAGGATGGTCCGCATTATAGAATGCACATGTTCCGTTGTTTGCTTATTCAGCGCGGCATTGCCGCCGCCCCGGTTGACAACCCGTTTGCACGATCAGAACCTGTTCTTCCCGGTACCTGCTACAAGCAGTAGATTCAAACAAAGATGTGGAAGGTAGCTTCCATGAGCATTAAAGTGTACATAAGCATGTGAATATTGCCATTTTCCAATAAGCTACTGCAACCGCAGCTTAGGTGTAGATGCTTTGCGTGTAACCAAAACAGTTGTGGAACAACCTATTGACGAAGATGACCATGCCGCCCACACTCCCGCTGTTTTGTCGGTGGCTGGCATTTTCTGGGGCAATCCCACCACACTCGCGTTCGTTCGCGAGCAACTTCGCCTGGTCGATGCTTCTGATGAAGGAGACTCCGCCCTGAGGTCCCATTCCCACATCATATGCTTTTCAATCGAAACGCCGGGAGTTGAAAAAAACTCTGACTGATAGCGGCTATTATCTGCTCCGTCCACAAGCCTAGAACACGACCTTCTCAGTCTGACATCCCTGAACCGTCAAATTGCGCTGGGATTTCTCGTGCTGGCATACACCTTTGGGCCAGCAAACATGCCACATGTGTAAGCGGTCCAATCACGTTCTCCTGGTGGCTGCGCGGCCCCAAAACGTGACCTTGCTTTTGCGACGCGAGCGTGGCGTTCCTGAAGGATTGCGCCCGTCGTGGCTGCAATGGACTTTGTGATTGGTTGGCCTTCCATCCCCCAAATAGAAAACAGCTTGCTTCAACGCGTGGAATCCAGCGCAGCAACGAACAACCGAACTTTGACCACGACCAAGGCGAAAGCGTTAGCGAAAATATCACGAAAGACCAAACGTTTTCGCAGTGGCAGAATTGTTGTAACAAGTCCTTGTCGCCCAACCTCCGTTCAGCCTAGCCCCAGTCACTACATAAGCGTTCTGACATCTGACAAATAGAGACAGCTGCTTTCTTTATCCGCCCCGTTGCTCCGCGCCGTCTTCGTATTCTCAGCCATCTGCAAGCCTTCATCGTTGAGCGCGACCTACATTATCTCTCTAAAAATCGAATCACCTTTTGGCCTAAGCACGCGGACTCTACTGCGCTCCGCTGGGAGTTCAACGCAATCAGCGACCCTGACGCACGACGAACAAGGAGACACTGCGCATTCAGCATGGCGTCGCAAAAGTTCGCGCTTCTACTACTTTTCGCCAGTCTTGCTCTTCTTGGTGAGTCTGGTGGCCTGTGCCACTTATGGAAAAATGGCAATGCGTAATAACTGCTCAGCAGGCTGGAACACTTTCTATTCTAAAAGCGGCTCTTTGCAGTGATGTGCCCCAACGAAAGTTGTCGCAGTGGTATCATGACATACCAGTCCTATCGCAGTAACTCTTTCACTGCGACTACCAGCCCGGTGGGAGCTTCGAAGCCCATGGGTGGCACATCGCATGCTTCGTCCTCACCTCCGTTTCTCCTCCCGTTCCGCTATTTCCGCTTGCGTTTCCCCTCTGAGCAGCGCCGACACTGAAAGGGTGGCGAATAATTTGCGTGGGGTTCGGTTACGGTAACCCCGCCGACCCGTGGGGCCCTACCGTGAATAAGTACAAAGCTGGAGCCGTACACCCATTCGATGTAGTCAGTAAGTAAACAATTCGATTAAAAAAATGCATAAAAGCTTTCTTTAATACGCAAATGCCCTGTTACATATGCTCTTTCGCACTCGCCACCTTCCGGTGCCAATCCATTTCCTTCCCCCATATTGCAAATCCGTTTCCGTTACAGTGTTCCGGTGGATGACGGGCCAGGTGCACAGCGTGTATATGTTGGAGGACCCGGTCAAATACGCCACGTGCAACGTCAAGGGCACCAAGGAGCTCTTCCGGCCGTCCGGCGCGGGGCACGTGCTGTGGATCCCGCAGCCCAGCGACCTGGGGAAGACGTTCTACTTCGTGAGCAAGGGCAACGACTGCCTCAACGGCATGAAGGCCGTCCTCAAGATCACGTGAAGTGCCGGATTCGTTGGGGTCGCTGGTTCGGTAGGGTGGGCCAGGGGGGTGGACTCCGCTGCCCCAGCGATCTGGGGAAGACGTTCTACTTGGTGAGCAAGGGAAAGGACTGTCAAGGCCGCCGTCAAGATCACGTAGGGCTCCGTTCGGGCTGGATGGGGTCGGTAGAGGAAGGGGTTAATGGATCTTCTACTGTAGCAACGTGGGGAATATAGCTCGTGTTCGATGAAAGGGTTATCTCAAAACGGCGTCATCTCAGATCTTAGCCGCAGCAGCAGCAGCAGCAAAAACTGCGCTAACGGGGTCAGAATCATCATCATTCCATCAATAGTTTCTGACAAGTTTTCTTCTTTTTTTTTTTTTTTTTTTGTTACAATGTAGCATAATTACGCAAGGAAAAGGAGTGGAAACGGGAAGAGAGGAGAAAAGGAGGAATAACGTGAGTAGAAAAAAGGAGAGAGGAAGAAAGAAGGAGGGGAATAGGGGAAAAATGATAGGAGGAAGAAAAACAGGGAAGAAGGAAGAAAAAGTAGCACACACAACCCCAAGAAAACCCCAATAGCACACACATTTAAAACACCATCAAGCCCTCCCATCAAAGCACCCCAACTGCACTCCCATCGAACCAAACCTCCCCCCCTAAACCCACTCCCTAAACCCGCATGTCTACCAAGTTTCCGTGCGTGACCTTGGTACACGAGTGTATAGTTTGCTTAGGGCAGGTGTATGTATAATAAGTGTGTGTTCAATGTTTTAATGTGTTCACGCCATGTTGCTTCCTCCTGCTCCATGCCATGATGCTTGCTCTATGTATGTCAATTGCCTACTGCTCGTGCCTTCTAGGGCCTGCCGGCCAGATCCTTCTATGTTTACCCAGTGAGGAAAAAAACCTGTCACTCCGCAATCGTAACCCCGAACGAAAGCTGGAGTGACATTTAGCGTTAGATTGCAGGAGCTTTGTTTGTCTACATTCTTACACAACATCTGAGCTCGTTTGTGTTTATGGTTACAATACAACCTGAGGCCAAATAAGGAGCTTATCCACCTTAATATCAATGGCATCTTGTAGGAGATATGTCAGCGGTGAGCTTGCTAGTGTATAGAATAGTAAATTGAGATAGAATGTGTACCAACGGGTTCAGCCAGGTGCATAGGGTCGCTACAAGCCATTGGCCTTCTGAATCTTTTGGATTTGGTTGAGGAAGATCCAGGTCAGCTGCAGGGACAAGTGGGAGGAAAGCGCACAGCAAGCCACAGAATTAGAACCACGAGTCGGGCAAAGCCATGGGACACTAAACAAGCAACCACAAGGCAACCCGAGCAACGGAGGTTCATGCATAACAGGGCAAATCCAGTGTGGAGACCGACACATGCCCACTGCGTGAAACTCCCAAACTCCACAACATACAGCCCAGGCAGGCATACGGTACCATGACGTGCGTAGAAATACCGTACGTTCGCAGCTGGTGGCAAAGCGTGCGGAGTGGAGCTTGAGCGGCACTCACTCAACTCAACCACAGCAACGCGACATGCCATGACATCAAACCCACTCTACCCCAACAGCCGCACCCACACCCCAATGGCAACCCCACCCACACCCCAAGATCGAACCGAACCACACCGATACACCCAACCCACACATACCATGACGTGGGGCGCAATACGTATGCAGTAGGTGGCGAAGCCGGTGTAGAACTTGAGGGGGCCGCCCTGCTTGAGCGTCTTGAGCACGCAGTCCATGGAGGAGGTGTACGGCAGCTTGCCGTCCGGCCCCGGCTTCTGCTTCTGAATCTGCGTCTTCACGTAGTCAAACGGCAGACTGCACGCCGAGGCAAAGAAACCTGAGACCGCACTCGCGCCTGAGGGATGGGGGATGGCGGAAGGGATGCGGGAAGGGGAGCATTCAGAGCTTCTGCTTCTGGATCTGCGTCTTCACGTAGTCAAATGGCTAAATGCATGCGGATGGTAAAATCCTGATACAGCGCTCGCGCGTTAGGGATGGGGCACGGGCGGATGGAGGAAGGCGGGATCGGGGGGGGGCTCGGAGGGCAGCAGAGGAACACGAGGCTCGCTCACAAGGGTGGGAAGAAGTCAGAGGGTGGTCGAGAGAGGAGCAGAGATGCACCATGTGCTTTGCACTCCGACCGTACACACCATGCCCACGCCAGCACCATGCCGCCCACAACCACAACTCCCTATCACCACACGCATTACTGTCACACCCTCGCTATAAGCACGTACCGATGACAGCGGGGATCTCCTTGAGCTGCAGCGTATCCTTGAAGTACTCCATGCTCTGATCGTACGACGCCAGCATGCCCATGTTCAGCGCCATAGCACGGACCACCGTGGGACCCGCGCCCTTCCACAGCGCCAGCACACCCTCGTCCGCCGCTATACGCGTTAGAGCGTGAATCGCGTTCTTGTACCCGCGCCGCTCCGCCGCGGGGAGCACGGAGTCCGCCTGCATGCGGATGAGCGCTAGATCCGCGGGACTGCCGAAGCACGCGCCGATGGCGCCCGCCGTCAGCCCGCACGCCGCCTTCTGGTAGAGCGGCAGGGGCTTGCCGTCGTTGGCCTTGGTGGCCTCCGTGGTGAGATACCTGCAGATCAGTAACAGGAGGAGGTCAAGAGATGTGGCTGAGAATGAGCGATCCAACACATTGACGAAACTGATTTCACGACATCTAAAACGAGGCTTTTGAGGGATTTGCGAGGGGGTGGATGCGAGAGGGGTACGGATCCGCGCGCGTGTCCCCCACGCGTACATAATCTCTTGGAGCACTGATGCGGAGATTAAACGAAGGACATTCCCTCCGGACCGTGAAATATGGGTCTCTTACAACCTTCCACTTGACGTTGATAACTGACGTCAACGAGATCCGATTTCACTAACTCACTTTCGCGCAATGTGGTTCCATAGGGAATCTTGTGTTGCAATTCTACAAACCTAGCGCTGTCAATGCACGTCACTTGCATGGCATGTGCTGACACGTTGAAATGTTTAAGGATGCATAGACCTCGCTAGCAAAATATAGTAGTCTGGTGACTGCATGTTACAAGAGGAATGTAGAATGCGATTGGGAAATGCGAAGTACCTGAAGGATCCAAGGCGAGCGGTGGTATACGTGGCTTGTCGGAGGAGACCCGCAGACAAACCCTGAAGAGAGGAAGAATGGCATACAGATAAAACCACTCGATCAACAATGGGCAAGATGGCGAGTGCTCGACTCGCGCGCAGACTTGGAAGATTTAAAATGAAAATGCGAGACAAGAGTTGATAAAGGAGTTCCCAACTGACACCCTTCAGGAACCACCGATCGCCTCATTCCAGACAACGAAGAAGACAAGTTCCCTGGAACGTGGCGCAGCTGATGTCTTTGTTCGTAAATCCATTATGCTTAAAATCTGAGATAGTGTTCATATCCATAACGCGCATGATAATACCTTGTGCCGAAGCATTACGTTACCTTGTAGAAAGCCCCGACGCCTTCCTTCTGGAGGATATTCTTAGTAACTTCAAACGCCGAACCCTGACCCAACTGGATCCGGACCTGTTGCATGCAAGGGAATAAAAAGACAGGGAGAAAAAAAAGAGGATTATTTAAATAGAGAATGAAAACACGAGCAGTGAATGTTCAGTAACGGATCGTGATAGGATGGTCGCGGTAGTTCATTCAAGATCACGTGGCTTAAGATAACAGACACTCCATTCTCGATATTCATCGATAGCCAAGGTCAGATTAGGTCGGCGTCGGGAAGCAAGAAACGAACCTTAACCATGTCGATGGGTTGGATCACGCACGTGGCCATCATACCGGCCGTTCCGCCATTGACGAACGGCTTCACGGAACTCCACACCGACCCCTTCTTCTGCTCCGCCATGTCTGATCGATCGACACAGAAGCTAACCGTGAGCCGATCCGCGCGATCGACTGGAAAGACAGCCGGAGCAGGACAGCAGGCAGCACAGCGTGCTGAAAAGAACACCAGAATTTGCTACCTCTTGCAATTACTGAACTTGCTCTCCTGATCAATAGAAATATGAAGCCAGGAGATTTCCCTGTTTGCCTGGAATCGATACCTGTGAGCAAAATCCCCGAGGTCAGCAGACTCTAATGGAGGAGCCAGGAATTGGAGGGAAACTCTCCCCAAGGGTCTGCCTGTCACACTGTTCCCAAGAGTTACAGTACTTCGTCATGCCAGATCCGTGGAGCGAACCCAGCTGAACTTGCTGGTAACCGCTTGAGCTGCGCTGCTGAGGTGGCACCTTCGAAGACCGTGAGATTGCGATGCCTTGTGGGTCTGAGAGGAATGGGGCTTTCGCATATTTCGTAGCCTGTCACTGGGCACCACTCACCGAAGTGCGGGAGCCTATGGTGTTGTGACAAATGAAGCGAGGGGGGCTGCAATTGGAGCAGCACCTGAACTGTACAAATGTTTCCGCAACTGCATTCCGCTTCACTTCCACTGTTTCAACAAGATATTTGCGTACATCTTTGTTATAGATTCACCCTCTAGAAATCACGAAAATTACTTTCTGGACCTTCCAAAATACGTTATGTATAATTTCGAGTGGGCGTTTCAGCCCCAACAAGTACCATACTGGGGCATTAATTGTGATGAAAATTGATGGTTTGGAAGGTTTTCAAGTTAAGCCTCCACCTCACATAAAGATGTTTCAGCCTAAGCAAAACCTGAGCCATTGAGTTAACATGGCAACCAAGCATGTGACTCGCTAAGTACGCCTTGTGCAGGATGCATCACATCCGCGCCATACGCGCTATGTATAACCTGCATTCGTATACGCTTTCGCGGGCAGGCCTGTAAGCTTCAACCGGGCCCTTGCCGTACTTGGCCCCCTTTACCGTATTCGCGTTACGCGGGGAGCTTGGTGCCCACGGGGAACTGCGGGTTATCAACACCGTGCGCGACGAAGTACGGACCGACGTACATCTGCGGGTCCAGCACCGTGCTCCACGTGGGCCTCCCGAGGCCCTGCTGCCCCAGCACCACCCTCGGCCCCACCGGCGACATCTTCACGAGGTTAACCCCCTTGAGCTGGGTGGGCAGCAGCTGGCCCTTCTTGATCGCCTGCAGGTCTGACAGCGGGAGGCGCGCGGCGATGATCTGCACGGCCGTGAGGTTGTAGGCCACGTCGTTGGAGAGCTTCTTGCCCTTGAAGCGCAGCGACAGCCGGTCCGCCACCACGTCGTTCATCAGCAGAATCGTAGCGCTCTGCAACGCCGTGAGGTTGTACTTTGAGTTCACTGTATCGGGGATACCGAGGGGGGAGGGGGGGGGGGGGAGGAAGAGAGTTAGGGACGGAAGGGTGGTCATCGGAACCGGCTGCTGCAGGTGAGAGAGCGTGGGAGAATCGAAAAGTACAGCATGGGGAGGATCGTAGAGAGACCGTCTGGTGAGTCAGCGGCTGACGAGACTGAATAGCGGTCTCAAGTAGGACTCCCATAAAGACCTATCTTCAGCATTCCAGGGGCGGATTTTCCGGGTGCTCTAGAGTACTGCGACGGGACTCACGGGCGACGTTGATGGCCTTGTTGACTTGCGTCGAGTACTTGGCGTATTTCGGGTACTTCTTCGTGATCGTCGCCGACAGCTTCTTCAGCTCGGCGCGCAGCTGCGTCTTTGTCGGTGGCTTCGGCTTCGGCGCTGCTCCCGTTCCTGTGGCCGGCGCTCCCTTGCCGGTCGGAGCGGGAGTTATCGCGCTAACGCACGACACGGCGCAGATGACGGCAAGCGCGGCTAAAGCGACGGCGAAGGCGACTGAACGAGCCATGGCTCTTGTTGACTGGCTTCGAGTCTGGTGATAGAGGCTAGTTAGTGCGTATTGATCGACTACGGTCGAACTATGGATTTCTGAATCGGACTGCTGCGTCAAATGAGACTGTCACTCACAAGAAAGCGAGTTTAGATGGCCAGAGAATGGAAGTGGAGATGTGGGCAGTGGCTGATTGTCCAACACTTTCATTGGCCTACATTTAAAGGGCACGAACACGCACAGGCGTTTCAACTCGCCGTGTTTTCGTCGGTCACCTGTTCTGTCGGAGCGGTTCGACATGGCTTCGAGGGTACCTCGCCTCGCCACCGAAAGAGCACAATAGCCGTTTGCTCGCTTGACAAACGGATCTATCACTTGCATGGATGCTTCCTTTCCCGTCCCTTTTCCATAGCCGCTCTCTCTCCTGTTGTACATTTGGTTTGGATAGCGGAACCTCAAGGACATTGACTGCGGTGGTGTACGCAGCTGTAATCTTGACGCGCCTGAAAAATTGGAATGCAGCGGGCCACCGGCGCTGTGGGAAGGAGCGGGAAACTCCACTGGTCGTCCGGAAGGGACGCGACTCGATGAGTGCGGACCGTCGTGGTTCATGCGCTGAAATTTGAAAGGCGGGATTTGCCAAGCCGCTGTAAGTGGTGGCTGGAAAACCAATGTCGAAAGTGTCGGTTGCCCAAATATTCCGCTAAAGAAACACCCGTTCTCGCTCACTAAACACAGTCCGGAATGAACTCACTCAATGTTAGTCATTTAGTATCAGACCATCTTTGGATAAACTCTAACAAAAATAAACATGTGATCGATACTATTCAAGTCGAAAGCATGCTCTTTTGGTTGGACCAATGATAACACCCATTATTTAGGGTGGATTGTATGAGGGTTTACGATACGTGTCATGGGTTTTTCTAGCTCTTGTACTACTCACGTTTCGAAAGTGGCAGCGGAAATGGCTCAATGAACTAGAGAAACGCGAGCTGAATAAATTTGTAGAATGCAGGTGTAGCAGATTGCTTGTTCGTATTGTATCGATGAATGCTTTTAGAGGCTAAAAAACCGATCGCAAAGGGGTTTGTGTAAGTGTGGCACACGTGTAAGATCTTCCCAAGCCACCTGTCCGCGTTGCAAGAAGACAAGATAGTGTCCTCTTTTTACTGTTCACGGGACCTGTGGCTATCGGCAGGGGCATCAATTCTCTTTTCCAGGATTGGAGGAAAGTAAAGTTGCAGGATGATCACGCTATCGGCGACGTGCACCCCCATCCCGTACTGCACCCTTACGACGTGTTACGAACCACACGGATCGTGTCGACCGACCCCTGATCCCGAGGAAGGCTGCGACGCGGATCTAGCCGACCTGGTCAAGCCAACCCGACCAGGCTGGATTTGTCCGACCTGGATCAACCATGCTGGGTCAACCAAACGGACCAAACCCAACCCAAACGATCTGGAGCCGGTTACTCGATCTGGCAAGCTTTGGGGTTCTCGCGCAGATGTCGCCTTTATTTTGCTGCAGCGCGCCCTAATGGAAAAGTCCAAAAAGGGTGCCCACAGCTGACCTTCTGGAAACCAAACCTTTTCTGTGTTCCACGTGGCACAAGACTGTTAGTGAATGCCTGACCGACGGAAGGTGGTACATTATACACCTAGCCCGCGGTAATTTCACCGCGTGAACGTTTTTTTTCAAGGCACCCTTTGTGCGTTTTCGGGTAATTCGAAGGGCACTCTGAGACTCCGAGGCTAACAGTATAGAGCTAGGATGCATATCAGTCTCATATACTGGCACTTAGTGACCCAAGATAAGGGCGGGATTGGCATTTACAAAGCTTATACTCTCCTCATCTGGCGAAGGGAATGCATGATTCTACCCTCTCCAAATCCGAAACTACCTTTGTAAACTAACTTTACTGCGGGAAAGTACACCCGGGTGGTGAAGATACCGCCGGTGAATTTACCGCGGACTAGGTGTATCGAGCTCTTTACAGTACAGTAATTGTGCTACTCTGAAGTGTCTGAAGACTCGGTTTATATCAGCATTATGTATATCGAGCAAAGAATGCTTATGATTTTTGTCACAAGGGGAAAAAAAAAAAAGCAAACAAACAAAAATACAATCAAAATTCTTCATCGAAATTCTTCAGTTTTTTTTTCTTTGTTTTACCTATAAACATCTTCACTAACGTGTCGCAACGATCATGTTTGTAGTATCAGGAAGAGAAGACAAAAGGAGGAATAACGTGAGGAGAAAAAAGGAAAGAAGAAGAAAGAAGGAAGGGAATAGGGAGAAAATGGTAGGAGGAAGAAAAACCGGGAAAAAATAAGAAAAAACACAAGACACAACATCAAGAAAACCCCAATAGCACACACAATTGAAACCCCATCAGACCATCCCATCAAAACACCCCAACTGCACTCCCATCGAACCAAAACCCCCCCTAAACCCACCCTCTAAACCCGCATGTCTACCAAGTAGGGTGCATCCGCCCACGGAGCATCCCATCCCATCTCCTCCTCAACATCCTCCCGCTCCACCCAAACAGCCTCTGGACCTCTCATCATCGACGCCGCGCGTAACAAGATCACACGCGCCTGAGCCCGCTGCAAAGCCACACCCACGGCCGCTTTGAGTGAACCGAGCAAGTAAGCCGAGAAACCCTTTCCCGTAGCTCGCGCCGCCCCTTTCGTCTTTGCTATCTCGATCTGCGCGTTCAAACCTTGCTGCTTAAGCCACCGTCCAAAACTCCCCCCCAAGCATCCCCATGTCTCAGCAATGAGGGGTGTTAATGGCACTCCCCTATGCCGCTGTAGAAGCGATTTGTAGTCCGCCGCCTTCCGCTTTTCTCTCTCTCTCGCGGCAAAACCCACCTTGCGCCCAATCTGTCCATGGTGCTGCGCGGATAGCGAGATAGGGTCTACCACACTAACCTCCAACGCGTGCTCCTCCCCCTCCCTCAGTTTCCGAACCGCCACATCAACCCTCTTCCCTGGGAGCAACGTGTCGTCTTCCATGGTCACAATCCCACCCGCACCCTTAGCTATCTTCGCCACCACAAACTTAACCGCATCGTGAACACGAGAAGGTGCATACTGATACTTGCAGCGAAGGGCATGATGCGGGTTAGATGGATCAGCAAACTCAAACCCACACGCGCACTTGCCGGCCACTATCAGCTGCTGTATAGGGAGGCCTAAGCGCATGGACGCGCAGATGCTCCACTCGGCTGCGGTGAAGGTAGCCTCCTCGTGCGAGTTATCAGCCATGCAATACAAACCATGCTCATTACAAGAATACCCGGTAGCCGGGCGGCACGTGCTTGAAAAGTGTTGTAGCTTCTCGCTTGCTCGCATGTACTTTCGCCCTCGTCGTCACGGGCAAAATTATGACTGTAAAATGAAAGCGCAAAGAAATTGGGTTGTGGGTGTTTAATTTTCGTAACCATGTCAGCAATCTGATGACGTGTGTTCTTTGTTGTTTTTGCACTGATGTTGGCTTTTCGGCATTTTGGTAACTGTACCCCGAAAATATCATAATGCTCATTTTAGTCACTCCACGGGCAAAAACGTTGGCGAGTGAGAATATTTAATTGTGCTCAGCAATTTGTTTGTGATAGGATGGGCATCGACTGTATCTGGAAGCGGACAGGGATCGCAAAATATCTGGTGATCCAACCAAGTCCCCCAAACTCCCCGCCACCTCATTTCCCTCCATTTTCCCGACGGCCAATTTTCTTTCCCGAACAAGCATATTGCGACTGAATTCCAGTGCTGTTCGTCTGTCTTCTAGCCTATGAATCTCGCGCCGCACTTTCTGCTTTGCAACTCGCCCCACTCGTTTAGAAACACACGCACCCAATCTGCTCACCCCACCACATCGTCGTATCGTCTCGTCTCCCGTTCTGAAACAAACAAGGAAGCCTTTTCTGATCCTGTTGTTCCAGTTTCAGCAGCAGAGAATGCTGTTCCCTCCTCATTCCACATCGACCTTCAAAGCAAGCCTTTTCTAATTCCTTCCTTATTCTACTTATCTGCGACGTGATGGCTGGGCGGAATTTTCTGAGTAAGCCTCGGGACCGCAGCGAGAGCTCCGACGGTCTCGAGCCGGTAATCGTCGTGCTAACTGACGGATCGATTCGCCTTTTCTCCCACGATGACGCGCCACTCTCCGCCCAAACCGTCCTCTCGGAATTCCCTGGCATGAGCCTCGCGTCGCTCGATGGGCCTGTTTCCCCGTCCGCCCCGCTCGTGCCTGGCGAAACCTATTTTCTCACTCCGAGGCGCGCGCCCTCTCGCGAAGAGGCTTCTTCAATCCGTTTCGCGAAGCCCCCTCCCGCGGCTTGGGCTGGCGCATCCGCCTTCCGCGCGCCCGCTTCTCTCCCTCTGCGCAGCCCCCGCGCCGTGAGCGACGGTAACATCCCGCTGATGCGAGGCGGCGCCGCCGGTGGGTGGGCTTTGCGACGCGATTTAGAGGCGAGCGTCGCGAACGTGTCGCTCAATCATGTCGCAACGTTTCCGACGACAGCGACGACAACGGCGGCGGTGGCGACGACAATTGAGTCGATTCAAACCGTCGGTGTGTGGTCGCGCGCATCGTCGCCGTCGGCCGTCGAGTCGCCAAGTTGCGCCAGCGGCAGCATGCAGAGCCGCGAAGAGACCCTCGAGACCTGCTTCGCCACGCAAGAAAGCTTCGGTTCGGGCCGAGGCAGCAGGTTTGGCTCGGGCCGGGCCGGCGACGACGATGGGGAGTCAGATTGGAGCCGATGCGATCATTACGGGCCGTCAATTTCGTTTAACGGCCGTCACGGCAGTTACTACACCGACAATTTAAACGCGCTTGTGCTCCAAAAGTCGAGGACGTTCAGCGGCGCGGCGGCGCAGCGCAGCAGCGAGAACGGATCTAGTAGACTCCACGCCAACGAGGTTCCGTCGCGATGCCACGAGGCCCCTTCCCCGCAAGCCACGCCGAATCCCATCCTCGCCGAGGTAAGAAGCCGCGCTTGTTACTACCGCTTCTGTGAGAGCTTTGTACCTAAGAAATTGTATCGAGTTCAGTATAAGTAGACGTCCGTGTGCTTCTAACGTGTCAGTTTCGAGCATTACTGCTCATTGGGATTTCTACCGCGTTCTCCTCCCGTGCCCCTCACTGCAGTTGGCCGTTCTTGAGGAGGAACTTCCCCTTGAACTACCTCTTGAAGAGCCTGAAGAGCTTGCTGCGGCGGGCTTTGCCGCGTGGGGCAGCAGCCCCGCCACCACAGCTGCGACATCTGGCGCGTCTGGCGCGTCTGGCGCGTCTGGCGCGTCTGGCGCGTCTGGCGCTCCCTGCGCTGCACCTCCCGCCGTCGCGGAGGCGGCGTCGCTGAAAGGCAAGGTGCTGGCGGCGCTCGCGCGCTTCACCCCGCGCCAACTGCGCCGCGCCGCGTCAGCTTCGTCGTCCGGCAAGGAAGCCATGGCTACTACTGTTGCGCCTCTGCCTGGAAGCACGGAGTTCTCCAGGCGCAATGCGGACCTTCCGCCGGTCGCAATGGCTGCGGCTGCGTCTCATCGTGGCTTCGGCCGCTCGGTGATGATGTGTGGTGATGATGCTGAGTCAGCACAGGGCTGGGTTGACGTGGAAGGTCCAGTGCTCATGATGACGGACACGCGCATCGGCCATCACGCACTGTCAGGTTCTAGAAGCAGCAGCGTAATGACAGGGCGGCAGGGACGATTCGCACAGCAGGAACGATTCTCACAACAGGAACGGCATCCTGAGATCACTGGAATGAATGGGGCACAATTTTCCACAGGACCTGCAGGAGGGATTAACCCGTCTGCTCCTCGGGAACTCCATCGCGCTCCTTCCCTTGAAGCTGCACAGCAGGGTGAAAACTCCTTTGAGCACTGTGACGATGAGTGGCACAGGTATGCTTATGGGTTGACAGCTAGGCAGAGGGCGCATGTCGGGCTAAGTGAGGACCTTGTGAGTAGGCAAAGCGGTGATGCAGCAGCTAGAAACGAGTACTTCATGCCTCCTGCTTGTGAGAGGTACCTCTCTGGACCTCCCCTCCTCCAAGCCACATATTAGTGTGCGTGCGCTGCTTGTCTGCCCCTAAATCTTCGGGCTCAGTGTGTAGGATGGGGACCGGCGAAATTTTGTTTTGACCCTGTGTTGCTAGCCTGAGTATGTCTCCATCACACTCACTGTGCTGTTATCTGTAGGCGTTTGCCCTTGCCTGTAATAGCTCAACGTGTACGCGCTAGATGAATATTCCCACTGCTAATAGAACCCCAGTGAACCCAGTATGGTTCTGTGTTGAGCACTTGCTAGCCTAAAGTCTTTTTTGCCGAAGACCACCGCTGTTAAAACCCGAGTACAGCACGGTAGACCAACATAATGTGCCAGTCATCCCAGTTGCATCCCTTGCAAGCTGAAACACCTCCTGGTGAAGTTCCCTTGCGTGGTAACTGAAGCATCTACCGTGTCCTTGTGCGAGTCCTCCATGCAATCCTTCCACTAGCACAAGTACCGGTACAACCCACTCCCGCCGCACACTTGGATTCCTGCGGAGGAAATGGAGCTTGTTGAACCTGCTTCTGCAAATCTCCTCTGACCACACCGGCTCCAAGCTCCAGCCCAGACCTTCCCTGTCAGATCTGCTTCTGGTCCTGAAAATGCTCGTGCCTTCAGAACCGTGGCCGCTAGAAACAGATCCCATCCTACCTAACCAAAGCTGCTGGTATGTGCAGCCACATTTCAAGAAACTGCAGGTGGATTCTTGCAGCCCGTGGCCTGGAACACGCACAAGCCGAAACACAAGGTCTTCCATACCCCCAAAATTTGGAAGAACTCAGTTTATGAGGCCATTGCACGGTCCCAAAGAGCACCACACTCCCAGAAAGATTTCATTATATTGGAGAGATTTCAGGCTGCACGACCAGCATGTGAGAAGTGCCCAAAAGCAGTCCGCACTTCCCTAATCACCTCATGGCTCAGCCTCAGCCTGGTGAGAGGACCGAAGAAGAGGTAATGCGCAGACACCAAGGAGCTCCCTACCACGAATATCCACGCAGCTACATCCTTCCACCCCCACAGTTTCAACGGTGACCTTTCCCCCTTGGATTCGCGAGCAGCTGAGCTAGAGTCAGTACCTCCTCCTAGTGTAGATTGCCTGGCCTTTCTGCCCTGGCTTCCTCTCCCTGACCGCTGACGCATGATGTAACATTCTGTCGCCGAAACTATCCCGTGGAGAGTGAAGAACATCGTCATTTCGCCTGTAACCCGGTTACTCATGTACCAAACAGCCATCTCGTGAGCCAATCCAGAGACAAAGAACGTCGCCAGCATCCCCACCAGCTTCGCTAGTCTACTCTCCGTTATTGGTGCCTTGCTGCGAGATTTCCGTTCAGCTCCGTTACAATGTACCCCTCCGTTCTGTATCGCACCGTTCTGCTTCTCTCCATTTTGTATATGAGACATCTGAGCTTCAGCAGAAAGCGAATCGTTGCTCCGATCAGCTGCCGCTGATCCTGCTGCGGCTGCTGCTGCAAACGACGCTGATTCTGCTTCAGACGCTGATGAGGATGTGGCTGTACGGGGAGTGGTACCCCACATGACGGCGAATTTCACGGGCTCGAAAATAGTTTCGCGAAGGCACGTACTGACGGTGAGATTCCACCGTCGCGCCCAGAGCTCCTGGAATGACGTGGCCAAGTACGGGTGGTTGAAGTGAGGCAGCATCTTGATGTCCAGGAACGCTGCTGCGACGCCGGCGAAAGTTTCGCAGACGATGGTTACAAAGAGGAAGAGGTTCACGGAAAAGACGACGTGCATTAAGAAGAGCGGGGCGACGTCGAGATATGCCATCAGCTTCATCGTGTAAAAAAATACTAGAAGCTTGAAACTGCTTCGGATTAAGAGCATAATCCACGTCTCCGACTGTACGGCATCAATAATCCAATCAATCACGCTCTGCTTAGACACGTCAGCACCCGGTTTGCTGGAGACGTCCTTAACAACTGGCTGGATGTGAATTGGGAGGGAAAGCGCCGCGACGAACCTACACATGTCAGATGAAATCCAAGGACTGGAAAGAACGCCGGTATCCCAGCAGAAGCACAGGAGCTTGAAGGAGCTGATCCATGCTGTGATGCAGTAGACAATTACGACGCCAAGAACCTGATCGTCTTGCCGAAAGATCCATGGAAGAAAGATGTTCGCCGTAAGAGCTGGTATGGAGACGATTAGCCTCGGAAGACCGACTCGCGTGGGTTTGACCACGGTGTAGCAGTACAAGGCGATCAGTAACGCGCCAGCTGCGGCGAAGGCCCAGCCTTGTCCCCAAGAAACGTCCAGCGCCATCGAGGGTGCTGAAAAAAACTCACGGGAAGCGGTGAACCTCAAGCACCGCCCAGATGCACACACGTCTACCCTCAAACAACCTAGCTACTGGCAGGAAGTTTCGGCGATTCGCCAGTCCCCCATAGTTCATGGCATTCTGACAGTGACGACCTGCATTTCTTGAAATGAACCTAGGATGCTGGGGGCTAGGCAGGCAACCTTTCATAGCATTGGTCCTCGATTCTGTGCCTCCTAGTCAGCCATGGAGCTGTTGTTTCCTGCTTTGTAGTGACAGACGACAATGCGTAAGTGGCCGCGGGCAAAAGCGAGTTCTTGCGGACAGAGGATGATTTTTTCGAACCAACGACAACCGTACTAAAAATCATGCCACCACTTCGTATCGTGCGCTGCATTCCCTGGGAAAACTCCTCTACCCCGCCCGCCCCCCACGCCCCCGTTTCATTGGCATGGCGGAAAATGCTTCCGTTCCGCGTTCCCCCACCGTTTCGATCTCTTCCTGCTCCAGCCCAGAGATGAGATGATGCACTGGGCACCATGCACCGCGCAACATGCACCTCGCATCCATTTCTATACGGTGGCGGTGCGCCAACTCATTGACTGGTGCCACATCGGAACACATCTCGTCGAGTGTTTTTTCTGTTGAAGTTGAAAGCCAATCTTGGCCTTCGATCCTCCACAAGGTTTGGAGTTGGTTTTCGAAGCGGGAAGAGATCATCGAGGGGCCGAACATTTGCAGAGAAGTGGCCCAATTAGGGCCGTGTGAGTCGCAGCCCTATTACGTAGGCCCGAACCTGATGACGAGCCTAGATTATATTTTCCGAGCCAAAACAAATATAAACCCCTATTGGATGGCATCCTCTTAGGGAGGAATCAACCCTAAACACTCTGCAACAAGGTGTTTAGGGTTGACCTGTTTCTAAACAAAATTTCGTCAGCTTGTTGGGTGTTTAGGTTAGAAAATTGTTCGGGCTAGGTGCGGCGCTGGTTCGGCACTGCTGTGAAGGGGTGCGACTCACGCGGCCCTAACTCGGCCACTTCTCTGCTAATGTCCGGCCCTAATTCGATCATTTCCGTTTCGAAGCTCCTGATCCCAAGTGGAAGGATTTTTTTCCAAACGTGCTAGGTCTCATTATTCTAGCAGTAGTTGTAATCACTTCCGCTTTTTTGCATTCTGCGCACTATTCTTCTTACAACTCGTAACACCAAGGCACAAATCCGATCAAACGGCACAGACGATGGCGATCACCAATGAAAAGAATGACGAGCAGCGATTATAGGCAAATGCAAACATACATGTTTCAAAAATGCCCCCCTCCCATAGATTTCAGCACCTAATGATACGAGATATATAGAGACTCACAATGTAGCACAATTACGCAAGGAAATTGAGTGGGAACAGGAAGAGAAGAGGAAAGGAGGAATAACGTGAGGAGAAAAAAGGAAAGAAGAAGAAAGAAGGAAGGGAATAGGGAGAAAACGGTAGGAGGAAGAAAAACCGGGAAAAAGGAAGAAAAAACACAAGACACAACCTCAAGAAAACCCCAATAGCACACACAATTGAAACCCCATCTAACCATCCCATCAAAACACCCCAACTGCACTCCCATCGAACCAAAACCCCCCCTAAACCCACCCTCTAAACCCGCATGTCTACCAAGTAGGGTGCATCCGCCCACGGAGCATCCCATCCCATCTCCTCCTCAACATCCTCCCGCTCCACCCAAACGGCCTCTAGACCTCTCATCATCGACGCCGCGCGTAACAAGATCACACGCGCCTGAGCCCGCTGCAAAGCCACACCCACGGCCGCTTTGAGTGAACCGAGCAAGTAAGCCGAGAAACCCTTTCCCGTAGCTCGCGCCGCCCCTTTCGTCTTTGCTATCTCGATCTGCGCGTCACCCTGCTTCTTAAGCCACCGTCCAAAACTCCCCCCCAAGCATCCCCATGTCTCAGCAATGAGAGGTGTGAACTGCACTCCCCTATGCCGCTGTAGAAGCGATTTGTAGTCCGCCGCCTTCCGCTTTTCTCTCTCTCTCGCGGCAAAACCCACCTTGCGCTTGGTGCGCCAGTGACGTGGAGTGATAGGTTGAATTGAAGTGCTGGCGTTACAGTCACTTCTAGCACAGAATAAAAATACCACAAATTAAAGAAATGATAATGCCAAGTGTTTGCGATGTCAGCAATATTTGTACATTCGGTAGCCATTGCGATCCATTACCAGAGCAGAGCAAAGCTATACACTGAAATATTAGCATATCCTGGTCTCTCCAGCTAATCGCTGCAGCTGAGCAGCCTTCAAAAGGTCCTCTGAGATCGAATTCTTGCGAGAGTGCGACCTCCTAAAAATGCGACCACTGGGTGTAGGATTGCCTCGATAAGTGCCATCAGAGGTCCCAGGTCTTGGACATGAGACCCTAGGATGAACGAGCGATATACTGGACGGATAGGAGCCCAAACTGCTCCGGTTATCTCTCTCTTGCTCTGTTCCCCCTGCGGTGTCATCAGCGCCCTGTCTCATTTGCGAATAGCCAGCCTGCTCCAACACGCTTGTGCTCTTATTAGGTCGGTCGCGAAGTGATGTCGAGATCCTCCTTTCCCAGGATCTTGGCTGACGACACCTGACGTCAACTTGACATTCCATCGTCCCCGAACAAATCGCCTCCAGATCGACAGGGAAACTTCTGGAACGCGCTGAGATTGAAGCAGCATTGTTTGTTGATCGCGGATGCAAAAAATCGGGTCGCACGATCTGATACGTGCCTCCTGGCTTCAGCACCCGCTTTGGCGACAACGGCGCAAATCCGCCATCGGAGCTGGTGGCGAAGACATCGTGGTCGGGATACTGGCCAAGGACTCGGCGCGCGGTGACCGCAACGGAGTCGGAATCCGTCGCGTAAAGTCTGGCGGAGCCGTCAGGGAGCATGACGACGATGGGCTCTGCGAAATTCATAACGTCGCTGGAGCTTCTACGATGGAAGCGAGGTGGAGTCAACATTGTGGTGCTGGACGCGACGCGACTGAGATGAACCAAAAGCACTGTCAAGTTCGAAGTCACTTTGAGGTCTCAACTGGAAGGCTGAGGTACAAGCAGTGCGTAAGAGATGAAAACAGGACTACGCAGTCTCACGAGGAAAAATCTCTTAGCGAATGTCTACGAATGGCCTGATAGAAGTAGGCACAAGTACTAGAAATAAGATTATAAATCGTCAGAGAAGGGCCAATCCACGCTAGAATGATCCGAGGGACGCGGTGCGGGTGACTGATGCACAGAACCCTGAGACACGCCAGGACAGAAGAACCTAAGACCCGGTCCTCCTCAGGCCTTCTGGAATAAGAACATCCCCCTCACCTCAACACAAACACTAGATCCAGAGCTGAGCTGCCTGCCAGCTAGGCAGATCTATGTCGTTGCGTGGCGTTCAAACGTGCGGTTACTCTTCCCGTTACTTAACCCTCAGCAGGTGCTGCTGTGCTGCTGCTTTCGTGTTGCTTGTGTGATCTAAATGTACTGTACACTACCTCACATACAAGATCCCCGATTGCTGCCAGAATCTATGCTCACTCCACGACGCAGCACGCCGTACACAAGAGTTAGAAACCAAACGGTTCGCGGTTCGTTGTGAATCTCCGCGACAAGTGCATGCGGAGCGTCCGGCGTGTCTGGTCCAGCACGAGAAAGGATGTCTGGTGCATTCTGCAATGGGTACAGAAATCCAGAGAATGCGAAACAATTGAGGGCGCGTCCCCTCCCTCGATCGATCGTGCAAAATCGAGGAAGATCGATCGTCCACCGCACTAAACTCCTGATATTACTTATTTCGACCTGACGAACCTATTTAAGCCGAGCGCAGGATTCAGATTTAGAGAAAAGGTCCCACCGAGAATTGAACTCGGGCATTCAGATTCAGAGTCTGACATCATAACCGCTAGATCATGGGACCACGAGTTTGGAATATTTAATTGTCTTTGTGGTTACACCAAATCCTTTAATGAACAGATCAACAATATTAGTTGACTGCGTTTCATACAATTACTCTTTAGAAACAACAGCCAACGCTTGCCGAACGTAGTCTGAGAACGTGAAATCAATCACGTTCAACTGTTCTCCCTCACCATTACTGCCCACCGTCTCCTCCACTCTCACTCTCACACATCTCGGCATCTTCTCTTGATTCAAGATGCCTCGGTAGTGCATTATGACAGGCATGCCGGCTTCATATGAAGCATCCCAAACTTCCCCCGAAGCATTTCCCGGAAGCAGCACTTCATGAACTGTAACCTGGTCGATTCTCCGCGGATCCACAACAACTTTCCTCCGCCCAAAGTGCTCCGGGCAGAAAAAAGCTTTTGTTGTGTTGATGGTGGCGGGTTCACTGTAGTTGAGGCTGCTGCAGATGGGCAGTCGGCTCCTCATGGGTAAATAACCCACCAGAAGCTCCTTCTCCCTGAGTCCCTGCGCCTCGTATCCATTTACCTCCTCCTCACCAGACCCTACTGCTGTTTCCATCAGCTCCCTTGACCCTCTGCTTGTGCTGAGCCCACTGCTGCTGCTGCTGCCACTGCTGACAATACCACTACCACTGCCACTGTTGCCGCTGCTGCCACTGTCGCTGCTGCTGCTGCTGCTGCTGCTGCCATTGCTGGTGTCATCAGCCACCTTAACCCGGCAGCGCGTGATGAAGCCCCAGTAAGCGCCCATGGACGCCCACGCGTGGCTCGAGCGCGCCAGCGCCGCCAGCGCGGAGGAGAGCGACGCGGGCGGAGGCGTGAAGATGTACTCGTCCATGTCTGTGAATATGAGCCACCTGGTGCGGGGAATGGAGGGGATAAGGGAGCGGTGGGAAAGGGTGGAGAGAGGTTAGATTGTGAAAAGGTGAGATCACAGAGTGTACTCGTCCATGTCCGTGAAGATGAGCCACCTGGGGCGGGGGAATGGAGGGGTTAAGGGAGCGGTGAGAAACGGTGGAGAGAGGTTAGGTTATGAAGAGGTAAGGTTGGGGAGTGAAGATGTACTCGTCCATGTCCGAGAAGAGGAGCCACTTGCGGGCTGATGGGGGAAGGGGAATAAGGGGATGAAACTGTAACGTACGAGTCAGCTGCAGGCAGAGGGCCTTACAGATGGTAAACATATGTGGCCTCTCAGTTCTATGCTGAATTTTGAGTCGACTCAAAAGTCACCTCTTTTACACAGATGGTTAACATATGTGGCCTCTCAGTTCTGTAACATGCCCAGAGGCGTCCAAGGAAGTGAAGGGCAGGGAGTAATACCCACCTGGCGGTGAAGCGCGCGCGGTAGAGGCAGTCGTTTTGGGTGAGGATCTGATGCCAGTAGTGCGACCGGAACCGCTCGTGCCCCAGCAGCCCTTTGAGTCGACTCAGAAACCACCTCATTCTGAGTGAGCAAGAGAGAAAACGAGCGGCACATTACCTGGCGGTGAAGCGCGCACGGTAGAGGCAGTCGTTTTGGGTGAGGATCTGATGCCAGTAGTGCGACCGGAACCGCTCGTGCCCCAGCAGCCGCGTCACCGTCACCAGCCCTCTCGCCTTGAACGGCGCTACCACCTCCGCCAAAGACGGCTCTTCTTCTCTCGTATCTGCTGCTCTCGCTCCGCTTACTCCGCTCGCTGCACTCGCTTCTGCTCCTCCTCCGGCTGGTGCTAGTTTTTCTGCTGATGGTGCTGCGGTTTCTTCTGACGTGGCGGCGTAATCGCCGCTTATAGCCCCGAAATCGTGGAGGAAAAAGTGTTGAACGCCCACCGCGTGCGAGTGGTAGTGTAGCCAATCAGAGACGGCACGGGGGCGCAGGTGACCATAAAGGGGGCCGCTACAGTGCGCCAACTGCAGGAAGGATGCGGAGAAGAAGGGGAATTCAGAGGGGAAGGGGAGGAACCGACAATAACTGGCAAGATGGTGTGGAAGCGAATGTAGTTGTTAAAAGGGAGCAGGGGCACGAGGAAGGAGAATCTGAGGAGTGGGATGTCGAATTGAGACAAGTGCTTTCACACGATTCAGCAGCATTTGATTTCTTTGTTACAGTGTAACACACCTCATATAGTGGCGGTCTCTTTATAAGCTCAAACGCGCCCGGCTCCTCGCGAAGCACCTCCATTTCCACCTCTTGTAACACCAACGGAAACTTCTTTACAATCGCCCTCGGTTCCTCCGTGCCGCGTCGCCGGAGCAGCAACGACCCCCCGTTATTGTCACTCCCCACGGGCCGCGCGAACGTGCAGCGAATCATCACCGGCGCCCACGGCTTGCCGTGGTAGTCCTCCTTCCGTAGCTGACGTCAGCGTGACGTGACGGGAGAGGAAGGAGAGGGGGAGAGGGAGAGAGGAGAGAGAGAGGAGAGAAGGAGAGGGAGAGGGAGAGGGAGAGGGAGAGGGAGAGGGTGAGGAAGAGGGAGGGGAATAGGGAGCGGGAGAGGGAGAGGGAGAGGGAGAGGGAGAGGGAGAAGGAGAGGGAGAGGGAGAGGGAGAGGGAGAGGGAGGGGGAGAGGGAGGGGGAGAGGGAGAGGGGGAGAGGGAGAGCGAGAGGGAGAGGGAGAGGGAGAGGGAGAGGGAGAGGGAGAGGGAGAGGGAGAGGGAGAGGGAGAGGGAGAGGGAGAGGGAGAGGGAGAGGGAGAGGGAGAGGGAGGAGGAGAGGAGAGGGAGAGGGAGAGGGGAAGAGGGAGAGTGGAGAGACAGAAGAGAGAACATAAGGAGCAAGACATTGCGGCATTCGGAAACGGCGAGCATAGGTGAAGCGCGGTGAAACGCATCGGTACCCAGAGCAACTCCGCGGCACCGATCACGCGGGTGAAATGGGAGGGGCGGGGGGGGGGGGGGGGGGGGGGGGAGGAAGAGATGGGTGGGGAGCTACCCAGAGAAACTCCGCGGCACCGATCGCGCGGGTGAAATGTACGGGGGAGAGGAGATGGCGGGAAGGAAGGTAGGGGGAGGGAGCATACCCAGAGGAACTCCGCCGCAGTCACCGCGCGGTCGCCGCTCTCCCCCTCCCACGCGCACTCGTCTACGAGCGCGCGCTTCAGATGATGCGCCAAGACGGGCGTGAGATACTCGCCCATCACCACGAAGCTGCTGTCCCCCACGCGGTACGCGCTCGCGACCGCCATCGCTTTCACCGTCAGAGGCAGCACTCGGAACTCCCGGTCCGCCGCCCGCATACCCCCCGGTCCGCGCATCCGCCCGCGCAGCGTTACGTCCTCTCTCCCCTCACCCGCCGGACGCCGCCGTCTATCCTCGTCGTCGGCCTGCTGTTTCTGAATGCCGGCCGGAGTGTTACCCGCTGCTTGCTTATTTTGCAGAAGTTCAGCGCTTTTCTTCGACCTGGATAACTCCGTCTGAGTTCCTAGCGGTGCGGGTAGATTCAGAAGGTGCGAGATGGAATCAAGGGACTCTCGCTCTTGCGGCCAATGGACGTCAACGCTCACGGTCGGTAGGGCTGGCCAAGTGAGCCAGCAGAGGGTTAGAAGGAAAGGCGTGAGTATCAGCGCGCGCCAATGGCACGTGGCGTCCTTCCACGGCTTCGCCATGATTGGTTGCGAAACCGTAGCGAACTCGACGCGAGCCTTGACCAACGGCGGCCCGGGCTGTACGAGGCGACCCTGGAAGTGTCGCCTGTTAAATTGCAGATATGAGACACTATCAAGGCGCCATGGCTTTCAAAGTAAACTATGGCATTCAAATGTGCAATGCCGTATCGATATGGTGCAACTTACTAGGGCTCATGGGCCATACTAATCCGCGTTCAGGGTAGTCTCGTACGGAGGGAGCGTCTAACCTGAAGGCGGGAGCGTCCAACGAAGGCAAGCTATCCCCCGCCAACTACAGAAGGAGACAGCGTAGGTGGAGCTAATTTGGAATTATTCAAATGCGACGGTTACGCGTGCATTTAGACATCACCGCGAGCAAATAAGACCTGCTCGAGCCTGAGTACTGCGAATCGAAAGGTAGGTGCGGGCCGTGGCTTCGCCAAATCCAGGTCATCCTTATTCGCAAAGTAGGTGGTGCAGTAGTAACTGGGTGCGGTTAGCAGTTGGACGCTTCAGCACGACTTGCGACACGGCTGGTGTTTCGTTGAGCCGAGGAGAACCGAAAAGCCTCATACAGGCGTGGCGTAGGTCTGGTTTGGGTTGGGGAAACTTGGATCTGGTTGGCTTGTGCAAGAATTTGCTTCTGGTCCATTAGGAGAATTTGCCCCTGCATAGGTATCATTCGCTCCTGGAAGCTTGGGGTGCGTGGTGGGTTGAGCTGGTGGACACCACAAGCGCACATCACTCAGCCGGTTTCCGCTCGAACCGCCTCTCATCACGCTTCGGATAATTTTTTCCCTTAGAAAGTTGTGCACCTCGTAACACTGTGTGGCGAACCTATTGACGAACCAAAGCTCCATTTAGAAGCAGGAAACGAGTGTTTTCATTGGATGATGGGGATTTGCGAAGAGACGCCCGCGACATTCTGTGAGCGAAAGGTTTCGCTCTGGAATATGGAACGAGGTGTCGTGGTCGTGGTCTTGGCATTCGCGTGAAATGCGGCAAGTCCACAACAATCCCGCCACGTCAGCCGCTAGAGGTTGAGGAATCATCGTGAGAAGGAATCGCACGTATCTCTCATGCCATTTATCCCCAGGATAAGTCGTAAAGATGGCTTGCTACACTGCTTAGGAAACAGAAGTTATCACTATGCAAACATACCTTGCAACACACTGTCGGAGCTCTGCCATATACCATAAGTGGGATTTTCTTTTTTCCGAGACTACTTCAATGGGAATATTACCGTATTTGGACAATGACAGTACAAACATGTAAATGCATGTTTACTCATGCATAAAGAAGACTTTATTCAATCTACTGTTATACCACCGTGTTAGTGCATCTCTGGCACTAACCCCTTTCACCTTAGTCCCCAACCACCTGTCATCAATTAAAGCAACACCATGCATGCCATTTGATATAAGAAATATTCCCCTTGTCTGCCGCTCCTTGCTTGCCCTCTCCAACCCTGTATACACCAACTGCGCCATATTATACATCGCCGTCCGCTCCCCAACCTTGCAGTAATTCGTCTTATATCGAACGTTCCGCCACGTGCCTGACCGCACGAATATTGTTATCGGCATTGGAATATCCAAAAGCTCGTTTACGCACTGTATAGTAGCAGTGTAGTTGTAGAAATTGTGGTCGGGAGTGGTGCGGGTCTGTCCCCCAATTGCCGCCGCGACAACGTCGAAAAGCGATTGGATAACGAAGATCGGGGTCTTTAGCGCCATCAGGGCTTGCTCGGGAAAGAAACACGCCCAGTGGCGCGAGGGAGGGAGCCCTGCAGGTCACACAAACGCAGAAGAAGGCAGAAGCAGAAGAGGGGGAACTTTTAGGGCCATCAAGGCTTTTAGTGTCATCAAGGCTTTTAGTGCCATCAAGGCTTTTAGTGCCATCAAGGCTTTTAGTGCCATCAAGGCTTTTAGTGTCATCAAGGCTTTTAGTGTCATCAAGGCTTTTAGTGCCATCAAGGCTTGCTTTGGGAAGAAACATGGCCATTGGCGCGAGCGGGGGAGTGGGGACAGGGCAGGGGTGGGTTTGGGGAAGGGGAGGGGTGGGGAGGGGGAAGGAAGAGGGGAGGAGAAGGGGAAGGGAAGGGGGTGGGGAAGGGATGCGGAAGGGGCGGGGAAGGGTTGGGGAAGGGATGGGCAAGGCACTGACGTTTACGGCAGGCGGGGTTGCTGAGCTGCTGGGTGGACGAAATGCTCTTTGAGTCGACTAAAAAACAGAGGGTGCGATGAAGGAGGTGCGCGTGGGAGAGAGGGGAGGGGATGGGAGAGGCAAGGCACTCACGTTTACGGCAGGCAGGGTTGCTGAGCTGCTGGGTGGACGAAATGCTCTTTGCCAGCCGCTCCCACAGGCGCGTGCCGTTGCGGTCTATGGAGTCTGCAGGTGTTGAGAGGGGTTGAGGTGAGGGTGAGAGGAGTGGAGTTGGGGGTCACCAGAAGTGTCCTTGTTTCTTGTTCCTTACCTTTTAAACTAGACAATGTACCTATAAGGCCGTTTTTATGTATATGTAAATATAACATGTATGTATTGTACTTTGTGGCGCATGGCACTCGCTTTTTGACAAAGTACCGAGTGAGAGTATAGCTTACTGACAAAATAGCCCGAGTCTGCAACGCAGCGGGTGGAGGCGGAGGGGAACGCGGCTGCCACACGGTCACAGAGGTAGATGGTCGCCTGCCCGCCCGCTGAGCTCCCGGACAACAGCACCTCTGTGGCCTGCGCAAAGCCCCGCTTCGTCTTCAGGTCTGCAGGGACGGAGGAGGGTGGGTGGATAGGGGGCGGCATGAGTGGGGGAGCGTGGGGAGATGAGGGCAGAGGTAGATGGTCGCCTGTCCGCCTGCTGAGCTGCCGGACAGCAGCACCTATGTGAGCATCGCAAAGCGTCGCTTTGCCTTGAGGTCTGCGTATGGGGTGAGTAGGTGTGAGGGGAAAGTGCATGGGGTGTTATGTGAAGGGAATGAGGGTGGAGTATGAGGGGAAAGAGAGAGAGAGGAGGCAAGGGCAAGAGGGAAAATATGGGGGAGTAAGAAACCGCTTACTTTGGGATTGAATTTCCTTTGGCGAGGTAGGCGAAAGAGTGAGGGAGGGAGGGAGGGAGGAGGAAGAGTGGCACGAAGGAGTGAGGGAGGCAGAGAATAGCTCCCAAAAGACCCACCATCGATGATGGACCGAACGATGCTCCACCCGTCCATGTAAAGCGGTACCATCCTCTGCTTCCCCCCCACCGACCCCCCCGGCTTTCCCCCAACCGCTCCCCCCGTACTCCCGCTTCCCCCGCCCCCCACCGCCCCCCCCGACCCCCCTGGTCCAGGCTTCATTCCCGCCAGCACCCGCCCCTGCCGCCCCGCCTTCCCCCCACCCTGCGCCCCCCCAACAGGCGCGCTCGGGACGGTGACGTTGATGCGCCCGCGCTGCCCCGCGAAACCGCCCCCGTCGCAGTAGTTGATGCGCGCGAGGGGCCAGTCCGCGAATAGCGGGTTCACGTCCGGATCGTCGTTCAGAATTCCGCCCATGGGGACGGACTGGGGGAGGAGGAGGGGAGGGGCGGGGGAGAAAGGGGAGGGGGGGATGCCCGCAGTAGTTGATGCGCGCGAGCGGCCAGTCCGCGTTTAGCGGATTCACGTCCGGATCGTTGTTCAGAATGCCGCTCATGGGCACGGACTGGGGGCGCGGGGGAAGCGGCGGAGGAAAGGGGAGGGTGGGGGAAAAGGGGAGGGGAAGTAAGGGGGAAGAGGGGGATGGGCGCAAGCGGAACGGGGAAAGGAATGTGAAGGAGCGATTGAGGCACTCTTGCGCGGAAGGGTCGGGGGAAGGGGGAGCGAGAGCGACAGGGGGAAGGGGGAATGGGAGGGGATATAAGGGGAACGAGGGCATAGGGGAGAGAGGGAACGGGGAGAGGGGGATGGGGGAAAGGGGCGGAAAACGCACATCGGGGATGACAGGGGGCCAACCGTCACTGGAACCGAGGAAGGTCAAGGAGCGATTAAGACACTCTTTCGCGTTGAAGCACCACCCGCCCGCCGGCAGATGGATGTGAATCTTAATCCCCGGGTCGCCCCCGGCGTTTGCGCTGGCTGCCACGTGTCGCGATTCGCCGCGCCGTCCGCCGGCGACGACGATCCCCATTGGGTCGGCTTCCCCGCGGCGATCCCGCTGCTTCTGCTGGCGAACCACCGCCGATTGGGGGACTGGCCGCTGCCTGCCACGTGGCCGCCTGCTACTGGAGAAGCGGCTGCGCGGGGGGAGGTTCGCTTGACGGGGGGGGTAGAGGAGGCGCCTGGGCGGAAGTAATACGAGGGTTCGCTGGGAAGGGGGAACAGGGAGAGGCAACGGGGAAGCGGAGAGCGGGGAGTGGAGGGCGGAGAGCGGGTAGCGGAAAGCGGAGAGCGGGGAGGGGGGGATCGGGGAAGAGGGAAGGGGGGAGGAACGGTGAAGTGAGAGGCGTGGAGAAGGAAGGTATGCGGTCCACCAAAAAAGTTAATTGATTCAATAGTCAGCAAAAGTATCGACCTATCAGGGCGTGCCACGTGGTACCTGCCATCGAGGCATCTGGCGCCCAACGCGTTGTTCGGCAAAGTGACGAGCCGCATAGTTCGCAACATGCACTCGCCGCCGCGAATTGCGCCCCCCGCTAACAGCACCAGCGCAAATGCGAGGGTTACTAGCGACGGCGCTGGCGACCATCGCGACGCTCTTGACGATCGTGGCATAACGACGGGCAGCAAATGGCAGTGGCGAAAAAGGTGAGTGTTAACCGCTATAATCGCTATGGCATATGCGAACGAGCAGCTACGAGGGCCTGCAAATTAAAGGCGCCTCCAAACGCGCCAGGCGATGTCGCATATTACTTAGATGTTACAGATGCCATGGTTAGGATACTCCCATCGTCTAGCGCATCGCCATTTCCGTTCCTGCTAGGACAACCGCACACGCGTAGTCATTATTATTTTATCTAGATTAAGGGAAAGTAGGCCAGCTATTGTTCTATCTTGGCTGGGGCTGAACCGTCGCCTATGAGCAGCATTATTTAAAGCCCAAGACCTAAATTACTCAACCAACGTCCTGGTAGCTCCATTGACAACTAGGATTTACTGGGGAACGAATGATGCATCCGCGACGCGCGCAGCATAGCGGGAGCAGGGCTCGTCCGCAGCAGCAGTCAGTTGGAGGTACGGTACGGTACTGAAGGGTCCGACTCTGCAGCAGACAGCAATGTCTGGCTCTGAAGGGTCTAGACTGGACCACCGCGCCGAATGACAGGGGGGAAGGAGGTGGAAGGGCAAGGAAAGAAAAAAAGAAAGCTTCATTGACTGTTGCACGAGATGTGTGACACCATGGAGGCCGAACACGCAGAGCCGATCGAGGGGTTAGAGCAAGCACAAACGCTGCAAGAATGCATGGTTTGTGTTGTGCCTGCGTTACCTGCCACTGGGGAATGTCGTCAGGTTAGGTGTCGCAGAGTCGCAATGTCGGTGAGAGAGTACACTCACTAGTGCACCTAATATAGTTTGGATGGGTTGTGAAAGATGGGAGCCATGAGGTTAATGGTGGTTCCTAGAATTCAAAAGCGGTGATGAACGGTAGCGACAGTCAATGTTTGCAAGTGAAGGGGCCAATTTGGAACATGTACAGTATCAGGAATGGTCGAATCTGCGCGAAAATGGGGGCGATGGTGGGCGGTTTGGGTAGTGAGGGGAAGAGGGGCGGGGGGGTGATTTTGGGAAGAGAAGGGATAGCGCGGGGAGGAGAAAAGAGGAGACAGCGCAGACGCAGCAGGAGAAATCGGTGCTTGATTGAATTGAACACAGCTGTGGGGGGCGGTCGGAAAGGGGGAAAAACAGGTGGAGCGGAAATTGTGCGACGGAAATGGGGAGCTGGGGAAGGCGCTGGGGATGGCTCTGAACCAATCACAGCTGGTCGCGGCTCGTTATAGTTGCGAGTCTTGGTGGTTACAGGCCAGGTCAACTTTACCGCCGCCAGAATCCGAAGCGCTGAGGCTGTAGCGAGGGGAAGGACATGGGGGCGCTGTAACGCAACAAACCGAAGTCTGTTTTGCATGTATTTGCAAATATAAAGCTGTGTCAATGGTTTACAGCATGCAGATCACTAGAATGAGAACCATGCAATCAATTTACATTATGAGAAGTACCAATTAGCAACAGCATCCCTCATCGTGACCCCATAAAAACCACTGTTCGTCCAAAGTTCAGACGTGATGACTGCATGCTCATATTCCACAGGTAAGAATGTGCCGAAGCTTTTTCGTCTAAGCATCTTTGTGAAGTTCGCAACGTTATTCGCCACTGTCAAAATCGCCACCAACTCCCCCGGCCTGCAGAATGAGGTGGGCCCTTCAGTTGCATTCACCCCAGCTAGCACCACCCCTCTTGTCACAGACGCCTTCTCCAATGCTGCCTCACTTGCTGCCGATACAGATGCTTCTCGTGCATCTTTTCCCGCCCATAAGGAGTACGTAGTGTATCCATCTTCCTCAATCTCCTTCCAACCCTGCAACAATCTCTCCTCACTCCCCCCCTCAGCAACCGCTGCTACATCAAAAGCTTGGCGAGACATCCCCAGATTCTTCTCTTTCTTCGAGAGGACGGGGAGGGAGAGGAGCGAGCGCAGGCAGTTCAGGACGTACCCGTAGTCCTCGGGCAGCTGGTTACCGCGCACGAGAGCTCGGAAGTCAAAGAGCGGCTGCACGATGAACACCGGGCGGCGCGTGACAAAGGCAAGTGCGTACTGGGGGAAGAAGCAGCGCCAGCGCATGGCAGGGGGTTGCGCTGGGGGGTGGTAGAAGGTTGGGAGTGGGAAGGGGGGCAATGGGGTGAATTCGCGGTGGTGACACGTCATCTGATCTGATGAGGTGGCAACTTCTTTGAAAACCAGTGGGGATTGTTGATCAATGCACGGATTTCAGCAATTCACACCTAAGAAAGATGCCCGTGGCAGAAAGCTTGCTTTTTGCATGTCTAGGGTAAATTACCCTTTGCGCACTTGGGGTTGCCCACAGATTCGTGAAGCTCTGCCATATTCTTCACGATGTGCTGGAAATAGGGGTAGCTGTTTCGATCCAATGAGTCTGTTGCACGGGAATGGGGAAATGGCGGTAAGGAGGAAGAGGGAAATGGGGAACGGGGGAAGGGAGGGACGGAGGATGAGTTTTGAGTCAGAGACTTGTGAAGCTCTGCCATATTCTTCACCATGTGCTGGAAACAGGGATAACCGTTTCGATCCAATGAGTCTGTTGCACGGGGGAACAACGGAACCAATGCATTTTGAGTCGACTCAGAATACACTCAGAAAAGCCCAGTCATGTTCTTCACGCGTCATGTGCTGGGAATAGAGGTAACCATTTCGGTCCAAGGGTCTGTTGAAGGGGGAACAACACAAGAGGGAACCAGGAAATGCGGGAACGGAGAATGTGGTAAGGGAACCATCAATTAAACGGATTTGCGATGATAGTCTGGAAGACTTGGTGAGACAATTTTGACAGATGAGACAATTTTGGCCTTAGAACAAAGACTTTGTGCGTTCAACAGCAGTCAACGAGAGTCAACAGTCGTCAGCACCCACCATTGAAGAAGGCACAATTTAGCAGACACTTCACAGCAGAGGGGTGGGCGACAGGGTCAAAAACCTTACAGGGCGCATCAACAAGTTCCAAAGGCCGAGTCAACAACAGTCAATGCTAGTCAACGCAAGCCAACGAAAGTCAGCACCAACCAGTGAAGAATGCAGAGTCCAGCAGGCACTTGACAGCAGAGGGGTGGGCGACAGAGTTAGCGAGAAGGCCACAAAAGGTGACGACGGCTTGCCCTCCCGCTGATGCTCCTGATAGCAGCAGGGAGGTGGCTGAATGGAGGCCGCGATTAGTGAGGAGGTCTGATGGGAGGCAAGACACCGAGGGAGGAAGAAGGTGAAGCTGGTAACGGTGAGGCAGGAAGGGTTGAGGCAGGAAGGGTTGAGGCAGGAAGGGATGAGGCAGGAAGGGTTGAGGCAGGAAGGGTTGAGGCAGGAAGGGTTGAGGCAGGAAGGGTTGAGGCAGGAAGGGTTGAGGCAGGAAGGGTTGAGGCAGGAAGGGTTGAGGCAGGAAGGGTTGAGGCAGGAAGGGTTGAGGCAGGAAGGGTTGAGGCAGGAAGGGATGAGGCAGGAAGGGTTGAGGCAGGAAGGGATGAGGCAGGAAGGGTTGAGGCAGGAAGGGTTGAGGCAGGAAGGGTTGAGGGAGGAAGGGTTGAGGCAGGAAGGGTTGAGGGAGGAAGGGTTGAGGCAGGAAGGGTTGAGGCAGGAAGGGTTGAGGCAGGAAGGGTTGAGGCAGGAAGGGTTGAGGCAGGAAGGGTTGAGGCAGGAAGGGTTGAGGCAGGAAGGGATGAGGCAGGAAGGGTTGAGGCAGGAAGGGATGAGGCAGGAAGGGTTGAGGCAGGAAGGGTTGAGGCAGGAAGGGTTGAGGGAGGAAGGGTTGAGGCAGGAAGGGTTGAGGGAGGAAGGGTTGAGGCAGGAAGGGTTGAGGGAGGAAGGGTTGAGGCAGGAAGGGTTGAGGGAGGAAGGGTTGAGGCAGGAAGGGTTGAGGGAGGAAGGGTTGAGGGAGGAAGGGTTGAGGGAGGAAGGGTTGAGGGAGGAAGGGTTGAGGGAGGAAGGGATCACAGAGAGGGACGGATAAGAGAAAACGTGGCGAGACTATGGTGCAGAGGTAATGTGTGGGGGAATGGGGGGGTACGGCGGAGTGTGTGGAAGCTTCTAGAATACAGCAATCACTCTGCGCCCATCCCCCCACCCACCCACCATTGAGCACGGCTTTCATGACCTTCCACCCCTCCAAGTAAAGCGTAACGTTGCGACCATGCACCCTCACAGGCCCTCGCCTGCCCGAGAACCCCCCTCCGTCACAGTAGGTGGGCACGACCACGTTCCAGTTGTAGAAGCGTGGGTTCACGCTCTTCCTGCTGCTCAGGATTCCCTGATAGCCCCACCGCGCCTGGAGGTGAGGAGGGGGGGGCATGAGCAGAGAAGGGAGGGAGGTGCGCAGGACAGAGAGAGGGAGGGGCGTGGGACGGACGGAGAGAGCAGTAGGTGGGAGGAAGCGACCACAAGCGCGAATTCACGCTTTTCCTGCTGCTCAAAATACCCTGATCCTCTCCTTTCCATTGAGGTTGTTTTTGAGGCGCCTCATAAACGATCTCAACGCTGCTCAACATGGCCTGATCCTCTCCTTTCCTCCCGCTTACCCCCGCTTCCCCCCTCTCCATCCCATCCCTCCCCACCCACCCCACATCCTCCCCCCGTCCCCCTTTCTCCCCTTCCTCGCTCACATGGCGGTACGGCTTCTCTTCATGCAAATCGGCTCGATTAAAAAGACGTCTAGAAACCCTTCCCCTCCCTTCCCCTCCCTTCCCCTCCCTTCCCCTCCCCTCCCTTCCCCTCCCTTCCCCTCCCTTCCCCTCCCTTCCCCTCCCTTCCCCTCCCTTCCCCTCCCTTCCCCTCCCTTCCCCTCCCTTCCCCTCCCTTCCCCTCCCTTCCCCTCCCTTCCCCTCCCTTCCCCTCCCTTCCCCTCCCTTCCCCTCTCTTCCCCTCCCTTCCCCTCCCTTCCCCTCCCTTCCCCCCCCCTCCTCCCCCCTCCCTCCCTCTATCTAACTCACATGGCGGTACAGCTTCTCTTCGTGCAAATCGGCTCGGCTCAATTATGGAGACGCCTAGAGAGAGAGAGAGTCTTTTACTCCTCTCGCCCCCTTCCCCCCCACCTTACATGGCGATACGGGTTCTCTTCTTGCAAATCGGCTCAATTAGAAAATATTTTCTCTCCTCCTCAACCCCTCCCTCTCTCCCCCCCCCTCTCCCCTCCCCAGCCTTCGCTCACATGACGGTACGAGTTCTCTTCTAGCGGATCGGCTCGATTAAGGAGACGTCTATAAACTCTTCCCCTCCCTTCCCCCCCCCCTCCCTCCCTCTATCTCACATGACGATACGGGTTCTCTTCTTGCAAATCTGCTCGTGACGAACCCAGGAAGGTCTTAGCACGGTCAGCGCAGCTGCTGAGGTTGAAGCACCATCCGCCCATGGGCAGGTGCACGTGCCACGCGTCCGCGCCCTCCCCCGATCCTGGGCGGAAGTAGTACCCCGGGGGACTGTGGGGGGTGGCAGGGGGCGCGGGGGAGCGGAGGGGGGCGGGGGGGGGGGGAGGGGAAGGCGGGACGGAGGGGGAGCGGAAAGGGCGGGGGGAAGAGGAGGGGGAGCGGTTGGGGGAAGGTGGGGTATTTGGGGAAGGAAAACGGAGATGGGGGAGGCGGGAGGGAGCAGCGGGGAGCCGACTTTTTTTTCTTTTCTTTTCTTTTTCTCAGAAATCAGCCCCACCGTGCCGCTAATGCCATGATCATGTTACCGTTGGGCTGCCGCACCGCACCTGCCGTCCAGGCAACGCGCGCCGTACGAGTTGTTCGCGAGGAGCGTCAGCTCAGGCTGCCACGAATCGCTGGGCTGCTGCCACGTGGCGCTTCCCCCAGCCGCGCCGTTTCCGCCGCCAGGAGTGCGCCCCGCGGGGAGAGACGGCGGAACCTTTGGCGAAACCTTTGGCGAAGGTGTTCGTGGAGTAGTTACCGCAGCAACTGCCCCTGTGGAGCCTCGATAATGGCAGCTGCCGGTTAGAAGCAGTGCGATTATGCACAATGCCGCCATGCGATGATACGCTGCGATTACAGCCGACCCCATGCGACGCTGCGACGTGAACGACGGGAGATTGCGATCTTCAACAATATTTCGAAAGCCGGAGATCGAAGGCTGATGATTCGAAAGCTGCTATCTCCAAGGGACCGCGACGTGGGCAAACGGGGATGCAACGTGGGCTACGTCTGGTGTCAAACCGGGACGTGGCGTGAGACGTCGCTCCCGGCTCGACACTATCAGGCACGATCGTCGCGGTGCTTTTTAAGTGAAACGGCACGTCGGACGTGGCGGACCTGGCAAATGACTCGAAATTGCGACTCGAAATTCAGGCGCTTCAAGACACATAAACGCTGTTCGACGCCAATTGTTCAACCAATGACTGTTCTTGCATGCGCGGATTTCACTCTTCTGCGCTAGCGTGACCCTGATCTAATCCGATCGTGGCCGTCGCATTCCTGCCCATACTTGATCACAGCGGCTCCAGGTCGATTGCGACGAAGCGTGCGATTTCCAGACAGCTAGTCGCGGACACGAGACGAGCCGGCGCTTCCAATGCCACCTCGTGTCGGATCGCAAGCGACTATTCTCGAATGATCCACGTAAGGACTAATCTCTAGATAGAATGGGGGAGAGTAGGATGTGCATTGTGCAAGTGGAGCAGCACGGTGCTATCGAGGGAGAGGTGCTATATGGGAGGGAGAGGTGCTATCGAGGAGGGAGAGTTGCTCCCGCGTAGCCCGAGGCCAAGGGATGTTCTTTCACCCCATGGCGGAGGTCTCGCACGAACGGTTGTTACATACCGAAGCGGTCCGCTGGGGACGTGAAGATATACATGTTTCCAGAACGTTATTACATTTTTCCGTGAGGTGAGGGTGGTTTGGGGGGACAGTCGAATGGTTGGGAATGGCATGGCTGGGAAGGACAGGTGCTGTGTAGAATGTCTGGAGTGGATAGCTGAGTGCGGATTGGGGAATGGGTTCGGCGGTGGCACATGCTCTCCTGCAAATCGAACCGCAAAAATACAGCGCAAAGAGAGTAAAATTTGCCGATATGTTTGTCTTTTGCCCTAAGCATTACCAATTTTGTTTCACATTCAGGGCTCCATACATAATAATACCAAAAAACACAGAACATAACCGTATAGGAGCTATATTTAAAACTCTATTATTTTAATAGAAATTTAATCGTTCTAATAAGAATGATGTAAGAACATACAATACACATTTCCTATTCAGTTTTATTCTATTCCATTTTAAGCGTATCCATTTTAACATAGCGTTGTAATGAACTTACACGCACACATGCTCGACTTTGCTGAGTTGTTCTGTAATCCCCATCCCATCACTCCCCGAAGCTAGCTCCGCTGGCGGCCACTCTTCGTTATTTGCCCGCTGGATGGATACACGCTGGCATGCGAATCAAAGAAGCCGCAATTTCTTCATAAAACATACTCGCCCCAAAATTTGCGGCGCTCCAATTTCGTTCCGCTCTGCACGACATTTCCAAGCTTGAGGTGTGAGAACCATACCTACTCACCAATGAACAGTAGCACACTTCTAACTGCTCAAGTCCAGTCTAGTCTTTCAACTGCTCAAATGAAAAGAGTGACGTCCCCTATCGCCGCATCGCGTCGTCCCTAATAAGTTTGCAGACTACACAAACAGTAAAGTCGTTAAAGTCATGCTCGTGCTTCAGGACAGCTGGGCTTCGATCGCCCACTTTTCCCCTTCTGTTGCAGATCGAGCAAGGATGGTAGTTGTTGTTACTGCCATGGGACGTTTAGCAAAATGCCGTCCGAAATTCTGGCAAGGCAAGAAATCGCCACTATGAATAAGCATCATCACCTGAAGCACAGCAACGTAATTACTGTTAAGCCAAGCCCCTATTCCTCATGCTCTCCACGCTTCAGCCATGCCTGTCCGAAAGGCCGTAATCATATCTCTCATAGCGGTCGGTGCGCTGCTGTCGATCGTCGTCGGGATAGTCCTCTGGACGAAGCGGCCTCCTGAGCAGGCTCCTAGTAATAATAACACGCTTATTCCGCTTATTCCGCTTATTCCGCTTATTCTGCTGGCCAACAATACGCTCGGCGCCAGGTGCCTGGATGGAAGGTGAGCCTGCCAGCCGTCCGCTGCGTTTGGCGATCATGCGGCGTCATTGCTGTTCGGTTCCGGCGTTTATTACTACTTAGAAAATACCCTAGTAGTAGGCGTCTAAAATATTGGTGTTCATGCGGCGCCACTGCTGTTCGGTTCTGCCGCGACAAAGCATCTTGCCATCCCATTCGCAAACCAGAATTCGTGCGGCTGAGATTCGTATTCCCCATACCTCCCCCATGCCACCTCCCCCATGCCACCTCCCCCATGTCACCTCCCCCATGCCACCTCCCCCATGCCATCTCCCCATACCATCCCCCATACCGTCTTCCCCATCTCCCCCCCACCACCTCCCCTACTCCAGCCCTCCAGGGTACTACTTCCGCCCGGGCACCGGTTCTGGGCGCCGCAAGTGGCACATATACCTTCCGGGGGGGGGATGGTGTGTCACCGTCGCGGAATGCGTTGAGCGGGCGGGCACAAATTTTGGGTCGACAAGGGGATACCCCGAGCACCCCAGCGGCCCCGTAAGGCTGCTACTGCTGCTTTTACCCTCACGAGTTTTTTTTTTTTTTTTTTTGCGCCAGTGTGTCTAGCTTGCTCCGTGACTTCAGCTATACCCCTTGCCCAGCCTAGCCTTCTCCTTAACCACCCCCGTCGGCACACTGTGTTTGCACTTTGCCATTGCCGTGCACAGAGCTGGTTTGGCGGTATACTGAGCGCCAATGAGACCGTGAATCCCATCTTCCACAACTGGAACCTCGTGAGGCTCGTGTACTGCGATGGGGGCGGCTATGCCGGCAGGAGAGGGCGGATCAGCGTCACTGGCAGTTTCTTTGACCCCAACGCAACAGCCAGTGCTTTGAAAGCAGTGAGACTTGCCGCAGCAAAGAATGCGAGCTTGGAGGCGGGCGGCTCAGCGGAGTCAAGCAAGTCAACGGAGTCAAACAAGTCAACGGAGTCAAACATTTCGCTGCCTTCAGCCATTTACCTGGACGGATGGAACATCATTCAGGCCGTGCTGCAAGGTAAGAACCTTCTATCCTCGTGTAAGAACCGTAAAGATCCTTTTTGCATCCCACCATCCTCGTGTGTCTTCTTGTTTCCTTCCCTTTCAGCCCCATACCATCCCGCTTCCAAGCACTCCTCCCTCCCTCTCTCCCTTTTTCTTTTCTGTTCTACCCTCGTTGCACCCTATCACCCCTATGTCTCTCCTGAACCTTTGAGTCACTTTTGACAGTTCTGCCCTGCCCTGCCCCTTTTCAGCCCCTCTTTTCTTCTCTCCCTTGTCCTTTTCCCCTCTGATCCACACCCCTCCTCTCCCTTGTCCGCCCCCCTCCAATCCACACCCCTCCCTTCCATTTCAGACCTCCTTCTCCACCGTGGCTTCGGCGCCGCCTCCCAGATTTTGCTTTCGGGCAGCTCGGCTGGCGGGCAGGCCACGGCAAACCTTTGTGATTGGATGACCTCTTTTTTCCCATCCGCATCCACCCGATGCCTTGTGGACTCTGGATTCTTTCTCGGTAGGCCATCGTAGCAATCAGCTTTCCTGCTGATCCATCCAAATCAGCCCTGCCCGCCTAGTCATCAGCCCTGCCTTTTACTAATCGGACCTCTAGTGAAGTTACTTACGCTTGCTTACTAAGCCTTGCCCATCTACTAATCGGACCTCTAGTGAAGTGCTCACTCCTGCCTTTTATGCCATGTGGTTTGCGCGAACGTCAGCGCTTGTCCCAACTCAGGGGCTTGTGCTTAGACTGGCCCTCCCTTGCTTACTAAGCCTTGCCGCTTGGCCAACGCAAACGCCCACTTGTTCTCCCCATTGACTCGTTTACAGACCTTGTTATTTCTTAAGGGTGTTCTTGAGAATTCTCAAAAACACCCTGCTTTTTCTCCCCGTTGACTCGCTTACAGACCTTGTTCTCGCTTGAATCTTGCATATTGCAGACACGAGGGATCGCTTTTCAAGGCGCACGTTTCGTGCTCTGGCACAGAATTTGACCTGGCTGCATCGTCCCTTCAACCCTACTTGTTCCCATGGTCCCTCCTCTTTCTCACACCACCGTAACCTTCCTTGCACGTGTATCCTCCATTTCCTTCCTAGCATGATATCACCTTTGCACCTTCAATCACCTTTATTTTGACTCCTCTTCACCATTCTCCACCCCATTCTATCCAGCCGCCAGGCAATCCGAGCAATGGAAGTGTTTCTTCCTACAGCACACCCTTGTCGACATTTCCACTCCGATCTTCCTCTTCCAAACTCCCTTCGACTACGCGACAGCCATGATCGGTAACATCTTACCTAACAAGTACTTTCGTGCAGTATCTTGCATGAACGAGACACTCAGCGGCCGAAAATATCTCACAAGTATAGTGAGAAGCAGAGCATGGGGTGCGTTGAGGTGGAGGGTCAACTCGTCGTGTTCAAAGGAGGAACGGGAAGCCGTTTTCTGGACAGCGTGGACTTTATACGATCAGGTTAAGAGTTTTTTCATACGTAAAAAATCATTATGGGGGGTGTATATTCCTGCATCGTATGCACATACATGCATTGCCAAATCATGTTGGAACAAGCAGTGGATGAGCCACTGTGGATCGCTTGCTGACATGTTTGGTTTTTGGGTATCTAGAATTCCTCTATTCGAGGTGTTGCATGACATCTGTGCCATCTGGTGTTTCTATGTATGTTATTTAATCTGTGTAAATGAACTACGATCTGTATGTAACATATCTTGCAATCAACAATGCTTTGCCATTTCTAAGAATCATCATGAATGTGTACGCGTCATTGTATCCTAACGTGAGGCTGTAAGTTCCGTGAACAGCAGTGCTCTGGAAGTCCCAAGAGCGCCGCACAATCTTAGGTTCGGGAGAGGTTCGTGGTGGTTGCACGCCGAGCCTGCTCGTGCCAGGCAGGCAAGAGAAATCCCCACCATACGTATTTGCAGCCGCAGATTTGCGTTGTGCAAACAACACAGATTTGCATTGCAGTCTGGTTTTTCAACCGCTCACACGAGCAGCGAGCGACACATTTAGTTCATTTATCGTCGTGTCGCGTCGCGTCGTCCCTATTTTCCACCGCAGTCTGTCCAACCAGACTACGGTCGCCACGGGTAAAGTAGAGTAGTCCAAACAGGTCATGCTCATGCTCTCGCCACAGGTCAGTCGGGCTTCTATTGCCCTTTTCTCCCCTTCTAGTTATCCAGCACTAATGGTAGGTGTAACTACCGTGAGACGTCCGTTGCAATGCAATGCATTCGTCCAAAATTCATGGGAAGAGATTGCGACATGTGGTGGACACATTCGCCTGACATGTGGTACACAGTGATGTACTGATTTAGTTCATAGTACCATCAGCCCCTTCTCCTCATGCTCTCCTCGCTTTACCAGCCATGCAGGTCCGAAAGTCCGTTATCATCTCTGTCATAGCAGTCTGTGCGCTTCTTGCGCTAGTAATCGGAATAGTTATTTGGAAAAAGGGGACTCATGAGGAGGCTGTTACCACTAGTAGCAACAGTACGCTTGTTCCGCTTATACTGCTGCCCAATAATACGTTTGGTGCCAAGTGCTTGGATGGAAGGTAATTATCCTGCCAGTAGTCCAATCAGTAATTCTTGCGTTAGTAGTAGAGACAGTTCTCTGGACGAAGCGGCATCGTGAGCAGGAGTCAGACTCCTGACACTACTACCGGGTAGAAGCCATAGTACGCTTATTCCCCTTATTCAGCTGTCGAATAGCACGCTTGGTGCCAAGTGTCTGATGGCAGGTGAGTCTGCGAAGGCGTCGTTTGAGACGTCCCATAAGCGCATTTAGAAGGTGGGCCAGCGAGGCGTCCAATCAGCGACTAGGCCGAACCGATTTTGTAGTTAAACTCAAACGTCACCGCTTTTCAAGTCCAAGCTTGTAGGCGGTTTAATAGTGCTTGTTCACGGTTTCATCGACTCGCCTATGTGATTCCTATGTGGTTAAGACATTTCGCCGCACTTTTGCCAAAAGCAATGCTTGTCAGCACAGGGAGCCATCAACGGCACATACACCTGCATGCATTCACGCGGCTGCTGTGTCACTGCCGCTGCATGCACACAGCGATATCGCACACGGTTCGTTACCACCTTTCCCACACCATCTCCCCTGCTCCAGCCCGCCGCCAGGGTACTATTTCCGCACCGGCAATGGCTCAGGGCGCCATAAACTGGCACATACACCTGCATCCAGGCGGCTGGTGTGTCACTGTCTCTGCAAGCGCGGAGCGGGCGCGCACACAGTTTACTGCCACCTTCCCCATACCCTCTCCCCCACACCATCTCCCCTGCTCCAGCCCGCCAGGGTACTATTTCCGCCCGGGCACCGGCTCAGGGCGCCAGAAGTGGCACATATACCTGCATCCAGGTGGCTGGTGTGTCACTGTCGCTGCATGCACACAGCTGGCGCGCACACGCTTCATTACCATTTTTCCCGTGCCATATCCACCATACAATCTCCCCTGTTCGCCCCCATGCAATCTCCCCTGCTTCAGCCCGCCAGGGTACTATTTTCGCCCCGGCACAGGTTCAGGGCGCCAGAACTGGCACATATACCTGCCGTCAGGGGGGTGGTGTGTCACTGTCGCTGCATGCGCGCAGCGGGCGCATACACGGCTTGGGACGACAAGAGGATACCCTAAGCAACTCAATGACTCTGTAAGGCTGCTATTTTTTTAATCGCCTCAAAGCTGGAAAGCAAAAGTCTGTAAGATGTACAAAAATGTGGTAAAAACTTCCTTCCTGCAAGATATAGCACTCTCCCTTAGCCCTCACCCTCCACCCCAGCTTCTACTGCCTTTCCCATGCAGGTTCAATGTCATGTCACCACTCAACGCAACGCAACCCACATCACTTTCTTGCACAATCACAGTGCCTTGCACAGAAAGAGTTCCCTTTTAGGCGCCTAAAAAATGCACTAGATTCAATTCCACATCATTTGCTTGCTTGCACAATGACATCTCCTTGCAATCGCCTTGCACAGATAACGTTTGGTGGTGTGCTGAGCTCCAACGAAAGAGTCAACCCCCTCTTCCACAACTGGAACCTTGTGAGGTTGCTCTACTGTGATGGGGGCGGCTATGCCGGCACGCGAGGGCGGATCAACCTCACCGACCTCTTCTCTGGTCCAAACACCGCTGGCACTCTGCCGAAATCAGTGAGGGTCGCCCCGGCAACGAATGTGAGCTTGGAGGCGGATGGGTCAACGGAGTCAACCAAGTCAATGGGGTCACCGGAGTCAACCAAGTCGATGGGGTCAACGGAGTCAACCAAGTCAATGGGGTCAACGGAGTCAAACAAGTCAACGGGGTCAAACCTGACGCTGAGACATCATTCAGCCATCTACCTGGATGGATGGAACATCATTCAGGCTGTGCTGCAAGGTGTGCCGATTCTCCCGTTTTTCTGTACCTTTTAGCGATAGAAACGCCTCCCAAATGTGCCTTTCTCATCACATGGCGTGTATCTCCAAGTATCACCATCTGCCTCCTGTTTCCCCTTCTCCAATCCACCCCTTCCCCCCAACCCTCGCTTCATTTGGCCGCCATTCCCCCATCCCCCTTATCAGACCTCCAGTTACAGCGTGGCTTTGACTCCTCCACCTTGGAGATTTTGCTTTCGGGCAGCTCGGCTGGTGGGCAGGCCACAGCAAACCTCTGTGATTGGCTGGCCTCTTTGTTTCCGTCCGCATTCACCCGGTGCCTTGTGGACGCTGGCTTCTTCCTAGGTTCGCCCTTGTAGTATTTCGGCCCATCCTGGCTTAACATGCAATTGTCGAGTCGACTCAGAACCCACCTAGTATTGGCCCACCCTTGCTTGCCACGCATTGTTTTGGCAAAGCAAACGACCACTGCCCTACCGGGCGACTTGTCCCCCGGCCTTGTTTTTCCACCTTTCTTTCGGCTCCTCCCACTATCTGAATGGTCTCCTGTCTCCCTTTTCCTAACTTTGTAATTTTCAGACGCAAGGGATCGCTTTTCAAGGCGCACCTTTCGTGCATTGGCGCAGAATCTGACATCTCTGCATCGTCCGGTCAACCCTACCTGCTCCTATGGTACCCCCATCCACCACCCTAACCTCTGCATCTCTGCATGTATAATCCCATCACCTTCTCTAGCCTTTTGTCACCTTTGTCTCTTTTTATCGCCTTTGTCTCTTTTTATCTCCTTTGTCTCATTTTTTCGCCTTTGTCTCTTTTTTTCGCCTTTCTCTTTTTTTTCGCCTTGGTCTCTTTTTTTCGCCTTTGTCTCTTTTTATCACCTCTGACTTTTTCTGTCGCCTTTTACCCCCTCATATCCAGCTGCCGGGCGATCGGAGCAATGGAAGTGCTTCTTCCTACAGCACACCCTTTTCAACATTTCCACCCCAATCTTCCTCTTCCAAGCCATGATTGGTAACCTCCTGCCTGACAACTTGACTCACGCCTTTTCATGCGTGATCGAAACACTCCGTGCCCAGAATCATATCACAAGTATCGTGAGAGCCGGAACGTGGGTTGCATTGAGGTGGGGCTCTAATTCGTCGTGCTCAAAGGAGGAGCGCGAATCTTTATTCTGGATGGCGAGGACTCTGTACGATCAGGTGAAGAATCTAATCATACAAAAAAATACGTCATTTGTGTCAAAAAGACTAGGCAAGAATGATTGAAAGGAGAGGGGTTTCACTAGCAGCAGTTGGGGTACATATAGCAAACCCTAACTGGGTTGTACTCGCTATAGAGCACCCCACTACAGGCTAGACATCACCCGCCCCACAGTGGCTACCGAGCGCACGAGGGCACCGGACTACGGGAGTATCTGGCTCCGCGGCTACGACGAGCACACACAGGAGCAACGGACCCACAGGCGACTGGCGAAGCAGGCTCGCTGGGCTACCGAAACGCGCGAGGGCATCCGGACTACTGGCGCTGCTGGTGACAGAATGAAGAATGGATGGTGCATTGATGTTGGTTGGGGTACATATAGCTAACCCTAAGTTTTGTACCCCCTAAGACAAACCTCACTATAGGCTACAACATTTGACACACCCCCATAGCCTAAGTGAGGGGTGTCTAGCAGAACCAAACGAGTACGGTCACAAGACCAGTCCAAGAAACAAAGCTCAGGGTGGATCACAACGTCACCACACAGTCTGAGCACAAACAACAGTGGCCACAAGGCCAGTCCAAGAAGTAACAGAGATATATAGAAAGCAAAGTAAACAGTACACTCAAGTCTAAGCAACACGAGAACCAGTGTCAACAAGGCCTAACTGCACACAGCACCTCTGGTGGTCACAAGGCGGAAGCGCCTTGGTGAAGATGTCTGCAGTGTTGGCCTCGGACTCCACAAACTCAAAGCGAGCCTGTCCACGCCTCTGCAACTCTCGCAGAAGAAAGTACCTGACGTGAATGTGCTTCACTCTGCTCTCCAGTCGTGGCTCTCGACAAAGGAGAATAGACGCCTTGTTGTCAGTGAACAAGGTCGGTGCAGAGCTCGGCCGCTCACCAAGGTCGGTGAGCAAGAAGGTCAACCAACGCAGCTCCTGTGCCGCCATGGCACCAGCGTAGATCTCAGCCTCAGCTGTAGAGGTCGAGACCGAAGAGGAGCGCGTGGACCGCCAGGAAACAGCTCCAGAACCCAGGCTGAAACAGTACCCCTGAGTAGACCTGTGAGTCTCAGCGTCGTCAGCGTAAGAGGAGTCACAGTGACCAGTAAGTACGACAGACTGCTGCCCTCCAAGAACTAGCCCCACGCCTGACGTCGTCGCTAGGTACTTCGCCACCCTCACAGCTGCTGTCCAGTGAACAGGACGGTGTCTCCCTGGCGCAACAAAGCGCGCAAGAACGCTGAGAGGGAAGGCGAGGTCCGGGCGAGTACAAGTCATCAGGTACATGAGGCAACCCACAAGCTCTGCGTAGGGACCACTAGGCTCGAACGGCTCGTCAGGAAAGGGTCCAGTGAGTCTGTGGTCAACAGCAAGAGGTGTGCGCTGTACTGTGGAGTGCTGAAGCCCGAACCGCTGAAGGACCTGCTGCACCATGTGCGACTGTGAAAGTGTAATGGTGCGAGCAGCTCTGTCCCTGGTGATCTGCAGGCCAAGGTAGTGGCGCAGCTCACCAAGATCAGTGCAGGTGTGTCTCTTCTGCAGTTCGGACTTCACGTGTGCCAAAGCAACCCTGTCAGGGGTGGCGAAAACAAGGTCGTCAACGTAGACCAGAACAAAGAAAGGTGTGGTGCCACGACGAACGAACAGCGACGGGTCAGCAGAAGACGGCTGGAACCCAAGGTCAGACAGGGTAGAACGCAGGGTGTCGTGCCACTCACGAGGAGCCTGACGAAGACCGTAAACCGGTCGCCTCAGCCTCCACTGGGTCCCAGGAGGGAAAGAGCCAGTGAAGGCAGAGGGACGACGCAACCAGACCTCCTCGTGAAGACTGCCCTGAAGGAAAGCAGTAGAGAAGTCGAGAGAGTGTAACTCGTAGTCTCTCTGTGCTGCTACGTGTAGTAACACCCGAAGAGTGGTCATCTTCGGGGTGGGCGCGAAGGTCTGAAAGAAGTCAACTCCCTCGCGCTGACTGAAACCTCTAGCCACGTAGCGCGCCTTGAAGACCGGAGGAGATCCCGGTGGCCGCTTCACCCTGTAGATCCACATGCCGTCGACTACGTTCGCCCCCGGAGGGGGAACCTCATCGACGTAGGTGCCTGTGGATCTGTAGGAGGCCATCTCTGCGTCCATGGCAGCTCTCCACTGAGAGGCCCAAGGCCCTGACACTGCCTCAGCGTAAGTGCGAGGAGTCGGAATGTCAAGGGCGTCGGGGTCACCCTCAGGGGCGAGGAGCATGGCACAGAGATGAGGGGAAGCGGCCGCCAGGAACTCTAGCTCAAACTGCCTGTCCTCTAGGGCGTCACAGCCAAGGGCAGACACACCCCCGACGGCCAGAGGACTGGAAGGAGGAGCAGCCACAAGAGCGGTGGCGAAGTCAAGGCGGCGGGTAGAGGCAAACTCAGTGACTGCGGCAGTAAGAGCGGACACAGAGGACACAGAGGCACGAGGGTGGGTAACAAGAGAGGCGAGAACACGAGAGAGAACAGGACGGTACGTGCGGTAGTAGTCAGTGACAGGAGTAGGGAGCGACGCAGTGAGAGCCGACTCAGGAGGAGACGGAAGCACAGACGGAGACGGACGAGGTGGACTAGAACGAAGTAAGGCAGTACGAAGGTCAGTGAAGGGAACAGGAGACGAGGGACGTGCCCGAGGGGAGCGACGAGAGGCCCAAGTCTGAGAAGGAGGAGGGGACAACGAAGACTGAGAACGAGGGAAAACAGCGGGAGAGGGGTCAGGAGGAGGAAGCGGAGGACCCCGGGAGGAGAGGGGGAGGAGGAAGGAGAGGGAGACGGGAGACCAAGGGTCCGAAGACCCGAGACAGGAGGAGGAGACGGCAGCTGCTGCTGCTGCGGCTGCTGCGGCTGCTGCGGCTGCTGCTGCTGCCCCTGCTGCTGCTCCTGCTGCTGCTCCTGCTGCTGTCGCTCCTGCTCCTCGAGCCGCTGCAACTCTCTCTCCTCTCTCTCCAACTCCAGCTGCTCCTCACGAGCACGACGAACACGAGCCTGGAACCTGGTCGGGTAGGGGTGGGGGGAAGGAGTAGTGTCCGGGGCAGCGGCAGCCCCAGAGTCGACCTCCGAAGCACCAAGCACACCACCCCCAGAGGCAGCACCAACACCAGCTCCAGACCCAGGCTCTCCAGAAACCGAAGGAACACCCTCACCCCCAGACGCAGCACCAGCACCCCCAGACTCCGCACGACCAGTACCAGCCCCCGGAGGAGAAGAGTCCTCTGCAACCCGCGGCTCAGCTCCAACTCCAGCACCCCCAGAACCAGAGACCTGTACAGGGACAGTCGCAGGACCAACCTCCCGAGAGGGAGCACCTACAGGAGGCGGTGAGGAAGACTGTGGGGAGGGAGGCTGTACAGGGGGGGCTACCGAAGGGGGAGGGCTAGCCTGAGACACACCAGACGGGGCTGGACCAGGGGGGGGAGGCTGTACCGGGGGAGCAGGCGGGGGAGCGGCGGTCAGGAAGAGAGGGGGGGGAGGGACCGGGAGACCTCGACTGGGGTACCTGACGTAGTAGGGGGTGGACTCCTCGAAACGGACGTCACGGGAGTCAAAGAACCGGTGAGAGGGAGGGTGGTAAAAGGTGAAGTCAGAGGAGTCCTCAGGGAAACCAAGGAAGACACAAGGAACGGCGCGAGGCGAGAGCTTGTCCGCGGAGGTGTCGCGGACAAGAGCCAAGCACCCCCAGACACGAAACCTCGACGCGACACCAGGGGACCCTGTCCAAAGACTGGTCGGTGAAGCCTCCGGCCGAGAGACGCGTGGCCAGAGGTTCAGCTGGTGCGCGGCGTACCTGACCGCGTATGGCCACAGGAAATGGGGGGCACGGGCGTGAGTCAAGGAGGTGCGGGCAATCTCCATGACCAGGCCTATGCGACGCTCAGCAACCCCATTCTGCTGTGGGGACTCCGGAAGCGTCCAGGACTGACGAATGCCCTGTTCGCGACAGAATCCAGCGAGAATGCCGGAGCGAAACTCGCCCCCGCGGTCGGAGTGGAGACAGCTGACACGACGACCACGAGTGTCCTGGGTGGTAAGCAACCACCTGATCAGCGTAGAAGTCACCTCAGACTTCCTCGCCAGGGGGAACACTGTGGTGTAGCGGGAGTAGTCGTCAACGACCACAAAAAAGAAACGCTCACGCTCAGGGCCAGGGCGAGGAGAGGGGCCCCAGACGTCCAAGTGCAGCGTCTCAAAAGGCTCGGTGGCCGGACGAAGGGAGGAGGAGTGAGGGGTGGCACGCAGCCTACCCTCGACGCAAGGACCGCACGGTGGTGCAAGAGACGGCGGCAGCGACGGCAAGACACGCGGGAGACCTAAGACCAGACGCTGACTAGACATAGCACGCAGACGTGGAAGAGAAGGGTGTCCCATCCGGTGGTGCCACAGAACGGTGGGGTGGGCAAGCGACCGACAGGAGCAAGACGCAGCGACTGGACTGGACGCGACAACCTGAGGGGACGGAACCACCTGGTGAGACGCAGGGAGGAGACTAGGGGGAGGGACAGGAACTGGGAGGAGTGGCTGCTGCGACGGCGGCCGCTGTGGCTGCGGCTGCGGCTGCTGCCGCTGCTGCTGCTGCGGCTGCTGCCGCTGCTGCTGCTGCGGCTGCTGCTGCTGCTGCTGCTGCTGCTGCGCTGCTGCTGCTGCTGCAGTCGCTGCTGAGCGCGCGGGCCAGTGTGAAGAGTGTAGAGACCGGAGCCCGGCTCAGCAGCAAAAGTGGCGAGGGGCTGGTAAGAGTCCCCGTCAACACACACCGCAGTCTCTCCAGAAGGCTCAAACCACACACCCACGTGCTGACTCACGAGGGGTCGCACGCCCACCAAGTTCCGGGAGAACGAGGGGACGTGAAACCCAGTGAGAGACCCAGAAGGAGCAGCCGGACACGGCAAGGTGGTAGTGTGACGCGCGAGGAGTACCAATCAGATCAACTAACTGCTCAGCAGACATGCCCCACAGAGCGGAGCCGTAGCGCTGAACAAGAGGCAGCCAGTCAGGGGCAGGAGCACCAACCCCGTAGACCAAACGAACCGTGTCAGTGAGCTGAGCAAAGCACTGACCAGGGGGGTGAAACCGGCCACAAGGGTGGCCACGACGAGTGCCTGTCAGAACCTGGTAGGTGCAGGGAGCGGAAGCAGCACCGCGCTGGGTCTGACGCAGCCCCGACCCTGGAGCCAGCTGCTGCCGCTGCTGCTGCTGAGGCTGCTGGGAGGAGAGGGGCTGCTGGTGCTGCAGAAGCTGCTGCTGACGCTGAGCCTGGTACCACGCCGCTGCTCCACCAACCGGGGCAGGAAGTACAGGAGGCGACTGACGAACTCGGGCGTCGCCACCACTAGCAGGCGCAGTGGAGTCACCAGTCACTGCACGAGGCGCCTCTCCAGGCCCTGAACCTCCACCGCCGCCAGGCGCAACGCCACCTCCACTACCTCCGCCTCCACCTCCACTACCACCACCAGAACCGCCTTTCTTGCCACTCCTACCGCGGGACCGCGACGCAGTCGTAACAGCAGCTGCAGTCGCGTCAGTAGCGGCAGTGGCAAGTGAGGCAGTAAAGGTGGGTAACTGCGGGACTGTGCACCCGTGGAAGAGTGGGGGGGGCACAGCACCAGAGGCAGCGGCTACCGAGCGAAGGTTGCTCTCGACGTCCTTGAGTGCAGACTCAAGGACATCGACGGTGAGCTCACTAGGGTGCTTCAGCAGAAGCGCGTCGCGAACGGAGGCAAGGCGGTCAGGGAGGCTAGTGGCGATGAAATAGATAGTAATCGCCATAGGGGGAGGAAGCAGTGCAAGCTGTGCCTCAGTGCAAGCAGCGCGGTAACTAGCGTCGAGCGAGCGGAGGTGAGCGATCAAGTCAGCAGAGCGCTCAAACGAGGCGAGATCAGGAAACAGGAACGGGAGGAAAAGACGGCCAAGAGAGACAGTAGCGGGAGTAGAGTAGCGGGCCTTAATCGCAGTGAGGTACGCAGCAGCGGTGCGAACCTGAGTGAAGTGGACGCTGCTGAGTGCGATGCAGGCCGCAGCGTCACGCGACGTCCAAGCCGTCCTGTCAGCGCGCTGACGGGCAAAGCGAGCCGTAGCAGCATCGTCAGGGGCAGGACCTAAAGCGGCAGGCTCGGGGGGCTCGGGGAGGTCACCAGTAGCGTGCGACCAGAGGGTCTCGCCCCCCTGGACCTGACTCTCTAACAGACGGCGAGCGCGAAGGAGCCAGACGGAAAAGTCAAGAGGTCTACCGTCAGCGTCGAAACGAAGAACTCGCGGAGTCGCCATAGCGAGAACTAACGCGAACGAGCAGGCGAGTAACAGCAGGAGGTAAGAGGCAAATTAGGGTTCAGGTGGGGGGACTTAGTCGCAGCGGAAGAACGGGCTAGGGCGACGGGCCAGGGCGTAGGGTCGACGGGACGGGGGAAAGGGCGGGCGCGATGCGACGGGGCAGGGCGACGCGACGGGGCAGGGCGACGCGACGGAGCAGAGGCGACGGGACGGGGAAGGGCGACGCGACGGGGCAGGGCGACGCGACGGGGCAGGGCGACGGGACGGGGAAGGGCGACGGGACGGGGCAGGGCGACGCGACGGGGCAGGGCGACGGGACGGGGAAGGGCGACGGGACGGGGCAGGGCGACGGGACGGGGCAGGGCGACGCGACGGAGCAGAGGCGACGGGACGGGGAAGGGCGACGGGACGGGGCAGGGCGACGGGACGGGGGGAAAGGGCGCGACGCGACGGGGGGAAAGGGCGCGACGCGACGGGGGGAAAGAGCGCGACGCGACGGGGGGAAAAGGGCGCGACGCGACGGGGGGAAAGGGACGCGACGAGGGGGAAAGGGCGGGCAGGACGCGACGCTAGGAGTGGCGCTAGGCGCGGCACTACGCGCGGTAACAACGGAACCGGGACGAATGAGAGCTAGGATCAGGCTCGGGAGGCTCGAACGGAGAACGGAGGAACGGGATCCCACAGGATCCTAACCTAACTGATACCATGAGAGAATGAAGAATGGATGGTGCACTGATGTTGGTTGGGGTACATATAGCTAACCCTAAGTTTTGTACCCCCTAAGACAAACCTCACTATAGGCTACAACATTTGACAGCTGGCGTCACGACGGCTACCTCCACGCAACCTCCCCCGACCGTCCCACGCCCCTCTCACACACCCCCTGCTGACACCCTAGCTCCACTTCCACGGCACCCCCCTTAAACCCTAAACCCTCGGCTCCCACACACCCACCCCCCTCAGCGGCAGCTGCAGCAGTGGGAGACGGAGGAGGAGGAGGAGCCGCAGGTTACCCACACCGGTCACCCCCATGCCCGCCACCCCCAAACCCTAACGCAGGCAGGAGCGCGGGAAACAGCAGGGGCGGGGCACGGAGGGAAAGGGAGGCAGCGGGGTGGCTCTTGGGCGCCACGAAGAAGCAGGGCGCGGGCCCCCCGAGGGCGCCACGGCGGGTGACGGGAGGGGGGCCGCGCACGGGCCCCCGAGGGCGGCTCGACGGGCGACGGGAGGGGCCGCGCGCGGGCCCCCTAGGCGCCGCGACGAGGCGACGGGAGGGGGCGGCGCGCGGGCCCCCAAGGTGCCGCGACGAGGCGACGGGAGGGGGGGGACGCGCGGGCCCCCAGGGCGCCGCGACGAGGCGACGGGAGGAGGACGACGGGGGGCAGCGCGCAGGTCCCCGGGGGCGCCACGACGGGCAGGAAACCGCCGCGCGCCTCGGGGCGCACGGCGGGCAGAAAACCGCCGTACGCCCTGAGCGCACGGCAGGAAGAAGACGGCGCGCGCCCGAGGCGTGCGAGAAGCAGAATAGCAGCGGAAGCAGTTAGGTGGCGGGCCCACCCACAGGATCGACCCAAGGGGGTCGACCTGCTCTGATAGCATGTCAAAAAGACTAGGCAAGAATGATTGAAAGGAGAGGGGTTTCACTAGCAGCAGTTGGGGTACATATAGCAAACCCTAACTGGGTTGTACTCGCTATAGAGCACCCCACTACAGGCTAGACAATAATAACATTCTGACAATTTGGAGTGTATATTCCTGCATCATACATACATACATGTGTTACCGGATCGTGTTGGAAAAAGCCCTGGATGGACCACCGTGGATCTATTGCTGATGTAATTAGCTTGTGGGAAAAAAACGCTACTCAAAATTCCTATATTGTACGTATTGCATGATTGTTATGCCAGTGGGAATAAAACGCTTCTGGGGTTCATGCAGTTCGATATTTGATTCTAAAACTAGGGTACCTGCAGGTGCTGATACAACCATGAATTGTTATGGTTGGTGCCACATTATGGCATGTAAGCAGTTTTGCCCGCAGGGAATAAGCTCACATTGTACCGATTTTCTGTAGTTTTGAAGCTTGTTCTTGACGCATACGGTACTGAATCATCAAGCCGCGACCCTAGTACACCTAGCCCGCGCCAACTTCACTATGGCCAATTTCACCCCTGTGTAATTATTTTTGAATTACCTCATATTGAAGGGATGTTCCCAATGCTTGCATTTAAAAGAGGGTACGTTTCAGACGTCTTAGACGAGTTAGAGGGGACAAAAGCTTGGTCGCAATAAAACTATGGTCGATTCGCTCCGGCATAAGCGCGGGAGTTTATAATACCTCGACACTTGTCTGAGTTGTTTATAGCCTTCAAATTCGGGGAGCTCATCGGTCAAGCCAGCATCGGGTTCAGGGTGCTTTCCGAAACAAGTTGCAGGGCGTGAAATTGGCGAGGGCTAGGTGTAATTGGTACGGCGCGTGTGTGTGATTGTCATTCGTGAAGGCTGTTCGGTTTTAGTCTGCGTAGTTTTCGAGCGCAGGTAGTTAGAAAGCTTATTAGGAAGAAATCAGGGGTTCAATATGTGCTTCCCGTAGTCCCTGCATGTAACCTTGATATCTCCGTCAATGTGGCTTGTACAGAACTCCTCGACAATACCTAATCACCGCTCCACAATGTAGCAACCTACCTCGTTCTACTAACCGCTGAAGTGTATTTCCTTTTGCTCTTAAGAGTGTACAATCGTTCCGCTCTGCGGACCGAGGTCGCGAAATGGACTCGCAGGGAGTTTTGGAAGTTCAGGAAATGCGGGGAGTCGAGGGATCAGAGGGAGTCGGGGGGTCAGAGGGGATTGAGGGATCACGGAACGCGAAAGACCTACGGGACATCTTAATGCATAGCATCAATTCAGATGGCGAGGAGAGAGAGACGACGATCGCAGAGGCACCTCAGAAGCAACCTAGTCCCAGCCACGCAAATGACGACGGGATGAAGAGGGGGGAGAGTGAGGAGCAGCACGAGGCCTCCGCTCCCTCCGATCCCTCCCCCTCCTCCCCGCCTCCCGCCGTCCGCTGGTCCGTTGCGCCGTGCACGGGGGGGGGGCTTGAGGGGCCGCCGCGGCTTGAGATCGCGCCCGCACCAGGGGAAGCGGAAGGGTGGGAGGCCGCGCCGAGTCCGGGGAAGGCGCGGGAGTGGGGGGAGTGGGGGGAGTCGGCGGAGTGGGCGGAGGTAGATCTGCGCGGCATCACTCTGACCAAGGAGATTGCGCGGGGTTCGTCCAGCGTGGTGTACAGAGGCGTGTACCGCAAGAAGAACGTTGCTGGTGGGTGCAGTGCGGTGAAGAGGGATGGGAGAGAGTACGAGTGGGATGTGTGAGAGAGTAAGAGTTGACGGTTCATCACTGCACGCAGTGCAGGAGAGGAGGGAAGTCTTACCTTCTTCTCCCGGCCCTCTACTCTCATTACCATCCCCGGCCCTCCACTCTCATTACCATCCCCGGCCCTCTACTCTCATTACCATCCCCGGCCCTCTACTCTCATTACCATCCCCGGCCCTCTACTCTCATTACCATCCCCGGCCCTCTACTCTCATTACCATCCCCGGCCCTCCTTCCCCTTGTGCGTGCGTGCGTTGCAGTGAAGGTGGTTGACCTAGGCAGCGACGACGGCTCATCGCTGCACGAGGTGCAGGACAGGAGGGCGGCGCTCATACGGGAGGTGATTATATGGAGCCGACTCTCGCACCCCCATATTGTGCCGGTGAGTGTAAGGTGTAATCTAGGTGTGTTGCTGGAGGAGGCGCCTGCCTAGGTGTGTTACTGGAGGCGCCTGCCTAGGTGTGTTACTGTCCATGTTTCATCCAATGAAGGACCATTCGAGGGAAAGCAGGTTCTCCTCGTGGGCTGCAGTCGGGCAGCTGCAGAGGCACCACACGCCTGGTGATGGAAAGCGGGTGCTTGAGCGGGGGCTGTAACACACACTCTCTCTTGCTTGCCTCTCAGGCTGCAGTCGGGTGGGGACCATCCGCCCTCTGCCCTCTGCACCGCCCGGCTGTGCACCACCCGGCTTGGGGACTGGAGTTGAAGTCCCAGCTTATGGGGACTGGAGCTGCAGTCCCAGCTTGGAGCCTGCCTATGTGTGTGTCTGTTTGTGTCCCCACGCACCCCGTCCCCTCACGCACCCCCTCCCCATGTGTGTGTGCTCCTTCCCCCCCCAGGTGATAGGAGCGCACATCCCCCTGCTGTCCCCCGAGGCCCACCCGTCCCCGTCCCCCCGGACGCCCAGGCAGCAGAGGGTGGACTCGCGCCTGCGGGGCGAGCAGGCGTGTGTTGTGAGTGCGCTCATCGGCACGGGCGTGACTCTCAAGGAGTATCTCGCCCGCACTGCCAGGGAGAGGCGCAAGCTGCCTCTGCACATGCTTGTGGACCTGGCAATGCAGCTTGCCAAGAGGTGAGGTTGGGGGCGGTGGTGGCTTCTTTATGCTGCAGTGCGGGGCGAGCAGGCGTGTGTTGTGAGTGCCCTCATCGGCACAGGCGTGACTCTCAAGGAGTATCTCGTAGACCTTGCAATGCAGCCTGCTAAGAGGTGTGGTGAGGTGTTGTGAGGTGAGGTGAGGTGAGGTGAGGTGAGGTGAGGTGAGTGGGGGGGTCTGACTCATCTTTGTCCTTCGCCACACTGTCTCCATCCCACCTTCATCACTCGCTACCCTTGCATTCTGCCCCCCTTCTTCCCCCCTTCTTCCCCCCTTCTTCCCCCCTTCTTCCCCCCTTCGTCCCCCCTTTCCATCGCCCCTCTTCCTGCCTCGCCTTCCTGCACTCTTTGCGGGTGGTGCATGGGGACATGTGCCCCGACAACCTGCTGCTCAACCCCTCCCTGCGCCTGCACCTCACCTCACCCGCCCGCTGCCCATCCGTCCTCCTCTCCCCCTCCCCAATACCAACCCAGTCTCGCCTTCCTGCACTCCTTGCGTGTGGTGCATGGGGACGTGTGCCCCGACCACGTGCTGCTCGACTCCACCTTACGACTCCATCTCGCGGGCTTCGCCTGTGCTTCTATCGAGGGCGACCTCGCCTACAGTCACGCGGGCAGAGGGGAGGAACGAGGCAACCCGAATTACATGGCGCCTGAGGTGAGCGGGCGGGACCTTTTTTGAGACGTCGACGTCTGAGCCGACTCAAAACTCAAAAACAGAGGGGAGGAACGACGCAACGGGAATTACATGGCGCCTGAGGTGAGCGGGACGGGACCCTTTCTTCCCAACCCCTCCCCAAAGTTTCCCCTTCTTCTCCCCTCTCATACCCCCTCCCGCCCTCACTGCACCTCTTATCCTCCATCGGACCATCCCCTCACCTTCTCCTTTCCCCCCACCCCTCCCCACCCCTCCCCACCCTCGCCCATTCCTCCCCAAACCATCCCCTCCCATCCCCCCCCATTCCACTCCACCAGGTGCTCAACTCCCTCCCATACGACCGCCAGGCGGACGTGTTTAGTTTTGGCATGTGTCTGTGGTCCATGCTCTCCTGTGAGCCGCCCTTCCCCAAGTGTGACTATAACGAGATCTCCGACCTAATGCAACAGGTATGGGAACAAGGAAAGTGCCCTTTGGCATGTATCTGTGGGCCATGCTCTCCTGTGAGCCGCCCTTTCCCAAGTGTGACGACAACGAGATCTCCGACCTCCTGCAGCAGGTATGGAATGAAAGGTGACTATAACGGGGTCTAAGAAGTTCAAAAGAGCCATGGTTGCAGCTTGCGTCTTGCAAATGAATTCCGGTTTCCCTTGAAGTTCTTACCTTGGTTCCTCCCCTTTCCATGTCCCCATCATTTCCCCCTAGTGTGGCATAGAATGCAAGGAAGAAACCCCATTGTTCAATCCCCCCCCCCCCCCCTCCCCTTTTCCTTCCCCTCTTCCTCCCCCCGTCCTTGGCGCATGCTGCACTGCTGCTGGGAGGGCCCTTGTTTCAACCCGCCCCCCTCCACGCTCCGCTCCTCCTCTTCCCCCATCCCATCCCCCAGGGCGTGCGCCCCATCATCTCCCCCAGGTGCCCTCCCGACTTGGCGCATGTGCTGCGCTGCTGCTGGGTGGGCCCTTGCTTACCCCTCCCCCTCCATCCTCCACCCTTCATCCCCTCTCCCCCCATGCAATCCCCCAGGGCGTGCGCCCCATCATCTCCCCCAAGTGCCCCCCCGACTTGGCGCATGTGCTGCGCTGCTGCTGGGAGGGCACCCCTTCATCCCGCCCCTCCATGCCGCAACTCATCACCCTGCTGCGCTCACTCAACATCTTTGCCGCCCGCCAAGACCACCCTGCCTCGAGGAATCCTAGGCCGGGAGAGTCTGGTGCGGGGGATGCTGGCCTTCCTACCAGCGCCAGCACCAGCAGCAGAAGCAGCAGCAGCAGCAACAGCAGGGTGGTGGGTCAAGGGGTGGAGTGGATGAGGGTAGCAGTAGCAGTGCTGCAGTGGGTCGCAGCATGAGTGACAATCGGATGTTAGGAGGGGCCAAGCCCTCGCTCCTCTCTTCCCTTGGCTCTTCCCTTGGTCGATTCAGCTTCTCACGCGCTAGATCCGCACGGTTCAGCCTCCCACCAGCGTCACCATCAGCATCAGCATCTGTATCCGATTCTGTGGCGCAGGAGTCATCGGCAGCAGTAGCTTCAGCAGCAGCAGCTGACGACGCAGCGTTGGGGGGGCAGCAGCAGGCTGTGAGAGAGCCAACAGGGAGCGGGCCGGCGTGCGTTGCAACTGCTTTTGAGTCGACTCAAAAGCCGGCGTGCGTTGCAACTGCAGTAAAGAGCACTGGTACAAGCGACCAGTGTAGTGCAGTAACGGCAGGGAATCACTCTGTAGAGAGTACAACTCAGTCGAGCTCTCTAAGCTATGATGCGGAGCAAGCACAGACAGAGGAGGGGCGTACTCTCTGCACTCCTCGCTCCTCTAGTGCCTCAACCACTGGCAATACTGCTAACCCCTCTATTCTCGCTACTCCCGCTCCTACTGCTGGCACTGCTACTGAAGAAGCTACTGAAGGGATTGCAGAGGGCGACAACGACACGCGGCAACAACTAGACTCCCCTCACTCTCCCTCCTCTCAGCCATCCGCCACTTCTTCCAACTTTAACGCTCCTCCTCCCCCTCTCCTCATACCGCCCTCATCTCTTCTTAACGATCCGCCCTCCACTCCCCCTCCCGCACTCCCCTCCCACACTACCACTCCCGCCTCCCTTCCTTCCCCTCCCTCCTCCCCTCTTCACTCCTCGCTTCCTCCCCCTTCTCCACACGCGTCCTCCCCTTCTCGCTCCTCTCACCCCTCCCCTTCCCCCTCCTCCTTCCCCCCTTCATCGCCCTCTCCTGCCGCTTCTACCAGCCCAGCCGTATCAGCAGCAACAGCCATACGTGCTGCTGCTAGCAATACAGGAGGTGTGGGGGGCAGAGGGTACACTATAGCAGGTCGGGTGGCGGGTGCTAGCCCTGCTGCTGCTGCTGCCGCTGCTGCCACTGCCGCTGCAAATCCCGAGGCGAACCCCGAGGCTAGTGCCGGAGCTAGTCCCGAGGCTAGCACCGAAGCTAGCACCGGGTGCATGGGATGGGAACGGGGATCAGCAGCAGACAGCATCAGCCCTGTCGGCAGCGCTCGCAGCATTGGGTGGGATGCAGGGGGGAGGATAACTGCACCTGGGAATGTGAGCCCTGCAGGCAGCATGGGGAGCATGAGGAGTGTGGGGTGGGAGGGGGAACCGATGTCCCCCGCGTGGAGTGGGGAGGCGGGGCAGGCGTGGGTGGGGGAGCGGCCGGTGTGGGAGATAAAGCTGAGAGACGTGGTGCTGAAGAGGGAGATTGCAAAAGGGTCGTCAGGGACTGTGTACAAGGGCAAATACAAGGACAGCACTGTTGCGGGTATGAGCTGCCTCACATTCACCTCTTGAGTCATCTCAGCTTTTGAGTCCCATACACCCTCGTCAAATCCCCCCATACACTCGCATGCACGCACCACCAGTACGGTGGTTTCTTGGGGCAAGGGACGATGTCGGAGGGGGGTATGGAAGTGCCAAGACGTCTCAAAACTCTTCTTCCTCCCTCTCCCCCTGCTTCCCACGCACTCGTGCGTGCACACATCACACTCATCTGCACACATCACACTCATCTGCACACATCACACTCATCTGCACACACCACACTCATCTGCACACACCATCAGTGCGCATCGTGCCTTGGAGCGAGGTGGAAGGGGAGATGTCCGAGGGGGAACAGTGGGAGCACAAGAGGGCCAAGTTCCTAAGGGAAGTGACTATATGGAGACGGCTCAAACACCCCAATATAGTCAAGGTGAGTTACAAGGCGCCTCGCCTCAGAACTTGCAGCAGGTGAGGGCCAAGTTCCTAAGGGAAGTGACTATATGGAGACGGCTCAAACACCCCAATATAGTCAAGGTGAGATCTCAGATTTCTTGTCTATAGTCAGTCGACGCCCTGTACAGTCACTTGAGCCTCAAGGAAGGGGCATCTTTTCCAGTGTTCCTTCCCTTTAGTCCCTCCTTCACAGCTGCTATCCGTCCTGCCCCTCCCTTTTGTTCCCTCCCTTCAGTTCCTGGGGGCATCTATCCCCAAGCACCCTCAACTGCTGACCATCCCCACCATATTTTTTAGTCGACTCAAATACCCCCTCTTCTCTGCTCCCCTCCCTCCCTGCAGTTCCTGGGAGCATCTATCCCTGAGCACCCTCAACTGCTGACCACCCCCACTAGCGCTGCCAGGGAGAAAGGGGCAGACACGCGGTTCAAGGGCCATGCGTTTTGTGGGGTGATGGAGCATGTGGAACACTGTAGCCTCAAGGAGTATCTTTTCCGGGCAGCCCGGGAGCGAAGGAAGCTACCGATGCCGTTCATTGTGCAAGTGGCAGTCGATCTCGGCAAGGGGTGAGTGATTGCAAGCAGAGGGGCGATTGCAGCTGATTCACCCCTCGCATATCTGCACTCCATGGGGTGCTGTACTGCACGGTGACAAATGCTTTCCAAGCCTCTCAAAATTCCTCCCCCTTCCTCCTCCGTCCTTATCTCTCCCCTGTCAACACACACTCTCTCTCTCTCGAATGGCCCTTTCATTGATCTCTCTCTCTCTCTCTCTCTCTCTCTCTCTCTCTCTCTCTCTCTCTCTCTCTCTCTCTCTCTCTCTCTCTCTCTCTCTCTCTCTCTCTCTCTCTCTCTCTCTCTCTCTCTCTGCCAGCCTGGCATATATGCACTCTATGGGCGTGGTGCACGGCGACATTTGTCCTGAGAACCTCCTTCTGGACGGCAAGCGTCGCCTCAAGATCGCCCGATTCGGGGCGGCACGGGTGGAGTCCTCCCACCCAGTCAGCACCGCCACTGGTAGCTGCCGCCGCACCCTCAGCTACAGTGCGCCTGAGGTATTTCATGATATTGATCAATTTCCTCAGGTGTATTTTCAGTGGATTTCAAATGCAGCCACTGTCCCTCTCAGATAATCCTGCCATTCTTCTGTCTGTCCCATACAGCTCTGTCATCTGTGCATATGTGCAATGATACCTCCCCTCCTCTCAGGCTCTTTCTCCCTGCACATCCCACACCCCCTCATGCTCTTTCTCCCTGCACATCCCACACCCCCTCAGGCTCTTTCTCCCTGCACATCCCACACCCCCTCAGGCTCTTTCTCCCTGCACATCCCACACCCCCTCAGGCTCTTTCTCCCTGCACATCCCACACCCCCTCATGTCCTTCTCTCCCAGTCGCTTTTGAGAATTCTCAAAAGCGACTCAGATCATGTCCTTCTCTCCCAGCCCTGCAACCGCTTTGCTCAGGTCAACAGCTTTGCCCGCTGTCACCAAGTGCAAAGGAGTTCCCCTTACTCCCCTCCCCCTCCATCCCCCTCTCACCTTCACCTCCTCAGGTCCTCTTCTCCTAGCCTTACGACCGCTCTGCTGACGTGTACAGCTTTAGCATCTGTCTCCCCTCCTCACCCTCCATCCTTCGTCCCCTCATTACGCCTCCCCAGGTGCTCTTCTCCCAGCCCTACGACTGCTTTGCTGATGTATACAACCCTTCTGTCTGCCTCTAAGTGCTATGACATGCTTCCTCCTCCCTCTTCTCTCTCACCACCTCCCCAGGTGCTCTTCTCCCAACCCTATGACCGCTCTGCTGATGTCTACAGCTTCGGCATCTGCCTGTGGGAGCTGTACGCTCGGGAGGCCCCGTTTCCGAACCTAGACTTCGGGGAAGTGGCCGATGCTGTCAAGGAGGTGAGGGATGGGAGGGTCAATCAGGTGGGGAGAAGCAGTGTAGGCTGTAGGGGTTAGGGATGGGGATGGATGGGGGTGATTTTGCGTTTTCCGCCGTGGGAGCAGTCTGTTGGGAAAGGCGCCGTTGTTGAACTTAGGCGTTGGAGGGATGGCCTATGCTTGCCATCCTTCCCAACCTACTTTGGCGTGGATCCCTATGCTCCTAGAGCTTCTGTTCATCAGTACTTAGTGTGCGATCTTCTTTTCGATTCCCACCCTCTCCCCTCATCCTGCAGGGCGCACGACCCATTATTTCCCCCATGTGCCCCCCTGACTTGGCCAATGTTATGCGCTGCTGCTGGGAGGGTATCCCTCCGGCTCGCCCGTCGATGCCCCAAGTTCTTGCAATGCTGAAGGTGGTGAATGTCTTTGCAGGTAAATAAGGCATGCCTTTTATTATATGTATTATTATGCTTTTGTATCTAGCTGTTCACTGCAAAGGTAAAAGCTCACATCAAGGTGAGCCAGATGCGTTATCATAATATCTCATCGTAATTTCCCAACATCTACCACCTTCATTTTCTAGATTTGTTCGTTATGGTAATACCGCGAGCAGACTGTGCTGGCCTCAAGATTTCCGCGAGTGCTGACCTGTCTGCAGCCATGGTGCGGCGCTTTTTCCTCGCATCGCTGGATGCGAAAGATGCTTTGATTCCCTAGGAAATTCCGCTCATTTCATGGGCACCTCCAACTGAATTCTTCTTGGACCTTGGGACTGGTCATTGGCCAATGAAGCTGCCCGTCGGTTGGTGATTGGCTCTCAGCCACAATCAATGTGCGACAATTTAGCAGGTGTCCCTAGAGTTTTGTCCGCTAAGTGTCAAGTGCGGTTCAGTAGGTTTTGACACGATGAAAAGTGGTCATGCTTTGAACCTCGATGCACCGTACAATACCGTTGCCATTCGCAATATGCGTCATAGGACTTCCAACTTCAGGACGCGGCACCTGTAGCACCGACCCTGCGATCGATCCTGCGCAGGATCGATTTTTTGCGGAGTTAAGAACTGTGTTGGGAGTTTTAAATCCTGCGATCCTGCGATCGATCCTGCAAAATTGCTAGAGGTGCCGCGTCCTCACCCCATCGCATCGCCCACGCCAGTCCCCTGCAACTCTTCTATTCCCTGCATGCAAGTGCATTGCATTTGGTTCCCATGAAATCTTGGGCAAGATGCAGGTCCAGAAGCTTGTCTACCATTCCAGCTCAATTGAGGTACTAGGTCTCTTCAGTGTTGACTAGGTGTTATTCAGTGAATCTCGAGCAACGAGGCCGACACGATGATGTTGTAATCCTGTCCAGACCCTTTCAACAGGAAGTAAGATATAGTGCTCATTACGTATTTCATTTTTCCCAGATTCGTATTCTACAGAGGTTGTCAAGCACTGCCAAGTATCAAGCAAAAAGGAAATTCATAGTGAACGACATAAATGGCCTCCATGGATAGAGCCACCCTGCAGTACGGTCTTTCCTAGGTAGCGCCTTCGCGGCTTTGCTCCCGTAGAATTAACCACCTGGGAGCGCTGCGTTCTGGCAGCAGCTGCACAGCGTAACGACCGTAAAACTTGTTTTCCTCATCTGCGGCACCGCGACACCTGCAGACGTCGGACACGCGCGCACGAAATAAATTGTCTAAGCGCGAACAGACGCGCAACCTTTGGAACGTCTCGAAGACGCTGACGCACGCACGAGCGATGGCGGAGCTGCACGGCGCTTCGTCCCTAAGCGCAGGCCACGCGTTTCGATCGCAACAGTCAGAATCAACGGTTTCTGCTCAACCCTCTGACATGGTCACAGAAACCGCAGAATCGGACGGGGAACTGCTACGAGTGCGAACCGACCCGGCGAATTTAGTCAAAGACGAATTGAGTGAGCTCGGGGCAGGGAATTCCTGGCTAAATAGGTCGTATTCGGTGCAGGTGGGACGCGGCGGCCAGGCAGACTCTGGGGAAGCAGGGGGAGCAGGCGCAAGGAGGAGGCGGTCGGAGAGCTCCCGGGGGGTGGGGGTGAACATCGCCGCATTGGATAAGGCGCTAGACCGAGTCATGTCCATGCCCTGGCGCGGCGAAAAGAAGGCGGGCGACTGCGACGGAGGCTTGGGATTGGGCGCAGCGTGGCAGGAGAAAGGAGGGAAGAACGGGAAGCATGTGCTGGGTAGGGCGCGTTCCCATGGAAACGGGGAGGGGAGTTCCGTTCTGGCTGCCGCTGCGGCGGCCGTTGCTGCCATCCGCAGTGACGGTGACACGGTGGCTTTCCCTAATAATGTCACGGGAGTGCCGCTAAACAAGTGTGGTACGGAAGCGGGTGCGAAGGACGCGACGAATAAGGAGCGGTGTGCGGAGGTGGAACTGGGTACGGATGGGGGGCGGGGCGAAGGCGATGCTGCTGTAGCAAGCGACCCCTCGTGGCAGGTTGATTTACGGCGAGTGACTATAAAGAAGGAAATCTTCAAGGGCGCGTACAGCACGGTGTATAAGGGCGCGTTCAGGGACATGGATGTTGCAGGTATGCCCTCTTTCTCCTCCCCTCTGTTTCCCTATGCCATCCCACAGATAAATTGCAATTCTCACTGCCAACTGCTGCCTGCTTCGTGCTTCCTGCCGTGTCTCACCCCACTCAATCTCTCTCTCTAACGGCACTTCCCTCACCCGCGGCTGCTAATTTTCATGCCCCAGCGCCCTAACACCCTCCCTCTCTCCGCCTCCCTCCCCGCGAGTGCGTGCAGTGAAGGCCATCGACTGGGGCGAAGCGGGGTCGTTCTCGCCCGTGCTGCGCGCCAAGCAGAGAGCCGCGCTGCTGCGCCAGGTGCACGTGTGGCGGGGCCTCAAGCATCCGTACGTGACGCAGGTGAGCGTGGTGCATGTGAGGGTGGCGCGGGTGGGAGTGGCGCAGGTGGGAGTGGCGCAGGTGGGAGTGGCGCATGTGAGATTAGTGAACCATTGCTATGAGACACAAACATTGGAATGGCTTATGAGACACAGGGGGAACTGGGGCGAGTACATTGGAACATACATATGAGATGGAAGTAGATCATTGGAACATACATATGAGATGGAAGTAGATCATTGGAACATACATATGAGATGGAAGTAGATCATTGGAACATACATATGAGATGGAAGTAGATCATTGGAACATACATATGAGATGGAAGTAGATCATTGGAACATACATATGAGATGGAAGTAGATCATTGGAACATACATATGAGATGGAAGTAGATCATTGGAACATACATATGAGATGGAAGTAGATCATTGGAACATACATATGAGATGGAAGTAGATCATTGGAACATACATATGAGATGGAAGTAGATCATTGGAACATACATATGAGATGGAAGTAGATCATTGGAACATACATATGAGATGGAAGTAGATCATTGGAACATACATATGAGATGGAAGTAGATCATTGGAACATACATATGAGATGGAAGTAGATCATTGGAACATACATATGAGATGGAAGTAGATCATTGGAACATACATATGAGATGGAAGTAGATCATTGGAACATACATATGAGATGGAAGTAGATCATTGGAACATACATATGAGATGGAAGTAGATCATTGGAACATACATATGAGATGGAAGTAGATCATTGGAACATACATATGAGATGGAAGTAGATCATTGGAACATACATATGAGATGGAAGTAGATCATTGGAACATACATATGAGATGGAAGTAGATCATTAGCAACTTCCCACGCCCTCCCTCCCACCCTCCCTGTCCCCTCCCCCACTTTCCCCTCCCCCACTTTCCCCTCCCCCACTTTCCCCTCCCCCACTTTCCCCATCCCCACTTTACCCACCCCCATGCCTGCACATGCAGCTCGTAGCAGCGAGCGTGGCAGCTGACCGTGCGCCCTGCACCACGCCTCGTGGCGTGGACGCGCGTTTGAGGGGCGTGGCGGGGTGCTTAATAATGGAGTATGCGGGCGACCTGACGCTCAAGGAGTATCTGGCGCGCGCTGCCAGGGAGAGGAGGAAGCTGCCGCTGCACATGGTGGTGGAGCTGGCTTTGCAACTCGCCAAGGGGTGAGTGGGGAGGGGGTGAGTGGGGAAGAGAAGATGGGCCCAGAAAGGGGGGGGGCTGTGGTAAAAGAGTGTGTTTCACAGTTCACTTGAGTTCGTGGGGGACGTCACTTTCAAGGAGTCTGTCTGTGTCTGGCGTACATCCACAGCAGCGGTGTGGTCCACGGGGACGTGTGTCCCGACAACCTGCTCCTCACGGATTGCAGAAACCTCCTCCTTCCCTTCCCAACCCACCACCCCCCCCACCCGCTCCCTTCCCCTTCAGTCTGGCCTACATCCACAGCAGCGGCGTGGTGCACGGGGACGTGTGCCCCGACAACCTTCTGCTAACCTCCTAACCCTTTTCTCCCTCATCCCCTCACCCTCCCCACACTCACACACCAGGGTGGCCTACATCCACAGCAGCGGCGTGGTTCATGGGGACGTGTGCCCCGACAACCTGCTCCTCACGGACCGCAGGCGCCTCCTCCCTCCCTTCCCAACCCCCTCTTCTAACCCACCAAACTCCCTCCCTCCTCTCCCCCCCACCAGGCTGGCCTACATCCACAGCAGCGGCGTGGTGCATGGGGACGTGTGCCCCGACAACCTCCTCCTCACGGATCGCAGGCGCCTCAAGATCGCCGGCTTCGGCGTCGCTCGCTTCGAGGCCCACTGCAAGGCGCGTGGCCGCGCCGGCGCGCAGTGGGGGGGCGGCCCTGGGTCTGCTGGGGTGAATGAGGATTCTGGAAAGAGAGCTGCGGTGGCTGCGAGTGAGGCAGGGGCAGGGGCAGCGGCAGGGGCAGGGGCAGGGGCAGGGGCAGGGGCAGGGGCAGGGGCAGGGGCAGGGGCAGGGGCAGCAGGGGCAGGGGCAGGGGCAGGGGCAGCGACGGGGATACTGAGGGAATCGCAGGATGTGGCTCGGAATGGAGATGGGGCGGAGAGGCATGGGGTAGGGCGGGATGCGGAGGCTGGGAGAAGGGAGGCAGTTGAGGCGGGAAGGGGGAATGGGGGTGGAGGGGGAGGAGGAGGGGAGGAGGTAGAGGAGGGTATGGAGGGAGGGGGTGGGGAAGGAGGGGAGGCAAGGGGTGTGCAGCAGGGGGACGGGTGGTTGCCCCATGACGCCAGTGGGGAGACGGGTTCAGTGGGGTACATGGCTCCTGAGGTGCGTTGCTTGTACTGAGCTGTGTTGCTTGTGCTGTTATAAGGTAGAAACAGGCAGGTGCAAGCAGGTGCAGGCAGATGCGGGTAGATTCAGGCAGGTGAACACTGCCATGCTGAAATTCGCATCTTTGCCTGCAGGAGCTGCTGAACGCTGCACTCTGCCTGCTCTCTCTCTCTCTCTCATTGCCCTGTGCAATTTCTCCCCCATGCAATGTGACTCCTCCCCCATGCAATGTGACTCCTCCCCCATGCAATGTGACTCCTCCCCCATGCAATGTGACTCCTCCCCCATGCAATGTGACTCCTCCCCCTCTCAATTCCTCCCTCCTTGCATCCTTCCTTTCCCTCACCCCTCCTCCCCCCCCCCCCCCCCCCCTCCTTCCCTCTGGCCCTCAGGTGCTAGCTGGACTGCCATACGACCGCCGTGCTGACGTGTACAGCTTTGGCATCTGCCTGTGGGAGCTGCTGACGTGTGAGACTCCGTTTGACTCGTTTGACTTCAGCGAAATGGCTTCTGCCATCAGTGAGGTGGGTCTGCCTGCTCGCATGAGCCATGGGACATGGCAAATGGCACATGGCGAATGACTTATGGCACATCACCCGTCACCCATGGCACATCACACATAGCACGTCACACATAGCACATCACGCATAGCACGTCACACATAGCACATCACACATAGCACGTCCCACATAGCACGTCACACATAGCACGTCACACATAGCACGTCACACATAGCACGTCACACATAGCACATCACACATAGCACGTCACACATAGCACGTCACACATAGACATAGCACGTCACACATAGCACGTCACACACAGCACGTCACACATAGCACGTCACACATAGCACGTCACACATAGCACGTCACGCATAGCACATCACACATAGCACGTCACACATAGCACATCACACATAGACATAGCACGTCACACATAGACATAGCACGTCACACATAGCACGTCACACATAGCACGTCACACATAGCACGTCACACATAGCACGTCACACATAGCACGTCACACATAGCACATCACACATAGCACATCACACATAGACATAGCACGTCACACATAGACATAGCACGTCACACATAGCACGTCACACATAGCACGTCACACATAGCACTTCACACATAGACATAGCACGTCACACATAGCACGTCACACACAGCACGTCACACATAGCACGTCACACATAGCACGTCACACATAGCTCGTCACATAGCACGTCACACATAGCACGTCACACATAGCACGTCACACATAGCACGTCACACATAGCACATCACACATAGCACGTCTCACATAGCACATCACACATAGCACGTCACACATAGCACATCACACATAGCACATCACACATAGACATAGCACGTCACACATAGACATAGCACGTCACACATAGCACGTCACACATAGCACGTCACACATAGCACGTCACAGATAGCACGTCACACATAGCACATCACACATAGCACGTCTCACATAGCACATCACACATAGCACGTCACACATAGCACATCACACATAGCACATCACACATAGCACATCACACATCGCACGTCACATGCCACATATGGCACATTAGCTCCCCCCTTCTCAACCGGTCTCCTTCCCCCTTTCCCCCCATCCGCCAGGGTGTGTGTCCATCTTCCCCACAGGGTGTGTGTGTTTCAACTCGGATGCATGTAGGGAAACGTCTTGTTCAACCCCCTCCCCTCCTCACCTCCTCGCCTCCTCCCCTCCTCCCTTCCTCCCCTCCTCTCCCCCTTCCCCACAGGGCGTGCACTGCGCCCCATTCTTCCCCACAGGGCGTGCGCTGCGCCCCATTCTTCCCCACAGGGCGTGCGCTGCGCCCCATTCTTCCCCACAGGGCGTGCACTGCGCCCCATTCTTCCCCTCAGGGCGTGCACTGCGCCCCATTCTTCCCCACAGGGCGTGCACTGCGCCCCATTCTTTCCCACAGGGCGTGCACTGCGCCCCATCCTGCCCCACAAGTGTCCTCTTGACATCGCACGAGTCATGCGCTGTTGCTGGGAGGGCTCCTCTGCTGCGCGCCCCTCCTTACCTCCTCTCTTCCTCCAACCCCCACCAACCCTCCCCCGCTCCCCCCCACCCCATCCTGCCAGGGTGTGCGCCCCATCCTGCCCCACAAGTGTCCCCTTGACATCGCACGAGTCATGCGGTGCTGCTGGGAGGGCTCCTCTGCTGCGCGCCCCTCCATGCCGCAAGTCATTGCGATGCTGGACAAGGTCAATGTGTTCAGCGGGCGAGAGATCCCTGTGCACAACATTTGATCTGAGCCGCTTTGAGACGTCTCAAAACGCGAGAGATCCCCGTGCACAACATTTGATTGTTTTGAGACGTCTCAAAACGCGAGAGATCCCTGTGCACAACATTTGATTGTTTTGAGACGTCTCAAAACGCGAGAGATCCCTGTGCACAACATCTGATCTGAGCCGGTCTTACGGTACTCTCGAATGCCCCTCCATGCCGCAAGTCATTGCCATGCTGGACAAGGTTAATGTGTTCAGCGGGCGAGAGATCCCCGTGCACAACATTTGAGATTTGAGCCGCTTTTGAACAGTCGCTTTCAAGCATTTCGCTACATTTGAGTCACTATGGGGAAGGCTAGAATGCCCCTCCATGCCGCAAGTCATTGCCATGCTGGAGAAGGTCAGTGTGTTGAGCGGGAAAGAGATCCCAGCGCACAACATCTGATTTGAGTCGCTTTTGAGAAGAATCAAGTCAGATTGCTCATGTCATGCCGCACGTTACGGTATTGCTTTGCTTGAAAATGCCACTGTGAGAAAGAGTTTTTTTGCGCAGCATGCAGCAACTACCGGTACTCTGCAAGGGTTATGCAATCCACATGATTTGCTAGTGTTTGAAGCATAGTCAGCACAGAAGTAATGATGATGCAATTCTGCAGATTTAGCAGCTTCCTGGTGTGCTAGTATTCTGATGTCTCTATGCTTCATCCAAACATTGGCATACCGTACAATACATGTGGATTCAGATTAAATTATAAATGCTACTCAAACAGAAACAACCCCTTCCTCCTACCGCTAATACTGTACCATTTTTCAAACAAACTACTCAACTTCACCCCCTTGACACTTCTAAGGAACCAAGCTACACTAAACAGCGTTGTGTGCACCGATCTAGGTGCCAAAAACACACCCAAATTCCTGTTGCTTCGCGCTGCTACCACCAGGCGATTATACACAGTATAACCCACAGAAAAAACGGCATCCAGTTCTTGTCGTGAACAGAAGTTGTGCCTCCACCTTACAGTATCCCACGTGCGCTCCCGTGCCAGTACACTTGCTCTTGTTCGTAATATTTGCCCGTCGAGACATCTTTGCGAGTACACTAGATCCTCGCTAGGGAGCTGCTGCTCGTACTGTATAAAGCGCCAGTCGAAAAAGGAATGGAAGATGAAGAGGGGTGTAGAGACCTGTGCAAGAAGGTGTTCTGGGAAGAAGCACACCCAGTAGTCCCTCACTGGTGCTCCTGAGGGGAGGGGAAGGGAGGAAGATGAAGAGGGGAGTGGAGACCTGTGCAAGAGTGTGTTCGGGGAAGAAACAGACCCAGCTGTCCCTCACTTGTGCTCCTGGGAGGTGTGGAAGCAGGGGGGGAGGAGGAGGGAAGGAATGGAAGAGGAAGAGGGGAGTGGAGGCTTGTGCGAGAATGTGTTATGGGAGGAAAGGAAACAGACCCAGTGGTCCCTCACTTGTGCTCCTGAGGGGGTGGGAAGGGGTGGGAAGGGATTAGAGGAAGAGCGAGGAGTGAGGATGAAGGTGTGGAAGAACTTGAGAACTTTACCGGAACGTTTGAGACGTCTCAAAAGAGCTTCAGAACTTTGCCACAACTGAATTCGTATGGAAGAAGGAGAGGAGAAGCACCAACCACCGCCCTTCTTTTTTTGAGTCGACGAAAAGACAGAACTGAATTCGCATGGAAGGAGGAGAGGAGAAGCACCAACCACCGCCCTTCAGAGAACACACATTGATGTTGTTGCTTTCACCTGGTGAGGTGAATGACCTGCTACTGTTTTTTTCACCTGGTGAATGACCTGCTACCAGTTGAAGTTGTTTTTACGTTTTTTTTTTTAACCTGGTGGGGTGCCCATTTCTCCTGGAGAGTAATATTCTGTTCTCACCTGCAGGGCATCTGGGGACTTCTATGCGGTGCAGAGCGGTGAGCTGCCGAATGTATTCCCGCCATGAATACACCCCAAAACGGTCCTTCGCATCTGCAGGGAGGAAAGGGGCGGAAGGGGAAGGGGGGGGTGAGGGGGGAAATGGAAGGGGGAGGAGGATGTGGATAAAGGTTTGGAAAGAAAGGCTTGTATTGCATTGCAGCTAGTTTCTGCGGTTTTCAGTGACTCCATTCCGTAATACTGTTCACCACCAAAGAAGCCGTGCGTGATAAGTCGATTTTTGAGCCGACTAAAAAAATCCATAATATTGCTCACCAACAAAGAAGCCAGAGTCGGCGAGGCACTTGGAGGAGGCGCGGGGGAAGAATACATTTCAAAAGACCTGAAGGTCTGCAGCAAAAGCACAACGCTCACCAACAAAGAAGCCGGAATCGGCGAGGCACTTGGAGGAAGCGCGGGGGAAGGCAGCAGCGAGGCGGTCGCAGTGCATGATGATGGCATGGCCGCCCGCTGAGCTGCCCGAGAAGAGTACATGCGACGCCGCCCCCATGCCCTGCCGCATGCAGAGATCTGAAGAAATGATGGTGTTACAGGAGGGTGGAGATGGGTGGGAGGCGGTTGATTGACATCATGATGGCATGGGCGCCTGCAGAGCTGCCGGAAAAGAGAACGTTCGACGTTGCCCCCACCCCATGTCCCCATTCCCCACTCCTCATTGCCATTCCCCACTCCTCATTGCCATTCCCCACTCCTCATTGCCATTCCCCACTCCTCATTGCCATTACCCACTCCTCATTGCCATTCCCCACTCCCAGAAAAGAATCCTCCCCACTTTCTCCTCACCAGTGATAATATCGTCCAGAATCTGCCGCCCCTGCATGTACACAGATGCGCCCCCCCCCAGGTCCGCCCTCCCCCGCGTGCTGCTGTAGGCGCCACCGTCACAGTACACCACCCACACCAGGTTCCAACCATAGAACGCTGGGTTGGCTGCGCTGTCGTGGGATAGGAGCCCGCCCAGCTGTGGATAGGACTCGGTTGCCTGTCAGTGGGGAAGAAGAGAGAGGAGAGGGAGAGTTGGAGTTGACTTTTGAGTCAACTCACCACCCACACCAGGTTCCACCCGTGGAAGGCGGGGTTGGCTACTGTGTCTTGAGATAAAAGCCCTTCCACCTGTGGATAGGACTCGGATGCCTGGTGACAGGGTACGGTTGGGAGGGGTGAGGTGGAGTTGGGTGGGATGGGGCTGGGTAGGGTGCAATGCGGTGGAATGCCTTTCTCAGGCACCACCGTCACAGTACACCACCCACACCAGGTTCCACCCGTGGAAGGCGGGGTTGCCTACGCTGTCTTGAGATAAAAGCCCTTTCACCTGTGGATAGGACTCGGATGCCTGGTGGGGGGAGAGAGAGAATGGGAGTAAGAGAAGGTAGGAGGATGAGAGTGGGAGTAAGAGGGGTTGGATGCAGTGTGTTGGGAGCAGGAGTGGTTGGCTGCGGTCACGTTGTGGTCTGAACGACTCTTCTGGGATGAGTGAGTGAGGGGGAAAGCTGAGGGGGAGATTGAGAGAGAGCGAGAGCGCACGCATGCATGCACGCATGCACGCATTCAGTCGTCCAGTGTTGTGAGGGCACGCATGCACGCATTCAGTCGTCCAGTGTTGTGAGGGCATGCATGCACGCATTCAGTCGTCCAGTGTTGTGAGGGCATGCATGCACGCATTCAGTCGTCCAGTGTTGTGAGGGCATGCATGCACGCATTCAGTCGTCCAGTGTTGTGAGGGCATGCATGCACGCATTCAGTCGTCCAGTGTTGTGAGGGCATGCATGCACGCATTCAGTCGTCCAGTGTTGTGAGGGCACGCATGCACGCATTCAGTCGTCCAGTGTTGTGAGGGCACGCATGCACGCATTCAGTCGTCCAGTGTTGTGAGGGCACGCATGCACGCATTCAGTCGTCCAGTGTTGTGAGGGCATGCATGCACGCATTCAGTCGTCCAGTGTTGTGAGGGCACGCATGCACGCATTCAGTCGTCCAGTGTTGTGAGGGCATGCATGCACGCATTCAGTCGTCCAGTGTTGTGAGGGCACGCATGCACGCATTCAGTCGTCCAGTGTTGTGAGGGCATGCATGCACGCATTCAGTCGTCCAGTGTTGTGAGGGCACGCATGCACGCATTCAGTCGTCCAGTGTTGTGAGGGCATGCATGCACGCATTCAGTCGTCCAGTGTTGTGAGGGCATGCATGCACGCATTCAGTCGTCCAGTGTTGTGAGGGCATGCATGCACGCATTCAGTCGTCCAGTGTTGTGAGGGCACGCATGCACTTTTGAGTCGACTCAAAAGTCAACTCGGTATAATGTCACCCGGTATACTTGGGGCTCCATTGGAGATTGGAGCGAGAGCGCACGCATACGTGAGTTGTTCAGTCGTCCAGTGTTGTGAGGGCGCGCATGCACTCACGCATGGAGACGGGTGTTGAGGGGGGGAATGAGTGAGGGGGCGAGCGGCGCGAGAGCGCACGCACGCATGCACTCACGTTGTTGATCCTTCCGCCGTTTTCAACGACGGCGGGGAGGCGTGTGGCCCAGGGAACAAGAGCCGCGGAGTGTGAAAAGGAGGGAGAGGGGAAGGAGGGGGTGGGGGGGGGGGGAGGGAGAACTTCACTCACGTTGTCGATTCTGCCGCCGTTTTCGATGATGGCGGGGAGGCGTGTAGCCCAGAAGCGCGAGGAACCGAGCGGGGAGTTGGCGCGGTCGCGGCACTCCCCCGGGGAGAAGCACCATCCGCCCGTGGGGAGATGCACGTGCCACCTGCGCCTCCCCGCGCCCGCGCCCGCGCGGAAGTAGTACGCGGGGGGACTGGGCGGCGGGAAGTGGATGGGGGGGAAGGGGGGGAGAGGAGGGGTTGGGAAAGGGAGGGAACAGGAAGGGGGTAAAAGAAAGGAAGGGCGAGGAAATGAATAAGAAGGAAGAGGGAGGAGGAGGGAAGAGGGTTGACGGAGAGGGAGATTATACGACCTAGAAGGACCAATCACCATCTGGAAGCATGATACGCAATGTATACGTAATGGATAAAAAAAATGTACGCACCTCCCGTCGAGGCATTTTGAGTTGTACGCATTACTGGGCAGGAAGACGAGGCGAGTGGCGGATTTGAACCGATTCGCTGGCTGCACTCCGCAAATGGAGAGGGGTAACGCGAGGAGCAGCGCGAGCAACAGCGGGAGGACTCTTTGAAAGGGGGAGAAAGCGGGGACGGCGGCGAGAAACATGACCACCGCGGAGATTGGCGAAGAGATCGCCGAGAAAGTTCTTTCTTTGAGTCGGCTCAAAAAGCAAAGTGATCGTCGAGGAAGAGTTTCACTAAGACTATGGAGATCGCCGTTTATTGAAGCGTTTGAACTTCCGAGGTCCGACCCGACACGTGATTGGTCGCAACCAGGTCAATTAAGGTCAAGCGGGTCAAGGGAGTCAAGCAAAGAACTCCTGCGCGTCGAGGCGATGCGAGAGGTGAAATTGACAGTAGCTCTCTCATCGCGTTCTTATCGATCACGCGGTTACGCTGCGTCAAATTAGTCCGGCCGAGTGTGGTTGTGTAGCATGTTTCGCGTTCTAGCGCGGATCGATGCTTTGCGTTTCAAAAAAACTAGGAATAAAGGGTCAACGTTCTCAATAACTATGATCGCCGCAGCTAACGTGCCCCTGTACGGCGAGTAATTCGGCGATCTGGCGAAATAACAACAGAAGATGGAGCAGCAGAGGCAGAGTTAGTTGGGTGGGCGGCGAACGAAAGGCGCAATGTTGAAGAGGTGGTGGAAGGTAGGGGAAGTTGCAGGGGGAGGGAGGGAGGGAGGTAGGGAGGGAGGGATGGGGATGGGGCAAGACGGTACGAAAGGGGAAGTTCAAAAACACCAAAACTCGAGGTTTTGTTGGTTTGAGAAGGGCAGGAATGGGTGCGATTGAGTATATCGTCGCTAAATGCGGGAGCAGTGGAATGTGCGCAGATGCGATAGGGTCCCATGAGCATTCTGTACATTTGCATCCGCGGCTCGTAAATACCCGACCGACCGACATGTACACCCACAGTGGGTTTTTCCAGTTGGCCTTGGATGCTTTGCCCTTTTTTGCATGAAATGTGGAGTTTTCATTTCTGCTAGTGTCGATACCATTTCGCACGAGAGCAGGTCGTGGATGCGGTCGATTTTGTAGCTAACAGAAAAGCGAAGGAAAACGTGGTGGTAGGAGGAACACAACTCGATCCAACTCGGGGTTGCAATTAACCTGCCCGAGCGTCAAAACATTGGCCGAAGCATTTGCAGTCGAGGGCGGTGCGACCAAATTTCGCTACTGGCGCATAGTGACTAAATGCACTGATACTGTGCGAAGGGCCTCGATCAGGCTTCATATACGTACAGGCTGAGTATGAATGAACACAAGGACTTAAAATCAGCCCCCGAAGGACTGAAAATCAGCCACCCAAGGACTGAAAATCAGCCCTTGACACATGGACTGGAAACCAGGTTACGAACAATTACTGTTGGAGGTTGAGTGTGGGGGGAGGTTTGCCCCCAACCACCGAATGAAGCTCACATGTTGCGTGAGCTGCAGGTTTCGAAGTGAGTGGGTTGACTTCGGAAGACCCATCGATTCGGTGCCACATGGCAGCACCAGGAACATTCGAGACCCAAGGAGAATTCGGATCGGTGAAATTCGAGGGTCGAATTTCACCCCTTCGAAATGTTACTCGAACATTCGCGAGTGTACCGCGGTTCGAGGTTACATGTGCGACTCGATGTTTGCAGTTCATATAAAATTGTGTTGCTTTGTATTGCATGGATCATACTGAAATTGAGAATCACTTTGTAAGTGATACATTCGACTACAAAATCCAGAGAGCTCCTATCCTTTGTTCTAAGAGCACTAGCAAGCACATAAAAGCCTACAACTCCCTCGTTACTTGGGCGAATCGTGTGTTTGACGGCTCGTTGGAAAGCCAGCAGAGTGCTCTATCATTTAGTGCAGATCCCAGTTCCTGCAAGGTAGAGGAGAGTCCTTTACATCAGTGGTATCAGAGCTGGTCGGAGGAGTCTACGCGCGCGACGAGAAGCAAGCATGCCGACTTCAAGCGAGGCCTCCCGCACTTCCTTGGATGGTGTCGTTGTAAACTCTGGCGAACCCTGGGCAGCCGCGACGATGTACGACACGTCGGCGGTACCGATTTTCACGGGACAAAACTACTCCGCGTGGAAGTTTAAGTTCCAAGTGCTCCATCGCGGAAAAGCCAAGGGCCAGAAGTTACGAAAATGTGACATCTCCGTCACATTTTCGTATACGGTTTTCTGGGGTAAAAAGGTGATGGATGAAAGTACCGAACCCACCGTCACCTCCAATGTGACGGTGATGTCACGGAAATGTCACGTAAAAGCTTCTCCCGCGTCCCAGCCACAGTCACTGCTCGGTCACTTGCAAGTCACGCACCGGTCACCACGGGAACTACTCGGTGGGGTGAATAACAAATGCCACAATTAGACGCGATCTTACGACAACCATACACGTGGTGACCATGACGTCAGCGTGACATACCGTCAGTTACAGTACTTGTACACTACAATGCGACTCGAATCATGGTCCTGTCCAACCAACTGCCTTCACGTGGACGACCACGATCAACTTGGAATTGCATCCACCCCCTTAGTTGTCGTCCGATGTGACCAATGCCCCAGCGCCATCCCATGATTTCCCCATATCCCCATTGGTCGAAGTTTGGCCCAGCATGTCGCCATCCCACCACGTGGATTCGTCGGATGCCGTTGAATTGGGTACCAGGTGTACGGCTGTAACTAGGTATGGATCTATGCATGTGTAACCTACCTGTGCATCCGACCGTACACGTACACACGCATCGACGATATGTCGCGGTCTCTATCGTTAGCAGTATCTAACCATTGTTGATGTGTGATTACTCCCGTCCGTAAATGAAGGCCCACGTGGCCAAAGTACACATTACACGGCGCCAACGAAGCTGGCCCATATGTCCCGCCCTCGACCGTCTACCACACCAACATCCAACGGTACACATGCCTGCCGCTGCAGTCGCATCTACGGCTCCAGTAGGCATAGGGCACGCACGGCCCTACGATGTGGTGGGTTGGACAGTCCCGAGCCGAATCGCCACCACTATCTACCCGCATCCAACGGCACACATCCGAGTCGCACTATGCGGTTGTGACCATTTCTCGCCGTGCGCAGCAAGTGTCTGCCCCATTATACAATCTGCAGTCTGGTTGACTGGTTATCTTCCCCGCATACTACTGAACACGTATACGATAAATCTTCCAGGCTCTATTGTTCCGTCAAAACAGATACGCACACAAACATTACGACGCTACTGTGCGAGGCCGAAGCCGGGCCAGACCTCCTTGGCAATGGCCGCCTCACCATGCCCACCGTCGTTCCCTTACTCCGCCACTACACATGCATTATATATATGGTTTATCCACAATTCTCCGCACCGGCATACGATGGCACGCATCTCCTCCTGTTGTTCCCCTGATTAGGCCTGCGGCGTACCGCGACTGACGCTTGCCTCTGCGGTCACTGCTTCGACGGCGGCGATGCCGTCGGCCGAGATGCGGAGACCATGGCGTCCCCACTCCCAGCTCTGGGACGCCTCGTCATATGCTGGTCGGAAATCCGCGATGGCCGCCCTAACAGCAGCCTTGACAAGGACGTGGAGGCCGTCCACTATCTGCGCGTTGGTGCTCGCGGATTGGGTTGGCGAAGCGACCCTGGCGCTCCTCCCAGTGATTGACCGCATCTGTCACCTGCGCACGGCAAACCACATACACGCGCACGTGAGGACACTCGCCCAGGTATTGTCGGTAGTCTACATGACCACGGTGTTTGCGTACCACGTGCTCCAGCCATGCCACGTGGTAGAGCTTCAGTGTCACAGTCCCGTTGACCATCCTTGGCTTGAACACCGCACGCGCACAGGCCGTAAACGCCCCAGACGCGAAAGGCATCCCTTCACGGGAGCAACTCCAGCTAGACAGCCGCAGCTTTCCTGCCACGTAACGCATAAACAAAGCGCGCATTAGATGACGGCTATCTATGCATATGTAAATCACTCCCTAATTCCCTTTCTGTTGTAGCACCCACTGACCCGCCGGAACGTCGCCAAGGCCGACCCTATCTCGGATCCGGGAGAGGGTGCGCCTCGCCTTGGTCGCCCATGGACTCTTCATGTCTCGTTCGTGGCGAAAAAGTCCAATCTTCGGCAGCCCGATGTCTCGGACTCTCCCTGCCGCCGCTGTCTTCCAGTCGCTGCACGACCGGTTCAGGTCGACCCGACGTGCCTTGCACGCCGCGAGAGCCACGCTTGCATAGCTTTCCGTCAGGTTATCCACGACTGCACAGATGGCCCAAGTTTTGGCGGCGCTGCTGGGGTAGAACGTCAGCTGTGCGTTGGAGCGCCGAACGAACAGCTCGGTGCGCGCCTGCTCACATAATTCCTGCCATGTAATACCATACATTACGTCAGCAACCGCCACACACGGTCCCCTCTGTATACGGCACACTCTCCCACACATGTTACCTTCCAGCCTTTGTCGGTCGGGAGTAGGTCAAGCGCCTCCTGCATAATGGCAGATGGGGAGTGACGAAGGTGGCCCTCGTCCCCGTCGTCGAACCCCCCCTCCTCTTCGGACGCCGTCTCTGACGTAGAGCGTGCCCGCCGCGCCTTCCGGAGCTTTTCCTTGCCGGAGCCGTGCTTGCGCCTCCTCCTCTTCTTAGCACTGCCGTCTTCTTTGGGCTTCGCAATGAACGCCGTCTCCAACCTTGCAATCGCACGTGCCGTCTCCTCATGGAGCTCCCTCATGCTCTGCAGCTCCTCACGAGTGACCGGTGCGTCATTGGGATCCCGCCTCGCGCCGTCGTCATCCTCTTCTGCGTCGGCTTCAGCATTGTTCTCCGCTTCCGCACCATCCTCGTCTTGAGCGTGGACTGGGTTACGTCTGGGGAGAGCCACGTCTGGATCGTCGTCAGATGATGGCGCCGGAGGTGCGTGAGGTTCCCCGTCCACTCGTGTAGAGCCCTCGACCACGTCTTGAACAGGACGTTTGCGCCTGCGACCAGCCTTTCCGCTGGAAGCAGCTGTTCCGTCAACCTGCCGGCTTGACTGTGCAGATGAGGAACTACCTTCCGAAGTGCTCCCATGCGACATACGCGAGTCCGCCCGAGTCCCATGAGACGGTGGCACGGCTGCATCTCACACCAGTAAACAAACCACGGAGTTCAGTGACAAGCGGAAAGCACATACGTGCATGCTGCGGATAATCGAAAAAGGCCGGGAAACAACAGACGAGGGCGGCTAACACATATGCACTGCGTCTGGGGTTGGGTACTCACGTGGCGGCGAGGGAGGACCCCTGGCTTGCTGCTCGTTGGCATGCTTCGAAACATCCAGGCGAGGCTTCTTCGTCACCTTACGCCTAACGGTCCCAGGCAGAAGGTAAGAGTTCCGTAAGTAGGCAGGTGGCTGTGACACGCGCTGACTCCTCCCCTCACGTGACGACAGGGTGAAACTGTCCATTGTGTACGAAAGTTGGGGGCAGGAATGAGCTTGGCGGACACATTGTCCACTACTTACGCATTCTGAGTCCACGCCAATCTTGCGTCTGTGCGTTACCCACCCAATACACGCGGCCATCAATTGTCGGACAAGCTGCGGTCGTCCTCTGGCGGGTTTTGCCCACATGGCTCAACCCTGATGCTAAGTTATCCACATATCGCGCTATAGAGTCACGCCAATCGTACAAATGCAACACATTGTGTGAAGCTCGTAAAAGTCATCCGCGACTGTGTACTCAGCCAATGGATAATATTCATTATGCGCCAGCCTGCTTGACACCCACAGTGCGACATCAACGCATAGTTGACTCTTCACAACAGGACACAGTACTACATCTAGCATCACAAGACACACATAGTACGATTCTTCCTATACAGGTCCAACGTCAGTAAGTCTGCCTCAAGCACAGCTAGCAGCCTCATCCAGTTTATGTGCCATTTCCAGTTCATGCCTCCGTGCCACTACATATACATACTCCATGTCCGTTGCGCCTAATCGCACACCTTCTCCACACCATGACCCATCCTGACTTGCACGTCTTCATCGCTGCTGCTGGTGTCCGGCGACCGCGTGCCACTGTTTTCCAGTGGGAATGGAGTACCAGGCTCGATGCCCAGCTCTGCCAGCGCTGTCCTCCACTGACGCCACCTCCACCACATCCGTGCCTTGACCAGATGACGCACGTCGTCGCAAACACACCCCTCCAGGCACTCCTTCTCCTCGTCCGTCAGCTCCTTCACGTGGTGGATGTGGTCATTACGCCTGATTACAAAGGCTGCCGCGGCATACGCATACGCCGCATCGAGCTCCACAGTATAGGCGCCCAGCCGAATCTGCTGACCTGTGCCTGGGCCGCACACCATCTTGACACCCCACTTTCAGCCGCGTGCGCACCAACTCACACCTGTCCAGCGGCTGGATGCAGGCCGCCCACCGTACACGGTAAGCACGCTGGTCTGACGCACGGGCCGTCCTGCAGTCCTGATCCCCGGACGGAGGCGATACCTGGCAGAGCGCGAGACCATCGGCTGTGGTGCCGGAGTCACTGGAGCGGCTGGGAGATCCTGCTTCTCCTTCTTGGGCCTGACATCAGCAGGTGTGGGCTCACCATTACTGGGTGTCGCTCCCTCGAAATGCGCAGACGGGACCGATGGCTGCGGAAGCGGACATGGAGCCGGGTGGATGGACATGCCGAGCGTCCGCATAGATGCTGCGTGCGCCACGGGGTTCTTGGACGTGGACAGAGCCAGCAGAGGCGTCCCGTGTGCCTGAAGCTCGTGTGCCGCTCCACTCAGCAGTTGTTCCTCCGAAATGCCTAGCGAACGTGCCAGGCCCATGACAGCCGCACAGACAACGTAACCCCCTATCTCCATACGGGCTATCATGCCTGACTGCCTCGCGAGGTCCGTGCGGACTTCGTCCTCCTTGGGAAAGACGAGGGCGCCGTGTTCTCCCACCTGGGGAAGAGGCTGCACGGGAACCTCCACACCCTCCCCAAAGAGCTTCACAATAAGGTCACCTGTGGCGTGGAGGGACACCTCTTCGCGGAGCTGGCGCCGGTATGCGTGTGACTTCGCGCCGTAGAACGTCATGAATTGTTTGAGGATTGAAAAGCCGGTTGAAACCAGGGCGCGAAGATACATGCCGACATAAATCCCACAGTCTACCGCGTTCGACTGCTGTGGGTGGTCTTCCGGCTGCCAGGAAACACATAACATTAGAAGGCACACGTCAATTGACCGACGCGCCAGACATTGCCCGCGACATGGATGCGACATGAAGTGCACTCACATGCATTACGTAGACTTCGGCATACTTCACATGGTCCTCCGCATGCTTCCGGTCGGCAGTGGGCAGCTGAGCTTTGTGCAGAAGGAGCAGCATGCTGCAAATGACGCACGTTACCGGTGTTCGTTATATAACGCATCAACGGAATTTATCAAGATTGGTCAGGGCACAAATATAAGAGTCACCGCTCACCTCTTGACGCCCTCCATCACTTCTGGCTTATTAGTGTGCAACTGTGCACTGTCGTAATGCACCAGCTCGACGCCGCCCTCGGCAGTCTCGGATAGCTTCCCACTGACCATGGTGCGGAGGTTCGTCGCTATGACCAGCGAGTAGTGGCCCCTGACACATGTACGCATGTTGTATGTTAGGGAACGTGTTTCGACATCGAATGGTCTGGAACGCGGCAAGTAACAACAGCATGATCTTTTGGATGTATACGCCTTACTCGTAGTACACTGGGATGGCGAGGTAGTCCTGTGCGAAAATACACGGCGCATGTCCAAGGGGCCATGCCCTGTTCAGGTCTTTCGCGAACGTAAACGCCTTCGTGTCCAGAGCAAACCATGTTTTGCCACCTTCCAGCTTCGGGTACCTTATGTTAAGTAGTCTGTAACACACATATGCAAGATATAGTTCGTGAGTATATATATGAAGACAGGACATACAGCATGTTTAAGGCACACCGTTCCCCGGCGCTTACATGTTGTGGAAGTCCACCACTGTGTCCGCCAGACACTGTCCGTCGGCGAGCGTCAGGACGTCCTGTGCTGGCAGTTGACACCCCACTCCATGGGGTCCATATAGCGCCAACGGCTGGAAATCGCGCTGATAGCTGGGCCTTTGAAGCCGGGCAATCAAATCGTCGCTTGGCGGAGGCGGCACCACTCCTGCGCCCCTCACACCGCTGCCCGCCGATGTCACCTGACGGGGGCGGGGCAACTCCTGCTTCACCTTGCGCTTACGGCGATCCTGCTCCGTAGACAGAGTGGTCAGGGAACTGTCCGCGCAGGGCACACTGTCCCGCTGCACAAGCATGCGTTGGATGTTCATGGTGGGCACAAAGTAGACTCAGACGCGTACTGTGGTGGTAGACAGTAATACATGTACAGGGATTCTAGCGTCCAAAACTGTGTCTGCAGTAATGGCCGCTCATCGGCAGAATATATTAGGCAGGACACAAAGAAGGTTTGCGGAGTCGGTTGATGTTCAGAGACCTCCTGACTGGTACAAGGAACCCCAGGATAACCATAGCGCGCCAGAACCATAGCGCGCCAGATCCAGCTGTGTCGGAATAGGCGCCGAACGGTGAATATGCATGACGGGCACACGTGTCATGATTTCGAATTATGCACGAAGTTCTCGGTGGGGAATTGGGGTTTACTTTGCATGTGGCTGCGAGGTTGCAAGAGTGGTTGGGTGTGATTCATACACGCTAATGTTCGGTTTCCACTAAGCACTCAGTTTTATTCTCGTTACGAATAAAACATTCCACAAACATGCCCCACTCACGGGAAGCATGGACTACCACCACGTGGCGTTGGTTCGTTTCGCACATCCGAGGTGGCAATCAGACCCTATCTACGTGCTCTCGATTTACACTGTTTCGCGAGAACATAATAGACATTACATCCAATACCATAGTTGCTCTGTTGCATATGACACCCCATAGCACGTCACTCTCCAGCGGACGTCACAGACGGTCGTTGACACTCGTACAAACCAGACTCTAAACCCCCCCGCACCATTACTCCGAGATCATCTGGACTCAATCCGTGGTCGCTGCAAATCTGATAACAGTCACAGTTGAGGGACGGGGACGCTTGGTTGGCGTCCGACGCAGACGACTGACGACCAGATCGTTCGACGCGCCAAACCTCTCTGGCGCGTCCCGCACATCAATGCCGAGCTTTAGTGCCTGACGGACAAGGTATTCAGTGACGACGCGCGCCACCCGCCTGCGACAACGACGATCATTCAGTAGCGGCCCTGGCTGCGTGTGCAGTGCCATCTCGCGGCAGTCTTCGGCGCGTGGGCTGTCGTTCATTGTGCGCTGCACGCGTGGCGGGAGAAGGGTCCGCTCGCAGTGCACATAATCAGTGGCATGCATGAGCGTGTGACCTGGCCGTGCGAACTCGTCTATGATGTACTGCAGCTGTCCCAGTTCCTGAACAAGAGGTTCGGACAGGACACAGAGAACGGGGTTTTTGAACTCTCTCACAGACGACCGCCATGATGCCGGCACACAGCCGGCGCACCACCAGCTGAGATGGACCGAAACCGGAGTCAAGTCCCTCCACCTTGTACCCATCCAGTCCACCATGATGGACAGGGGAGGGGCGTATCGGAACAATGCCCCGTCGCGCCACGCTTGTGTCATCATCAAATGGCGAAGGTATGAGGCACGGTACAGCGTCTTCCACAGCTCTACCACCCCGCACACGCCGGGATGGATGCACCCAGGCGCTTTAGGACCCTGCATATGGATGATTCGGAGGTTGCTCAGGTTCTGAACGCGGAAACCGAACTCCGTCGTTTCCATAACAGCTGGATCCGTTGACGAGTGGGCGTCCGACGTCACGAGTACGATTACATGGTCGTCCGTAGAGTACGACCGTCCGTTCAACGCTTCAAGGTACTCGCTGAATATCTGAGAAGAGAAGCACGCAATGACGGGCCAGTCGTGTTAGCATATGGGATTGCATGATTATAATGCAACGGCATTCCACAAACTAGGCCGGGTATGAGCAGACGATCTCGCACCTCGGGCGTGATGCACCCGTCCACGCTGTTACGCACAAACACGGTAAAATCCTGGGGTGTTTCAAGGCCTTGTGCCCGCGCGTCGTCAGCGCGGAATATCAGAAGGGGCGGACACATGATGGTCCCCATTGCATTGAACAGGAAGCAGACATTGATGCGCCAGCCAGGCAGCGGATCATCGTGTCCATTCTCAGAGTGAAGGAAGGGGAGCCTGGTGGGTAAGAGAGGCTCCTCAACGAAGCAGTACACGTCGTCTGGATGAGCCTTTATCTGAGCCAGTAGCATGTTTATTTCAGCCATGGTTGAGAGAGGGAGTACACCAACTGACTTAGTGCCGCGAATACAAGCTGTAATAGCTTACTCTGGATGGACGCTGCAATGACTGAGAGCCTCATTGTACACTGACATTATCCGCCACGTAAGCACATCCTTGCGCACTCCTGCCCACACACGTTAGAGGTGTAGACACATGTAGTACCGTCATTCGGACGTTGTGCGCCACCAAACATCCGCACAGTGGCGATAACGTGTAAGATCAGTGATCAGGATGGCGCCAGTGTACAGTGAAGAGTGGGGTGTCGTTCGAATGCGGTCATGTTGGATAGGTTGAGCTTTACATTGAGCCCAGTGGCAGAGCGATGATCTGATGGGGAAGCGCTTTCGGTGTGAAGGGCCAATTCAACCGTCCAAAACCGAGGATATCTCATGCTTGATCAGTTTCATGCAATGATACTAACAAACGGGTACACATTCACCGTATTACACCGTGAACTTGGTCAGCGTCACCGATTCGGGTGGCCCTCCCATGACAGAGGTGTTTGCTGGTACATTAGAGGTTCTGCAAGAGTGGCAGTGTTTATCGGTAATTCTCAATTAGGGTACGCGCCACCTATTGCGATGCTGGGTAACGCATGCGAGGCGTGCGGCTTGGAGCACGTAGACGACAACACGCTCCAGTCGCATGTGTCTAAGAATGTCAAGTGCAGGAGGAAGATACAGCACTCTCGTGCCCAGCGGCTGGTGGAGGCGTATCGGGACGCGCTGCGTGCCCGGCGCGCGGCAAGGCCCCGTTCACCCGCGCGTTCATGTCGCAGCTATGGAGGCGACGCTGCTGAGAGGGCGGCAGTGGATCCGGCTGCAGTTACCGATCAACCCGACCCTCCCAACGGCGTAGAAGAGGATAGCGACGGTGATGAGAGTGTTATGTCAGTGATTGACGACGGCTTCAACACTCTGATCGAGCTGTACATCTTCTTCCGCGAGGCGGATCTGTCCAGAAGGGAGGTGAACAGACTGCTCAACATTTTTCAGAACCCTAATTTCTCGCTGAGAGACGTGAGGCGGTGGCTCAATTTCGTGGACGTGAGACGCTTTGGGCGGGACAAGGCGCCGCGTGATCAGGTCCCATGGATGACGAAGGACATCAAGTGCTACGGCCCCAGAGGCAGGATGTGTACGCTACTGCTGCACTACCGGAATACTGAGCTGGTGAGTACATGGGTACATGCGATTGGAATGTGGGCGACTGCATGATGGTTTGTCTCCCCGGGGAAATGGGCAGCCCAGTGACCACTCGTGTGCATGCTTGTGGCAGCTCGTGAAAAAACTGCTACGCGCAAACCACCACATCGCGGGATTTGTGACAAAGCCTCGGAAGGACGAGGAAGACACGGAGGAAGTGCGGCATTACAGCACCCCCGACACGGGGAAGTGGCTGGAAGAAGCACGGGTATGTAGTACTAATCGTATGGGTGGGTGATGATGGGCAGCTCGCGCGTCACTGATGGCTGGGGCCAGCGTGTGTGCAGGCCGCGATTGGAGAGGAGGACTGCATTGTGCTGGGTGTGATTGTGTACAGCGACAGCACGCACGCCTCGAGGAATGGCAGACTGGCGGCATGGCCTGTCCTGATCAGCTTGTTCAACATCCCAGAAGCGCTACGATGGCAGGAGCCGGGCCACGTACTGGCTGGTGTGCTGCCGTTCCCGCCAGAGTGGGCCTCATCCACCGAGAAGACGCGCATCTTCCAGCAGTGCATGGAGGTCATATTCGAGCCCCTACTCCGCGCACACAGAGGGTGAGCGGGCCTAGAAGTAGAGCTTGACAGCCATGGTATGACTTACAAGTGTACACCTTCCAATGTCGCCGTGTGCAGGGCCGAATTGCGATGGTTTTATGTGACGGACGCGACGGGCAAGGTGGTGAAGGCCTTTCCCTGTCTTTTCGGGCAGCTGGGGGACTTACCAGAGTCGTCTCGGTCTACAGCGACTCTGCAGCAAGGGTCACATCGGCCGTGTTCTACCTGCTACATGAAGGAGACACATCTGGCAGACCTGTCGCATAAGTCGGTGACGCGGACGGTGGAGCTACAGAGACGGGTCGTGGAAGCAATTCAGTCGGCGACCGACAGCAAGGCGGCGGAGAAAATCAAGAAACAATGGTCAACACACCCGGTGCAGGTGGGGGTTTCCAATGCATAATGTGTTCGTGGTTCCTCATGTGAATGTGCACACGGGGGGGCGACGCAGTGCCTGGTCACATCCGTGTCGTCTTTGCGTGTGGCAGTGCTACTTGGAAAGATGGAACTTCGCCGAGACCACGTGGAGAAACGTGTTTCTAGCCTGCGCGGCAGACCTTCTACACGTCCTGGACGGGGGGATGCTACCGCGCATGGGCAAGTGCTTCATGGCTGGGAAGAGCAAGCCGGAGAGGCGCGAGTTTGAGAGGTGGGTATGCATGGAAATGGCCACACCATAGTTGTCTAACCGAGTGCTTTGCTGACACTCCTACACAACCATGGCAGGCGGCGCAAGGAACAGAAGAAGGACACGCGCGCAAGCGTAGTGCGCATACCGGGGGGGACCACATGGTTCAGCACGGGGGCGAACTACGCCGCTTTCGAGCACAGGGGAATGATGCAGGTGATGCCCCTGCTTATCGCAGACAACATGGAGAAGAGCAAGCAGCTGGCTAAGGCGAAACGGGAACGGGAGGTGGCGGCGTTTGTGGCGTACGCCAGCTTCTACAAGGCGCTGGTGGGCGTGACAAAGCATACCGAAAAGTCCCTGGACGACGTCCGGGAGATGGCCGTGAAGTACGTACAATCCGGTTGCTCCTATTAGGTGTGTGGCGCATCAAGTGTGCCTGGGGTGCCTAATCATGCCTCCTATGCGCACGCGCAGGATGGTGGCGGAGATCAAGGCCGCATTCCCTGACCAGACGTCGGACTGGAACATCCCTAAGGTGCACCAGATTGTGCACCTGATTGACGGCATACCACTGCGTGGTATGCCGAACGAGACATCCACCAACCTGTGGGAGCACACGCACAAGGGGACCGTGAAGGTGCCGGTCCGTGGCAGCAACTGGCACGACATCCCGCGCCGAATTGTCGAGGAGGAGGTGCAGCGCGAGATTGCACGGGAGGTGGCGGCGGAAGCGGGTGGAAACAGGCAGTATGTGACAGCGCTGCGCGAGGTGAGCGTAGAGGGTTATGTACCAGGGCAACGATGTGCTGTATAAAGGAGATTGCCCTCTGAACCCGGGTTCTCACACGTCGCTCGCATGTTGTTGCGTGCACACAGGCAGTGCGGCGCATGAAGCCAGTACTGACGAAGGCTTCAAAGAGGGCGCACGTGGACGAAGACATAGACGCGGTGATGTGGGCGTACCGCGCAGCTCACGGGTCAGACATGGACGCACTCGCAGGGTGCATGGTGGCGGCAGGCATCCACACCACCACCATCGAGGTGGGATATGTCGTTCGAGAAGGTGGCTGGGTGATGGTTAATAGCATGTGAAGGTAATAGCAGGTGTGAAGTCTGGGCCACGGCCTTGTGTCACCATCACACCGCATCCACTAAACTCTGTATGTGTCCCAGCGTACGCAGGTGCACACAGCCGTGGCGATCCCCCGAACGCGGGGGGGGGGTGCTTGTGCCCAAGGGCACATTTGTGAAGGCCAGTCCTTCTGAGCGGTGGTTTTCAGACATCGCAGTGTACCGGTCCGACAAAGAGGAGTGGTATGCCAGGTGCCTCTGCATCTTCCGCGCAGAGGTGGCTGATGGGGAGATGGGGCGACACGTGTACGTTAAGTACTACGAGGCAGAGGGCACGTGCCCGATGACGTCATGCCTGCAGCTGTCTCCCGGCCGTGTGAGAACAAGATACGCGGTGGTTCCCGTGGAGTGCATCCAGAGGGTGGTGCACGTGTGCAAGTCCTATGTGAACAAGCATGTCATGCTCCTGAACAAGTTCCTGCTGACGGAATGAGTGTGGTGGGCTGTTCCATTGCCGTGACGTGTGGGCCAAGTGAGGCCATGTGCGCTGATATGGACGCAATTGACGCTAATTCAGTAGACACATGGCGTGGCCCCTTAAATGTTTTTTCTTCTTATCATCGGATGTGTCGTTTGCTTGAGTGGATCTTGCATACCGTTTAACATAATAAGTGGTGTCCACCAGGTGTAGATGTCGGCAAGTTGTTTGAAAAGGTCAATGTGTTTAGGCAGTGCATTTGGTGTAGAGCGGGTTTGACGGAGATGCTTTCTCATGGTACGATGACGCGCGAGCGTCAAATGTGCGGCTCGAGAGGTGATGCGCATCGAGTGGGAAAATGTGCGCCTCGATTTTCCCGGGCCCGTTTTGAGGTGGGTGGGTGAGCCCTAAAGTTACATTTGCGTCACACGTGTCTTGGGACGTTTTGGGTAGTCGCTGGGACTTTTTGTAAGCTTCTCCGTAGAAAAACCCACTCACATGGAAAATGTGCTCTTAACTTTTCCGCGATGTCATGATGGAGCGGGGACTTTGGGGTCTCTTCGATGGGACGGAGAAGAAGCCGGACGACGAGAGCGACATCGCGGCTTGGAAGAAGAAGGACCAAAAGGCGTTCGCTACGCTAATCTCGCGGATCGGCATCAACCTCGTGAGCTCGGTGCGCACGTGCATCAAGCTCGAAGCGTCGGCGCATGAGGCGTGGAAGCGGCTCGAGACGATTCACGTAAACAAGACTCTCCACGGCAAGATCCTAGCCCGGAATGCGTTCTACACGGTGAAGTGGCGCGCCAGCAAATCGATACACGAGTATGCGACTCGTGTGGAGGAACTCGGGGAAACGTTCGTAGACCTCGGTGGAACGGTCACGGAGGAGGATTGGATTTTGACCTTGCTTTGCGGTCTTCCGGAAGAGTGGTCGACGGTGATAACGACACTCGATAGCGTGCAAGACACTTGGACAAAGGAAACGGTGGTCGGTCGGCTTCTCCATGAGGAATCGCGTCGCCGACAATTCGCTAATGAGAGCGTGGAGACCGCCATGTTCTCCGGAGGGAGTTCCGGAGGAAAGTCCAAGTGGAGCAAGGGTGCGACGAAGAAGTCGTACGGTGGAAGCGATCGCGGCAAGGGGAACATGTCAAACGGCGCGAGCAAGTGCCACTATTGCGGCAAAGCGGGACACTTTTGGCGAGAGTGTCGGAAGCGTCCGAGCGATTGGACTCCATCAAAGGCGCGGAACCAAGAGGGCAACGCGCACACGGCATCCGGCGAGGCGGATGATACAAGGGAGTCGATCGTGTTATTGGCCGGTGACGGGACCAACACTCCAAACGACGCGTGGTTCCTTGACACCGGCGCAACACAACACATGGCGCACTCGGCATCATTCCTCACCAACGTTGGTGCACCGGTAGACGTCACGCGCGTCGTCTTCGGAAACGGCAAGTCGCTACCGGTGGTCGGAGTTGGGAGTACGCGTCTCATCGTCGATGGCGGACCGGTGGACATCACGAACGTGCTTCACGTCCCGGGATTGAAGGTGAATCTACTCTCCGTCACTCAACTCGCGAAGAAGGACGTGAAGGTCACCATCGATGGCGCGACGATGAACCTCTTTTAGAAGGGGAAGCAATTCGCACAAGGCGTTCTCAACGGAGAACTTTACCAACTCAAGACGCACCCGGGAGTGGCTTCATCCAACGTGGCGCAAGGTTCCAAGGCGACTCTCAAGGCATGGCATAATCGACTTGCGCACGCCAACTACGACTCGGTCAAGGAGTTGGTCAACAAAGGACTCGCCAAGGGAGTCGACGTGATCGCCGGCGACGACGAGAAGGGCGTGTGCACGGCATGTGTCGAAGGAAAAATGGCTCGCAAGCCATTTGGTAGCCGAACGTCACCCCTCGCTAAGGACCCGCTTGCGCTTGTTCACATGGACGTGTGTGGACCGATGCGGCATGCATCAAAGGGAGGAGCGCGGTTCCTCTTGGTGATGCTCGACGACGCGACGCGGATGTGTTGGACCCGACTCTTGAAGGCTAAGGGAGATGCGGGCAAGGTGATTCAAGAGTGGGCGCTCGAACTTTGCGACGACGACAAGAAGCGGATCAAGTGTATTCGCACCGATGGTGGTGGCGAATTCGTGAACGCGGAGCTTGAGAAATGGATGAAGAGCAAGGGCATTAAGCACGACGTTACGACACCCTACACACCCCAACAAAATGGAGCGGCGGAGCGGCTTAATCGCACGTTGGTGGAAGCCGTTCGTTCACTACTTCAACACTCCAAGCTTGGGCACGAGTGGTGGGGAGAGGCGAGTGCGCTAGCGGCGTGGATTCGCAACCGTTTGCCGACAAAGGTGCTCCCGGGAATGACTCCGTTCGAAGCATGGACCGGAACGAAGCCGAACCTATCCCGCCTACGCACCTTTGGATGCCTTTGCTACTACCATGTCCCGGATCCTCTTCGCCACAAGTTGCAACCGAAGGCTCGTGCGGCAATCTACTTGGGAGTTGCGGCAAACGAGCGTGCGTGGCGAGTGTGGGACTTGGCGGAAAGGCGCGTCGTCACATCTCGAGACGTGGTCTTCGACGAAGACAAGTTTCCGACGAAGGAACAACCAACGCCGCAACTCACCGTCGTACTTCCCGCACGAGAGGAGGATGAGACGGTGGAGGTTCCATCACAAGCGGAAAAGGAAGCCGAGAATGGAGAGGGAGAGAACGAGGAGAGCGATGACGATGTCGTGGAGGTGCCACCAACCGAGGAGGCAACTTCCTCCGCACCTTCTTCCCTACCATTGGCGTTGACCCGTGGGCGTCGTACACCTCGCCCCAACACGAAGTTAGCCGACTACGCTACGGTAGCCGTTGGGGAGTTGGATGAGGAGCGTGCGGCATATTGCTTCGCAACCATGGGAGATGACCCTCGCACCCACACGGAGGCTTTGGCTTCTCCGGATGCGCCCCTATGGAAGCAAGCGATGGAGAAGGAGCTAGCATCGATCAAGGAGAACGATGTGTTCGAGCTCGTCGATCCGCCGAAGGGTGCCTACTTGGTGGGATGCAAGTGGGTGCTCAAGAAGAAGTTGGGAGCCGATGGGAGTGTCGAACGCTACAAGGCGCGGCTTGTAGCTCAAGGGTACACTCAACGGGAGGGGGAGCATTATAGTGAGACCTTCGCGCAAAAGTACCTCCGGGTACGTCTTCACCTTGCTTGGGGCAGCCGTGAGTTGGCAAAGCAAGAAGCAACCAACCGTGGCTCTAAGCTCAACGGAAGCGGAGTATATGGCACTCACTCAAGGTGCCATGGAGGCGATATGGTTAAGGCGTCTTCTAGCGGAGCTTGGGCATCCTCAAACGAAGCCAACTCCTCTCTTTTGTGACAACCAAGCCGCCATAAGCCTCTCTCACAACGCCGTACTTCACGGGCGAACCAAGCATATCGAAGTGAAGCATCACTTCATTCGTGAGGCGGTTGAGAAGGGTGAGGTCAAAGTCACATATGTGAGTACCAAAGCTCAACCCGCGGACTTCCTCACCAAACCACTCCCTAAGGATTCATTCCGTGCATGCTGTGAGCGTGTTGGATTGAACTTCTAGTGGCTTGGGTGCAAGGGGGAGTGTTGGAGGTTGAGTGTGGGGGGAGGTTTGCCCCCAACCACCGAATGAAGCTCACATGTTGCGTGAGCTGCAGGTTTCGAAGTGAGTGGGTTGACTTCGGAAGACCCATCGATTCGGTGCCACATGGCAGCACCAGGAACATTCGAGACCCAAGGAGAATTCGGATCGGTGAAATTCGAGGGTCGAATTTCACCCCTTCGAAATGTTACTCGAACATTCGCGAGTGTACCGCGGTTCGAGGTTACATGTGCGACTCGATGTTTGCAGTTCATATAAAATTGTGTTGCTTTGTATTGCATGGATCATACTGAAATTGAGAATCACTTTGTAAGTGATACATTCGACTACAAAATCCAGAGAGCTCCTATCCTTTGTTCTAAGAGCACTAGCAAGCACATAAAAGCCTACAACTCCCTCGTTACTTGGGCGAATCGTGTGTTTGACGGCTCGTTGGAAAGCCAGCAGAGTGCTCTATCATTTAGTGCAGATCCCAGTTCCTGCAAGGTAGAGGAGAGTCCTTTACATCAATTACAAATCCTATTCATGCAGGAAAAACCCTTTATCTCTGGCGAGGAACCATCTATTGAATATCCTGTTCAGTTTTGGCGATCCAATGTAAGCCCTGAACCAACTCAAATAGACCATCACCGTGTGCCCCGTTCCCGGCGCCAGCATCACCCCCAAATTCCTATTTCTCCGCGTCGCTCCCGCCAAAGACCTGTACGCCACAGCCCCCATCGAGAATACCGCGTCGACCTCCTGAGGCAGGCAGAAAGCCGGGTTTGGCGGGAGGAGTCCTCCCCACGCATGCTGGCGAGCCACGGCACTGGCGTTTGGCAGGAGAATCTGCTTGCTCAGACAGTTTGCGGCATACTGGAAGGTTGCTGGCAATTGATTTTCCAGGCGAGCTAAGCCACTGTCAAAGTCCAACTGGAAGAGGAAGAGGGGTGTGGTGACCCGAGGGAGGGTGTTTTCGGGGAAGAAGCAGACCCAGTTGTTCCTTGCTCCTGAAAGGTGGGGGGAAGAGATGGGAGGGGTAGGATGACGCCCGAGTTGAGTCAAGACCAATGATGAGTTGTTCTGAAGTCACCCTGAGTCAACTCAAAAGTCAACCTGATGATTTTCGTTTACACCAGAGACATACATGGTAGTGCTGTTTTCACCTGAGAACCACCAGCTAGTCTCAGACCTGGGAAATCGCCTCGTGCATAGCTTTCACCTGCTGGGCAGTTCGGGACGTTGATGCGGTGCAGAGCGGTGAGTGACCGAATTTTCTTTCGCCAATAGTGCTGACCAAAGCGGTCCTTGGCATCTGGCAGGCGGTAGCAGGGGGGAGGTGCAATGCAAGAAGGATAACCATGAAGACCTCAAACCATTATAAAGGCTACGTCTTCCCGGTCACAAATCAGACCATATAGGGCAATCGGCAACTATTACAGTGCTGCGCTCACTGACCAACAAAGAATCCCGAGTCAACGAGGCAGCTGGCTTGGGCGCGGGGGAAGGCGGCAGCGAGGCGGTCGCAGTGCATGATGATGGCATGGCCGCCCGCTGAGCTGCCCGAGAAGAGTACATGCGTTGCCGCCATCATGCCCCTCCGCCTGCGTAGATCTGGCATGGGGGGGGGTGAAGGAGAGAGAACGGAGAGGAGTGTTTAGAATTGAGTTCTAATACGCGAAAATGTGGGAGGCCGACCCCATGCCCCGCGCGCACAGGTCTGGCATGCGAGGGTAAATGAAAGAGAGAGAAAGGAAAAGGAGCAATTATAATTGACTTCAAATCTCTCCCTCTTCAATCCCTAACTCCCCATACGCAGATATGTCCGCTCCCGAGTCTGATGTTTCCCCTATTCCCTCCTTAGCCATTCTCTCAGCCATTTGCTTTCCCCCCTGGTGCATCCTTTCCCCCCTAGTACATCCTTTTCCCACCCAGCCACCCTTCCAGAGCGAACCATGAAATATTGCGGTCAATATTCCCTGCCCATGCATGTACACAGATGCGCCCTCCCCCAGGTCCACCCTCCCCCGCGTGCTGCTGTAGGCGCCACCATCACAGTACACCACCCACACCAGGTTCCACGAGTAAAACACGGGGTTAAATAGCTTGCTCCGCGATAGCAGGCCCCCCAGTTGAGGGTAGGCGACCTTAGCCTGGTGAAAGGGTAGGGTACGGTCGGGTGGGGTGGGGGTTGGTGGGGTGGGTTGGGGTGTGGTTGGGTGGGGTGTAATGAAACGTCCTCTCCAAGCGTCTCAAACATGCCTTTTGAGGCAGGGAACAATGGGTTTCGGTGTGGAGGGAAGGGAAGGGGCTGGCAAAAGAATGTTTGGCCCTCGTACTATGATACCTATAGGTTTTGCTACATTCAATTTACTCTTTATGGCTTTGTATCTACAATATAGCAAAACCTAAAGGTACATAGTACGAGGGCCAAACAATTTTGGGATGCCGCAAAGAGCAACAGCGAGGAAACAGAAGGAATGGCATGAGAAAGAAGGCATGCCGTGATATGACGCATGCAAGTGGGGGCATGAGATACGAAATGGGGGCAAGTGAGGAAGTGAGGAAACTCGCATTCCTCACTGCTCCACCGTTTTCAACGACGGAGGAAACGATCGTTTGGCCCAGAAGCGCGAGGAGCCGAGGGGGGGTTGGCGGAGTGAGCGGGAGCGGCGGAGAGAGGCGGAGGGAAAGGGCACACTCAGCTCACAGTGGGCATCTTTCAGCCGTTTTCAACGACGGCGGGAAGTCTTCTAGCCCAGAAGCGCGAGGAGCCGAGGGAAGAACTGGCGCGCTCAAGGCACTCGCGCGGCGAAGGGGAGCCGGGGAGTGCAAAGCGGAGGGAGAGGGGGACTATGCTTGCGTCGCTCTAGAGGATTCAGCTGTCACTCACTCACGTTGTTGATCCCCCCGCCGTTTTCTATGACGGCGGGGAGTCGTCGTGCCCACAAGTGCGAGGAGCCGAAGGAGGAATTGGCGCGCTCGCGGCATTCCCCCGGGGTGAAGCACCATCCGCCCCGGGGGAAATGCACGTGCCACTTGCGCCTCCCTGCGCCCGCGCCCGCGCGGAAGTAGTACGCGGGGGGGCTTTGGGCGGGGGAGGGGGGGCGGGGTAAAGGATATGGGCAAGGGGGGAAGGTGGAGGAGGCACACTGGGATTTACCTTGAGAGGTGTGCTTTGGGAATCGTGGGGGGGGAGAACTTTCATCATGAAAGTTGACTCTATCATTTGCGAATGGGTTGATCATGCCACGAGAAGGAATTTCCGCAAGGCGCGGCGATGCTGTCGTGATAGTGAAGTGTGAAGCACCCGCGCCCGCACCTGCCGTCGAGGCATTTCGCGCCGTACGCGTTATTGCGCAAGAGGACGAGGCGCGTCGCGGCGGCAACGGATCTGACTCGATTCACTCGTCCCGCCGCGCACAGGAAGCGGAGCGCGAGCAGGGGGAGGAGGAGCGCGGGCAAGGGGGAATCGGAAGGTTGTGTGGCGGGAGGGGGCAAGCAGCGCGACTCGCAGCGCGATGACTGACATTCTGGGGAATCTTCCGAGAAGCACGTTCTAAACTCCGAGACGCTTTACCAAGTCCAAACCGCTCGTCAAGCCCTAAATCGCAGGAGCTAAAGACTCTCGAAACCGTAAGATAGCCAGAGCAGTAGCATGAACTCCGAACCGCGCCGTGTCAAGCGACGACAAATTTGCGGTTCCCTTTTTCTCGCCGGGGCATGGATACCAAGCAACTCGAGCACCAAGCGCTGGCTCTTAGTGACTGAACATTAGACAGACAGCCTGCCACCAAAGCGGCTTTGGCTTTCTGTGCCATGACATCAAAACGTACTGTCGATGAGATGATTCCCATCGACTCGACTCCAGAAATGATTTCCTCCTCTCCGAGGAGTTGTTTGCCATGCCAATGCCAACTCGACACGAGGGGCTCCCGTTTCCCGTTTCGCGACGGAAACAGTCCCCGCACCCCGCCGCCTTTTTTGCTGACTAATGTACCAAACTCTCTCAAAGGCGGCTCCGCGACAAATCGCGCGGTGGAGCATTGAGTCAAACAAGTAAAGACTTTCTGTGCGGTGCGGTGCGTCGTCGAAATCGAATGAAAGCACTGACAAGAGGAAGCGAGAACGAGAAGCCACGTCAGTTCACCGAGGGGTTTGCTTGTGCTTGGCCAATCGGTTCGGAATACTGCACGGACGACGGGACAGGCGAAGGCAACTGTCTACTTTGCTGAGTCATGGCGGGTCCAGCGCGTGCATTTACAGTTTGTTTACAGTTCATCCATTCCGTACTTCTTGAAAGCGATATCAGACGGTGCACAGCGGTATCGTATGCTCACCGTTTTGCACCGTGTCGCAAGATGACTGACCGCACAGAATGAACTGTAAACAAACTACCCTTAGGGCGTGACCTTTGCAATGATGGTAGTACAGTACATTGTAGTACACCCCTTTCGCCCCATTTCATATATCTTACTCGTGCAGAAAAATGTTATTTCTGCTACTCACAAACCATCTATTGAAAATCCTGTTTAGTTTCGCCCCTCTAATGGACGTCCTGAACCAGCCCCAGTAAAACAACGCCGTGTGCCCCAAACCCGGCGCCAGCATCACTCCCAGATTCCTCTTTCTCCTTACTGCTACCACCAGAGACCGATACGACAAGGACGCCATTGAAAACACCGCATTGACCTCCTGGGGCAGGCAGAATTTCGGATTCCAGTGGAGCCCATCCCACGCCCGCTTGCGAGCCACGGCACTGGCGTTTGGAAGGAGGATCTGCATGGCCAGGCAGTTTGTTTCGTACTGGGTGCTGTTCTCTGGGAGCTGGTTTTCCAGGGAGATGAGGCGATAGTCAAAGTGATACTGGAGGAGAAATAGGGGAGTTCTGATCTGGGGGAGGGTGTGTTCTGGGAAGAAGCATACCCAGTTGTCCCTCACTCGTGCTCCTGAGAGGGTGGGAGGTAGGGAAGAGGGTGATAGTAAGAAGGTGGGGTGAGTAGGGGAACAAGATGATTTCTGCGTACAAAAAAAATGATAACGATAGTCACCTGGTACTCAGGTTTGCACCAAATGATCACCTGATGATATTTCGCGTTCACACCTGAGAATCCTATTTTCACCTGACGGTCGCCTGTTGCAAAGCGTTCACCTGCCGGGCATTTGGGGACGTTGATGCGGTGCAGAGCGGTGAGCTCCCGAACCCTATCTCGCCAAGAATACTGTCCGAAGCGGTCCTTGGCATCTGACAGGCCGGCAGAAGGAACGGGAAGGGGGAGTGCAACAGGGATTAGGAATCTGGTTTTGAATCGACTCAAAATTAATGCGGTGCAGAGCGGTGAGCTCCCTAACCCTATCTCGCCAAGAATACTGTCCGAAGCGATCCTTGGCATCTGGCAGGCCGGCAGAAGGAACGGGAAGGGGGAGTGCAACAGTGATTAGGAATCTGGTTTTGAATCGACTCAAAATTGATGCGGTGCAGGGCGGTGAGCGCACGATCCCTATCTTGCCAAGAGTACTCTCTGAAGCGGTCCTTGGCATCTGGCAGGCCGGCAGAAGGAACGGGAAGGGGGAGTGCAACAGGGATTAGGAATCTGGTTTTGAATCGACTCAAAATTAATGCGGTGCAGGGCGGTGAGTGCACGAACTCTATCTCGCCAAGAGTACTGTCCGAAGCGATCCTTGGCATCTGGCAGGCCGGCAGAAGGAAAGGGAAGGGCAAGTGCCACAGTGGTTATGGGGCTGCGTGAATCAGGAAGGAGGGCAAAGGAAAACAGGACCACCAGAAATCTCTCCTCAGATTAGATAGTCAAAGCTACGAAGCAAGGGAAAATGCGCCCACTGACCAACAAAGAAGCCGGAGTCGGCAAGGCACTTGGCTTTGGCGCGGGGGAAGGCGGCAGCGAGGCGGTCGCAGTGCATGATGATGGCATGGCCGCCCGCTGAGCTGCCCGAGAAGAGAACATGCGACGCCGCCCCCATGCCCCGCCGCGTGCGGAGATCTGCCATGGAGAAGGATTGGAGGAACTGAGGTTGGATGGGTGGTTGGAGGAGCTGAGGTTGAATGGCAAAATGTGGAAGAACAGGTGCGTGGCTATGGAATGCCTTTTCCTGGCTGTGTTCCCCCTTCCACTCCTCCCCAATTTTCTCATATCCCGTCCCCAAATCCCAATAGCCAGATGTGCCCACCCCCAAGTCCCCCCTCCCCATACTCCACCCTTCCCATTCCCTTCCTAGCCACTCTCCCCCACGCACCATCAATGAGTGCGGCCACGATCCCCCGCCCCTGCATGTACACAGTTGCGCCCTCCCCCATGCCCCCCCTCCCCAGTCTTCACCCTTCCCGTTCTCTTCCCAGCCACTCTCCCTTCAGCGCACCATCAATGAGTGCGGCCATGATCCCCTGCCCCTGCATGTACACAAATGCGCCCTCCCCCAGGTCCGCCCTCCCCCGCATGCTGCTGTAGGCGCCACCGTCACAGTACACCACCCACACCAGGTTCCACCCGTGGAACACGGGGTTGATTCTCTTGCTCCGTGATAGCAAGCCTCCGAATTGAGGGTAGGAGATCGTAGCCTGGTGGTAGGGTACGGTGGGTTGGTGTGGGTTGGGGTGGGGCGGGGTGCAGTGCGGTGGGATGCCTTTCTCAGGTGCCACAGTCACAGCTGTAGAGCAGGTTTTACAGATGCACTAGCCTCGATTTCCTGCGCTGTATCCAGGGTTACATAACAGCAAAGATTGCTTGAGAGAGTGAGAGAGACGGAGAGTGTGAGAGACGGAGAGTGTGAGAGACGGAGAGTGTGAGAGACGGAGAGTGTGAGAGACGGAGAGTGAGAGAGACGGAGAGTGTGAGAGACGGAGAGTGAGAGAGACGGAGAGTGTGAGAGACGGAGAGTGAGAGAGACGGAGAGTGTTGAGGGACTTACATTCGGCGCCTTCTTGCCCTTTTCAACGATGGCGGGGAGGCGTCTGGCCCAGAAGCGCGAGGAGCCAAGGGAGGAATTGGCGCGCTCGACGCATCCCTCTGGGGTGAAGCACCATCCGCCCTGGGGGAAATGCACGTGCCATTTGCGCCTCCCCGCGCCCGACCCCGCGCGGAAGTAGTACGCGGGGGGGCTTGAGAGGGGAAGGGGTGAGGGAAACGAGGAGAGAAGAAAAAGGGAGGGGGAAAGAGGGGGGTGGGGGTGATTCGATCGTTCCATGATGGGAGTGACATGATTCTATGGGCATGGGTTACTTAGTCATGAGCAGTATTTGGTGACATGATCCACATCATTAGTAATGAGAAGACATTTTCCGCGAGGGCTGTCTCTCGCGGTGTTGATTGCCAATTACAGTGTGAATCACCACCTCCGGCCGCACCTGCCGTCGAGGCATTTCGCGCCGTACGCGTTGTTGGGCAGGAGGATGAAGCGCGTCGGACTAGTAGCGGATTTGAACCGGTTCTCTCGTTCCGCCGCGCACAGGGAGTTGGGCGGTGCGAGGAGTAGCGCGAGAAGCGGGAGAAGGAGCGCGAGTACAGGGGGGAAACGGGAGCAAGCACTGAGTGACATTGGCGGATCTGGTCCCGCGGCGGGAAAATTTCCGAGAAGCGCGTTCTAACTCCGAGGCGCATTACTAAGTCCGAACCGCTCGTAAGAAGAAGGCTGAGAAAGCGTTGCTTTGAGGGTGTTGCGACGCACCACGCTACCCAGGTGACCGTTGAGTCGAATTAACAGTCTTCTACCCGAGCATTGCAAGCTATCGCACCAAGCACTGCTTTCTAGTGACTGAACCAAGCGCGGGAACGTTCATGTGCGGACCAGCACCGCATGAAACGCTGGTCAGAAATCCGTTAGGCTTTGGCGAACTGATACGGGGCTGAACCGTTTTTCAATGACTGAAATGGAATGCTCGCCGCCACTGAGTTGTTTCCCTACTCGAGAGTCGAGACGAGACGAGACGAGACGAGCTGTCTGACCGCCGGGCCACTGTCCGACTGGGTGGGACTGACAGCGGTGGGCGCGTGGGACGTGGGGTGGGACTCCTGTTTCCGTTCCGAGTCGGAAAACAGTGCCAGCCGTCCCTTCACGCCGCGAGCTCCCTAGTAGGCGGCTCAGCGACATGTGGTGGCAGTAATGGAGCAATGCGCAAAACATGGCAAGATTTCGAGTGAGGTGAGGTGTGTCGGAATGGCAGCACTTGGTGTTCCTGCGAGAAAGCTAGAAGCCACGTCAGTTTGCTAAGGACTTGACCGGCGATTCATGTGCTACGGACGGACATATGCGGCGGCAGGCCGAACGAAACCTGTGTATCATGGTGCTTTATTATCAGCTCGGTTGGTTCGCGATGTGACATGAATCGTGATGCGATGCGATGGGTTCACCTAGGGGGGATGCGATTCGCGATGGCAGGTTTGGTTGGGTGGTTTGACATTGCCCTGACCCAGCAAACTGTAAATTTGCTGGAGACCGAATTTCTGTGGAGAGCTTATATGTAGCGTCTCGAGGATTCGCGACGCGAAAAGCTCTCGCTCCATCCCATCGCGCATACTGCGGGAGGGCAATGAGGGCTGTACGAACTCAGAATGCTCCGCGGCATTAGAGAACGAACTCCAAGTTACATTGTAACATTGTGAACGTACCGAAAAATGAGCCACTCGTTACTGGGTCACGTAAGAATGCATGAAAGAGGGGAATTCCCATGTACTCTTTACAAGGCATTTCTTTTTACCGTTACAGGCCAAATTTACAATAGGATCTGAAGCTCCAAACATCCTTGAGAGCGATACCTGAATTGCACAGTTGAGGATTGCATACGTTACCTACTTACCAGTTAGCAACTCTATGCTTTGCCCACATGTGATGTTCTTCGCCTTGGCAGAAGCAATCCTCGTTTCCTTGCTTAGTTTAATGTTTTTTTTCCTTTTTATGAAGAACTAGACAAGCATACACATGATTAAATTTTGCGGTTAGTTTGATAGAAAGTCAAGAAAAAATGTGTTGTGAAATTGTTCAGCACATAATCTTCCTTCAGATGCTTATGCACTAAATCAACCATTATCAGTAGCGGATTTTTTGCCTACATCCTGAGAGCGTCATCTGGGATGGACGGACACGATCGTTTCTTCATCTGAGCCAAGAGTGGATTCGCCACATCTCTCAGTGCTCCCCTATTGGTCGCAGCGATGTGGCGATTGGTTGCCTTCCACATCCGCTCTCCGTGACGTTACGGCATTGGGCACCGCGCTCCTCCTGGTGCGGTCCGTCCCACCCCTGATTCTCCAATCTCCAATTCCGCTGGGGAAGCGAGCAGGGCAGGGCTGCCTGAGGGAGTGCCCTCCAGGGCGAGTGAGCAAGGCTTCCCTCTTGAGGTTCTTTGGATGGAAGCATGAGAAAGGAGAGTGTGCATAAAGCTGCATCTCTGACACTCTCACAACTTTTGGCAAAATAAAGACAGCCTACAGGGTGCACTCAAGGCCTGCGCCTTGGTTGTACTGTGCAGCTGAACCATTGCTCCAGTTTTTTGTCCGTAGTTATGGCGTTCCGTGCCTGAAGGTACGCTGGAGGCTGGGAGAGTGAGCTAGAGTAGCATAGCGGTTTGGTCAACACGGCGACCGCCGTGTGGGCCATCCCGGGCCGTAGCGCCGCTGCTAGCTACCTCATGGCTCACCATGGCACCGGGAATCCTCGCTACGGCGGCCATTCTAGCCAGTTCGGTGACACCACGCTCACCAAGGTCTTCGTGGGAGGCCTTGCGTGGGAGACTCAAACGGAAACCATGCGCAAGTATTTCGAGCAGTTCGGCGAGATTCTTGAAGCAGTTGTAATAACGGATCGTATGACGGGCCGCTCCAAGGGCTACGGATTTGTAAGCAGCTCTTTAGCAATTTTTTGTACTAATTTAGGCCTGCACAGTACGCCACTTCCTGTTTTAGGATGCATCGGCCTGACTCGTTTCATGACAGTAGGATAACTCGCCTCCCTCCGTTTCAGGTGACTTTCAGTGACCCAGAGGCTGCACAAAGAGCGTGTCTTGACCCGTCGCCAGTCATAGACGGTAGACGGGCCAACTGCAACCTCGCTTCGTTAGGACAGAAACAGCGTCCGCAGCAGCCGCGAGGACAGCAGGGTAAGACTCCCGCCGTCTGATAGAGTTTCGGCTGTATCTGTTTTTACGCGAACTACCTTCTTGATGACGCTTAATCGCATTCCCCTCTGACTGCCTGCATTTCTGGTAGCAGGTGGAGTGCCATTCGGCGGGTACCCACCGCAACACCCGTACCCCATGTACCCGCTACAAGGCTATCCCATGTCACCCTTCGGGTATGTTACACCAGGCTCATCATCCCTCCTAGTCCCGCTAGTTAAATCTTCGATCCGCTGCTCACTCTATGTTTCAAGATCTGTACGTTCTTTCCATGTCAATCATCCTCCAGATACCCTCAGCAGTTTCAAGAAGGAGCCGGCTACGGGTTTCCACAGGTAAATAACATCTACCACCGTTCCGTTCTCCCCACACCCCACGGTACTCATCTATTTAAGCTCAATTCTTTTTTTTTTTTGTCCTGTCCTTCAGGGAGTGTTTCCGCCGTACGGTCCTCAGGGCTTTCCTGCGCAGCCGGGGATGTTTGTACCGCCTGTAGGGACAGCCACTCCTGGGGGCATGTATCCTGGATATCCTCCTGCTGCATTCGGGCCGACGCAAGCGGCGCAAGCAGCAGGGGGATTTCCGGGAGGCCCTTCGATGATGCCATCCGCTCCGCAACCAGCTGGCGTTGCTGGCGTTGGTGTTGCTGCGCAACCTTTCGGGTTCCAACAGATGCAAGGAGGACAATCCCAAGGTTTTCAGGGGACAGGCGAGCAGCAGCAGATGGGAGGTGCCAGCCAGCTTGCAGGAGGCCCTGGGGCGCAACCAAATCCAGGTGAGACATTGTGATGTATATACAGTATCTCCTCTGACTGCATGTAAATTCTTATGTTGATTCTGTTATTTCTATCTTTTAAAGCTCAAGGCCCAAACTGCGCATGATTAGTAATCTTGCGCAAGGGTTTGGGCTGGTGGTTTGGGAGGTGAACAGAAAGTCGAGAAAGTGGGGTTCGCTTTTTTCGTCAAGCTCTCGCAAAACTTGCTGAGTCAGCAAACTCTGGGCCAAACATTCTGTTTGGGTCCGATAGTCCCAAATTGAGAAATACTGAAACATGAAGTTTGCGCGGTGAGTTTGGTCTCGACCAATCAAATTCATTCGTACCTAGTGTAACCAATACACAGCACCCAAACAGCCGCTCAGCAAGATTAGTAATCTTGCCCAGCGCGGCCCGCAATTTGGGCCTTGAGCTTTAAAATGTTTCTCTCATGCATGCAGGTGCTCAGGAAGGATCAGGAGCAATGCCATCACAGCAGCAATACGGAGTCCCCATGCAAGGGGGTCAATCGCCATACTCAGGGCAACACCAAGGGCCAACTGGATAGGATGACACTGAATTATAAAAAAGTGAAGCTATTTGTGTGCAGTTTTGCTTCAGGTGACATCCAGGGTGTCTTAGTCGTGAGAACTAATGACTCGTGGAGCAACAGTGCGCACACCCTGGTTGTCATAATGTGCATACTCAGATTATTTCATTGCATTCTTCACAAGCCTAATTACTGAACATTATTATTGTCACAGATGTTGCTCGACACCTCTTACTCATCTCCTAACAATACTAACTACAATAATACTATACCGAGTCCACTCTTGCCCAGCTTCACAAATTGAACATCCGATCCCACGCGAGTAGGATCGTCCCCCCAACACTAGTCACCTCCTAACACAACCAGCTGTTTTTCAGCACGTCGAACCGCACACAATCGCACGAAATTCTCCCAGCGCTGTGTGTCGAGTGGGCAATCCATGGCGAAACCTGCCGGCACAGATGGGCCTCGCCCGCGCACAGGTGCAAAATTTCAAGGAAATTCAGGCTCGGGCAGACGACAGGAAAGACCGAGTGCGGGAAGGAGGCAAGAAAACCCAAGCCCGAGTACGGGTAGACGCCAGGAAAAGGCGGGCGGGGGGCGATCCGCTCATGCAGACTCTAGCAGGGTGCACGCGCAGGCGGCTGCGGCGGTGGAGCGCATAATGCGCGCGAACGAGACGAGGCGCGGGGGTTGCGCGGTGAAGGGGCTGACTCTCGCGGAAGGCAACGTGGCGAAGCGCGCCACGCACGCCGTCACGTGCGAGACGCTGCGATGTAAGGGCCCCTGCGATGTAAGGGTTGCTGAGGTGTAAAGAGCGCTGCGATTTAAGGTTGCTGAGGGGTGCATATAGCGCGTAGCGCTCGTCATAGCGGATGTTGCAGCCTTCTTATATTTCCATTTCGCTAACCGCGCCTCGAACCCTGAAACCCGCGGGTTCAGGGGTTAGTGCCTTCAAGCCTATATCTCTCTCACTTACATTCATTTTACTGCCTCTGTCTGCACCTCTCTATCTCTCTCTGCCCCTCTCCGCCCCCCTCTCCCCTTGTCTACCCCTTTCCACCCCTCTCTACCCCGCCCATCAGACCTGCCAGTGATAAAGGATCTCATTGCCGCAACT